TCTCCACGATGCCTGGGCCTCCATGTGCACAGTGAGACTTACTGGAGAGATATTCGTAGGTATCCAGGGAGAGAGACCTGGAGTTCGCCAGCCCATCCATCTGCCCCGGGTAAAAGCCATAGGTATCCATATTCACGTTGGATCCCCCGAAATCCAGTGTCCCACCTCAGGGAAGTCACTGTGGTTCCCGTCCCGTTTCTGGCCCCCTCGCCCCACGCCTTCCAAAGTTGGAACCCCACTTCTCTCTCGTCTAGAGAACCAATCATCATTCCCAAAAACCCAATGCATAACGAAGGCTGGACACTGAGTGCATCCGTCGGTAAGGAACGTACCGGGACCAGCAAACCCAGAGACGTGGAAACACGGGGGATTCGGATTGTTCAAGTGCTATCTGCCCGGTTCGAAAAGGAGGGGCGTGGTCTTGGGAAGAAGACCCCTGCCGGACGGATTTACACTACAGACGTAATAAGGCTGGGAAACGGGAAACCTCACAAGAAAGAAAAGAAGCAACGACATGCTGCTGATGTGACGCCCGTTTCTTCACTTCACACGAGAAATCCCGGGCCTCCGGTCCCACTGTCTTGTTGGACTGACACGTGCGTGCGATCGAGGAAGCGGTAAGCTAGGTATCTTGCCACGCCGCAAATCGAACGAACATGTCTGCATCCTGCATCTGAAGCATGTGTATCCCTATCCGTACGCACGCACGACTACTGTGTACGAAGTAGTTAGAGGTAGGGGATTGTGCCTCCTTCACCCTCTGGGCCTCTGGGATCGGGGATGAACTACTAGGATTGCGGCGGTCGGCGCCCGGGAATAAGGTCAGGAGATTTAGGTGCAAGACATAGGACCAACCTATGACAAGCAAGGGACGTGCCTGATGATAGCTTAGCCTTGCTCCGTACTTGTATAGTATGGAGGGAGCATTCTTGCCTGCTCGAGCTGCGGGTTGCAGGAAAGAATACACATACATCTCACACCGTACCGGAGACTCTGGATCTGTATTCGTAGTGCACGTAGGTAACCTATTCGTGCAGCCTTCCAGCAGGAGCCAGCAGGAGCTTCATCCCGTCCATCTTCACGTCCCACCCCGACTTGCAGGGCTTGGTAACGCGGCCGCTGCGGCGAAGACTACTGCATAGTACCACGAGGATCGAGAAACGGGCTTGCGGCGCTCCGATGAAGCCGACGACGATGCTGGTCGACCCGCGTGGCATTGTTTTTGATTGTGACAGGCACCGCCGGACCGACTCCTCGTGGAGGAGCCTTGTAAAGTTCGTGCGTGGCAGACGAGGGCGCGAGGGGCGACGAGATGGCCGCATCCGTCATCCCCCCGTGTCTGGCTCTGATGAGAGGGATAGGAGAGGAGAGAGAAGAATCGTCGTCGTTGGTCCGTACGTACCTGAACTCGATCGCCGGGCCACGCGCGCGCTCCTGACGAGGCATGCAAGTGTTTCTGTTTGGGACACTAGGCCCGACGTCTCGTTCCGGTGGCCTGGTGTCGTCGGACGGCCGTGAGCGATCCCAGCGGCAGCCGGGTGATGATAGGTAGGCCTTCATGAACCCCCTCTTTTGCGATGACCAATCTTACGGCTCCCGCGTTGGATATTTGGGATTCGACGTACTGCGGTATCCTTACGTAGTATGTCTCTTCCTCGGACGATAACGAGCACCCTGTCGCCCAGAAGTTGATCCCACGGATTGGGCCAGGCAGACTAGGAGAATAGGAGGCGGTGGGACCCCATCATGACTATCCCTTCTTCTCTGTCTCTTCTGTCGACGATCAAGATGCCTTTTTCATCGACTGCATCACAGCAGACTCCATTCTCTCATGCGCGGTAGGAGGGGAGGAAAAAGACGGATGAATGGATACGGGGTGCCGGGGAAGCGTCTTCTGCATCTGAGACTGGCTTCTCTTGCAGTAGCGCACGTAGGTAGTGAGATTTTGCGGTGCGCTGGAGACTGGAGTGGACTTGGTACCCGGTGCGGGAAGTTAAAGAAGGGAAGGGAGGCCCGTCCGCTAATCCGTTTCGGGACCGGCTTGCTATCTAGATACCCGTCGACCGTCGACCGTGGAGTTCGACCGTGGAGTCATGGGCCGTGGCCCTTGGACGACGAATGTCCAGACGAGAAGGAGCACAGTCGTTTTGTCATTGTTGTCTGTGAGCGTGTGCAGTACGGATATCGTACTCACCAACAGAATTCCACTCGTAAAACGTGTACGGGCAGAAATTACGTCGCTTCCCAATTCCCGCCAATTAACAACCGCAAGACGTTTTTCTGTTCCGAGGTTCTGGTTCTTCAACGCCATGCCCACCCCCGTCAAATCTTCCATCCATCCTCTTACCCCCCTTTCCCTCCACCCCCCCTTAAGCGACCGAGTGAGACACCACACACAATGTCCGGTTTGTCGATTGGAATATGCCGGGGGGGTTGGTCTTGGTCGGTCGGCCGCGCGAAAGCAGAGAATGAGGAATTGGGAATCTCGGTCGTGTTTTAATTGCATGTGTTGAAGACCAGGCGGAGCAAGGACAGCCACCAAAAGGAAAGGGCATTCGCGTAGTTGGCTTGGTACGGCACTTTTGCGAGAGCCATCTCCTTGGGCTCGTTGTTCTTGGGCTACTTTACTTTAGTGCGAGAAGGCTTTGAGGCGGGCGCGGCTCGTGGCTGGAGGCGTGCCCATTACCGTACGGCACTAGGTAAGGTGAGTCGAGGTGAGGCACGACCTTACCAAAACCTGAGCTGGAAGCCTGCGCTACGATGTGTCGGGCTAGGTCGCTGGACTTACCGCCCTTCTCTCCCTTGAAGCCATCCGATGCCCAGCTTCTTAGCGTCGAGGTTTCGAGTTACAGGATGAGGGCGATATCCGTAAGCAGCGCAAAGAAGAGACAAGGCAATGTAAGGCAAGACGAGCGAGTTGAAGGATGTGGATTATCGTCTCAAGTTTTTTCGAGGCCGAGTCTCGTTGAATCCTCATCAGGCCTCCATGCCCGAGCCTCGCCATCTGTTGCTGTCTGGACTTGCTGCACATCCATCTACCTACCTACTGCGTACACTAAGGCACCTTAGTAGGTAAGGGACGACCGTCTTAGCTAAGACGTGTATCACGGATGTCAGACCAGGAACGCTCTGCGAACCTGCCAAAGTCAGGCAGGGAAGGCCCCCGATGGGCTTAGCGCCGGACATATTCCAGAGCAGCTCCGTGCGAATCCCCGGGTCCAAGAGGTGGGGTTCTTTTGTGTTGTGGAGCCATGTTCGGCAGGGGTGCATGGTTCATGGTTTCAATGGCTTTTGTGGGGTCTTGTCAGGCCCCCCCGCTTCACTGTTCCCACCTGCAACTGCAGAATGGAAACCTGAAAAGCTCGGACATGCTTCCCAATTGGAAGGGAACAGGTCCCCCGCTTCACTCAGATCCACATCATCATCCATGATCCAGAAAACGGGTTGTGTGCCACGCCTGCCCGTGCCATGGAGAATCAATCATTGCAAGAGCCTGCCGTTACCAATGCCTTCGGTTCTCTTCTCAGTGCTGCGAGAGATTGAATGGCGAGAAGAAGAGGTTGCTGATGAGCCAATCAGTATGCGTGAATCTCCCTCACCCCACCTAAAAGATCAGGTAGGTATCTCAGCTGCACTAGCGCCAGTCCCAGGTGCAGCGCCTGTGCTGACACTCGGTGCTGGCTGGCTGGACTAGGGCGGGTTGTCTGTGTCTGGATATCGCCCCGGGTGTCTGTCGCGCCGTGCCCTGGACGTGGACGTCGGGTGGACCTCCCACCCTTCCCTCGGGAACGGTACGTACCTCAGCATGCCTTGCCTCTGGCCCTCAGTCCCTCTGCACCGGGAACAACAGCGAACTGGAAGACTCCACTGTGTCCAGTGTCCACCTCACGTCCCGTCGCTGGTTTGATGTGGGTCTCGTCTCCGGGATGGGGCCATTCACATTCGAGGGGAGCCACCGTGCTGTGACCGGGCAGCCATCACTGAGCCAGTCATAACTCACCCAGCGGGGTGGGTTTTTAGTGTTACCACTGCACTGGAGTCCACGTTTGGTTTGGCCTGTTCGTCCGTCGTCCCAGGTATCTTTTTTGCTGCCCGCTGTTGGCTGCCCTTGTAAAGACTGAGAAGCTGCAAGCCCCCTCGTAAGGTAGGTAGGTACTGAATGGCACAAGTTGGCGGTTTGCAATGGACTGCACTAGGCTGCTTTGGCTGCTCGCCGTGGAGCAGGAGCTGCAACCCGAGCCTGGTTCTGGCGCTGGCGCTGGCATTGGCGTTGGCGTTGGCGTTGGCGTTGGCATTGGCACCTGCCTTTCCTTTGGGTCCTGGGTCTTGGGTCCTTTCCTTGCCTCCCCTCCCCTTGTCACCTACCTACCTACCTAAGTATTGAGCCTGAGCCTGAGCCTTCCATGAGAAAAGGTACCTACTACGTACCTTTGCACTGGTTGTTTTCCCACTTTTTCCAGACTTCCTTTCAACCACCACCTCCCCGTCCCGTCCTCTTCTTCCTCGTCTTTCCCCCTTCTTACACCACACCCTCTTCCCGGCCGACTCATCCCGAACAACAAAACGCTGCCGTTCGAGGTTCGATCTGTTGTCCTGTCCATTCCTCACCACCAGGCAATGGGAAGACGATAGACTGCCTTTCGCGGAGGATCTTGCTTTCGCCCGTCAACATCGTTCTCAACTGCGCCCTGCTTCGCATTCGCAACAACCGAAGATCGACATCCACTCGTCGCTGATCGACCCCGACTGCACGAACCACCACCAATCTCGTCCTGCACTTTCTCGCCTAGCAGCTCGACCGCCACCAACACGTCCTTATTAAAAGACGCCGCCGCAATTCACGCCTGCTCCTCCGTCTGCCGCATCACCAAAACCACCAATTCCGGCTTTGCTCGATTGGCTTCTAGTCGACCGCAGATCTCACACTCACCACCAGGGAAACCCACATTCGATCTAGGATCCCACGTTTTCGAAACCAACATCTCGCGACAACAGCAATCATGAGCTCACCTGCGCAAGCCGGGCCTTCGGTCCCGAAGGAGAAGAAGGGTTTGGGAAAGATCTTGTCTAGGGCCAAGACTGTTTTCAAGAGAGGCGATGGCTCCTCCAAGCGGATGTCCACTCTGTCCACCGCCGGGCAGCAGCCTCCCGCGCAGTCCACTACTCCTGGGTAAGAGAAGGCACATTCTCTGCTTTGTTCCCCGTATTCGCCACGCTGTTATGGCTCCAGTGTGCATCATCCGTCTAACATCCGCATAGCCAGACTCAGACCCCCGCCGCCGAGACCGCTGCTCCCAAGGAAACCTCGAAGGAAACCCCCAAGGAGCCCACCAAGAGCAAGTACGAGGACATGGAGGGCGTCGTGAAGGTGCCCCGTTCCGAACTCTTCGAAGAGCGCGCCAGGAAGTTGGGCGAGAGATTCGGCCTCGAGATCAAGCAGAGCGAATGGATTTCCACCGAGGGCACCGCTCTCCGCGTCGAGAAGCCCATCCGCATGCGTGTTCACCGAACCTGCCACAAGTGCAACGCGACCTTCGCCGCCGCCAAAGAGTGCCCCAGCTGCCAGCACGTCCGTTGCACCAAGTGCGTCCGTCACCCGCCCAAGCGAACCGAGGCCGAGCGCATCGCCAGCCGCGAGAAGCGGGCTGCCATCCTCAAGGCCCAGAAGGAGAACGCACCCATCGTTCCCGACTACTCGTACGACGCCAAGGATGCGAAGGATATCGTTTTGAAGCGCCCCAGCAAGACTGGCGGCCAGGATCTCATTTACAAGAAACCGAGACAGAGAGTTCGCAGAACTTGCCACGAGTGCCAGACGCTCTTTGTTGCCGGCAGCAAGACTTGCTCCAAGTGCGCCCACAACCGTTGCACCGACTGTCCCAGAGACCCGTATGTTGAACTGCATCTAGTCGTGTCGTCATTCACTGCTAACAACGTACCAGGCCCAAGAAGGACAAGTATCCGTTCGGATACCCCGGCGACGAGTTTGGGCCGAATGCTGTGCCGCATCACGAATGCTACAAGTGCAAGACGATATACCCTGGCGGCGCAGAAGACGGCACCGAGTGCAAGAAGTGTGGTCACCAGAAGGACGCCAACTGTCCTCGCCTGAAGCCACGCAAGGTCGAACCGGAACCAGACCCGGAAATCCTCAAGAGCATACAGGCCAAAATCGAGGCGCTAAAACTCAAGTAATACGACCATCACCTGTTTACACTGTCCGACATTATTGAATTCGACTGAAGGCGTCCGGGCATGGCGGGGTGAATGATGTCTGACCTGATTTGGTGCGGGGAGCGAGTTGCGACATTTCCTATTCATCTTGAAATCACCCGGGGCGCACGTTTTCATCCGATTCTTTCCGTCGAACATGCATTCATCATTCCTTTTCATATTGCAACACTACGAAACCAAACGACCACCCATCATCATCATCATCATCATATCTGCACCACATCACAAATAGTCTCATTCGCCGCCACAATGGTTCCTCTACCTCGAGAACCAAACAGAGGAACAACGAAGAACATGAAGCCTTAAGCACTATGCCATCACGACCCAAGCATTGTCTCGACCACCAAAAGCACCGTTTTCTGCCGACTAATGACCTCCACCTGCTGCATACACCTAGTCCCCGTTGGAGGGAGCGAAAAAGAGAAATGAGAGGAGACGTACCCGGACGCACCTGAACTGGGAGGAGGGGGTGGATCAGGCCATAATTGCGGAAGATGGGACGACACAGACACGGCGGTTGAAGCGAACACAAAAAAAGAAGGGAGTTTGGAGGCGTTGCATTGCAGGGAGAAAGAAAAGAGCAGACAGATGAACCGACAATGTGGGACAAGTCTTGGGGTGGCAGGCCAAGACGTGCGGAAAGCGGATTATTCTTCTCTTTCACCATCTTCTTCACATCTCTCACGAATCATATACATCACAACTTGAACCCAAGGATAAGCTGAATTTCAGAGACCCTTTGGACAAACTGCCAGTTCCGCCCACTTCTCGTTGCTCCGTGAGACACGTCCATGATGTGCCATCGGGCCGTATGCAATTGAGACCGAGACACCGTTAATTATCATCCGATCCTTTTTTCGTGTCGCCTGAATCGTCGTCATCCAGCGATGTCACGTCGGCTCGTGTAACGTGTCATACTCAAACCAGAACGAATAGTAGTCCCAAGAAGAAGAAAAAGTCAGTGTCGACTTTTGTTTGGTGCATGCATGCTCGTACGCACGCAACTTCTCCGGGTTGAGCAAACTTCGCCGGAGCCGCGAACCCGGGACATCCATCTGCCCATATGCCGGGACGTTGGGTGCGTAGGCAGCGAGATTGAATTGAAGGTAGAGAAGGAAAGAAAAAAAAAAACTATGTCAGAATAAAAGGGGGTGGGTGCGTCTTGGTGGTGTGGCGGGTGGTCGTATACGACGGCGTGGCGCGGCACATTAACAAAAAAAAGAATGGATGAATTGGAGGGGGGGCGTGACGGGAGTGGAAAGTATTCCCAACGAATGAGAGAGGGAGGAGTAGAAAGGAAAGAAAAAATGAGAAGAGATAGAACTTTGCCTCGGTGTTGCAGGAAAAGATCTGGGATGATCTGGGGCGGCGAGGGGTGGAACAGAACGACGGGATTTGCTGCGTCGTGTTGGTGTTGTTGGTGGCTGGTGCAGTGTCAGTGTTTGCCTGCCTCTTTGGCTCCCGGGGTCCGGAAAACGACGACCGGCCTGTTGGGACGGAACAGTTTGTTGGTTGGTTGGTGGCCTTTGGTGAGCTGGCTTCCTAATCTGACGATCGTTTTTTCTTCTTCTTCTTTCTCCCCTGGAACTGGGGTCTTAGAGGTTGATGGCCTTTTTTTCCTTTTCTTTTTGTAATGTAGGTAGGTAGGTAGGTCACTTCTCCTGGCACTGGGTGATTGGACGGGAGCCCGGGGAGTGTATGGATCGTGCTGACGGCAGGAAAGTGAGTCCCGGGAGTCTGGGTTCGAGACGAGCGGGTGATTGGTCCGGGGGTTTTCTTCGGTCGTTGGCCACATGGGAAGTGCGACTCCTGGAAATTGTTTTTCTGGTTATTGGACTGTTGTGTATACATCCGGAAGGTGGTTTCGTGTTGTTGTGATTTGTGCTTGGCTGTCGATGGCAATATGTTGGCGCTGCTTTCCGTGAGTGAGCTGCTGGCCGCCCACCTTGCCCTGGACAAAGTCGAATTTCCAGTTGATGAGGGTAAGGGCCGAGTATTTCATCTTGAGTTGCTTCTTGGCTCGGTGTCTATGGGAGGGATCGTATGAATGCACAAGACAAGTCTTCCTCCGTGTTGACGACACGTCATGTTTTCATTGACTATCTGGAGAAAAGACCGACTACTTTTCCCTGACGAAAGACTGTGAATCATGGACAGCGATCGGGGCATTAGACTTGGGCTGCGGCCCGGCTTCATTGACTCTGTTTTTCAGACTCGGTCGTTGTACGTCTGGCGTATCTCGCAAGGCGTCGTACGAGGATGGCTGTGATGCTTCATGAAGAGCAGAGACGTACTGTGAGATGTTGGCATGGCGCCTAAATAGTACTGCCTTTGGCTTTCCAGAATTCAACTTCTGTGACTCGGCGGCCACGAAGACTTTTCATGTGTGGCCAAAAGAGCTTCTTATGACGCTCATCACTTGGATTGCGTTGGCGTTCTTCAGATTTTGTCTCGGAATAGCTGTATGACTTTTCTGGCAGAGTTGCTACTGCCATATGAATGTTCAGTGAGGTCTCAAACATTCACATTCACTCTACCTGCCGTACTTTCTAGGTAGTCACTCAATACCTTACGCCTCGTCCCAGCTCGTCTCGTCCCATGTATCTCGGATTTCGCGTTCTATTTCCCTTGCAGTTCGACTCGATTCGAGTTCTTGCTCAAAGTCATAACGAACGGGTGCTGCCTCCCAAGTATTGTCACACAAGAGTTGCAACCAGCTCGGCGAGGGCGGGTCGGGCTCGAATGACTCCTTTTCGCGGACGAACCAGCCCGCCTTCCAATCGTCCAAAGTCCAGTGCTTGTGCTCCTCGGCCAGCTTCTCCACGTCGTAGGAGTCTCCCCACGCATCGGCCAGTTCAAAGGCACATTTGACGACGGACCTTCCGGCAACAATGTCCTCTACAGCCTGCGGGAAGCCTTCGAACAAGTACCATTTGTTGGACCTCTTCACACCTCCGCTTGCCATGCCCGTGATATTTCTCGGATCCGCCCGTCTCACGTCCCAAGAGACAGGGAGGATGAGCCCCCGCTCCAGACAGACGTCGACGGCCGCTTGCCACGCGGCGTCTCGTCGAACCACCCTTTGGAAGATTTCCGAGATCGTCCAGTCCCCATCAAGAACCATTGTGTATGAACCCAAGGGCATACCAGCAGGCTCCAGTTCTAGGGCTTCTAGGATCCAAACCGCCACTGAATGAGAAATTTGGTCCGCCCCGAGAGCTGCGCCCTCGTGAGGAGAGGTGAAGGTATCGCACGCTGAGCTCATCGTCTGCAAGATGGTTCGCCACATACTAACTCGTCGTTCCACCCGCAGATGAGGGTTCTCTTGACAGAACGGAATCAACCCTTGGGCGTGGCACTCTGCAAATGCAACAGCTGACCAGTCCTCATCGAGTACAATCCTTCTAATACTTGATCTGGTGTCTTTTGGTAGGGATCTGAGAAATCGAATGGCTACTGCTGCAGCTGAATAACGATGTTTGACGTGATTCAGCTGATAACCGGCCGAGCCATGGAGCCACCGCTTCTCGAAATACTTGTTCGGTCCCTTTCCCATGCTGGAAATCATCAGCTCCACTTCCTGGGCGCTAGGTATGGCCCAAAGATCGGGATTGAGGTTGGTAAGTTTCTCAAGTCGTATAGCGTCTGAGATGCGCCGCCCTCTTTCAAAGTTTTCAAACTCCTGCGCGTCGAAGCAATGTCTATGAGACACAAGCGTCTGCAGAGCAGAGCGGACGAATCTCCGGAACACGGAAGGCGTCTCGCCACACGACCCTGGCGGACCTACGTTGTCCACCGCGCGCCGGTCGTTCCAGTGAGGTCTTCTTCTGATCAAATCCACGTACGGCGCAAATTTCGGGTCGATCTCTGATAGTTTCCTCCATAAATCGTCGGGGATGCTGAGAAAGTTCGGATAAATCTGGTTCATTTTGGTTCCTTGCGTGTTGTAGAGAGTCTTGACTAGTTCGCCGAAGCGCCCAGCCGTGCGGCGGTGCTCTTCCGAGAGCTCTGTGGAAAAGTTGAGCGTATTCGAGGATAGAGCTACACCCTTCATCTCCTTGGCGATAGTTTTGCAAGTCAGCATAAGGGTAAGGTCGATTAGGCTTCCGTTGGCGCCTCTAAGCTTGTTGCTGTCAAAATTCAAGATGTAGCCGCCCTGAATAAAGACATAGTCGACGTAGATCATATCCCGCACCTCGCGCGGCAGATCGAAAAAGTGTATCATTGTGGAGGTTGTGCTGGTGAAGATGGCAGCAGAAGATGTTCGAGCGCAAACTTGGCGTGGTGAAACACCGCACTTCACGATCTTATATACAGTCTTCGCGCCCCAGCCACACTTCTCACGGTCACTCCAGTCACGCCAAGTGACTCACATGACATCGGAGACACTTAGTCAGGAAAAGCCACTGGCGCTCAAGGTTGATTGATGTGCAGAAGACATTAAAATTCCAGGCCCCAACACCTCAATGTCTCAATCGCGTGCGCGGGAGTTATCAGAGTCCAATGTCAACATAGATACTGGAGACACCAGGAAGGCCTTCGAAGTCTTATGAGGGGAAACGCACTCACCCTATCGTAACTCAATGGGTACCTAGTCATACTTGCGAAACTGTAAAACGACGGCAGACGGAAAACAAGACAAAATCTTGTCCTGTGAGTCACACAACCTTTATGGTGGCCAGATCTTCAAGAACGCCATTTTCCCTTGCCCTATCTTCTCGCCGTGTCCATGACACTTCTCGATAGATTCTAGAACAAACTAATCCCACCTTCACAGCGTCCAACACCCGTGGATATCAATGTTGGAGTTATCTCGACCTCAAATTACTAAGCTTAGGACCATAGACCAACAGAGAAAGCACGTTCTTAACAAATGACGCCGGTTGAGGATATCGATTGAAGATGATATTTCGGATTCAAAAGCACCAACCTGCCGCCTCAGTGGACCGCCTTTGCGACTTTGGCTTCGTCAAAGGGGCGACTACGAAGTTACTACAACACCTACCCCTTAGCGCTGATAAGCCCCGAAGTGATCAGGAACACGCTCTGTTTTGCTTGTCACTCAAATCAATGATAAGTCTGTTAGCCTCAAGGGTGCAGCTTCCTGTGGTTTTCACAGAGATTCCGAGCAGGGATTTCAGATCTCTCTAATATATTAAATTGATGCTATATGTCCCCCGACATCACCACATAATATGCTGGGCTCTAATCCACATGAGTTCCTTCTCAGCCCCTCCCCCCAGTTGTGGCTCTTAGTCTATTCTCTAGGAACTATACACCCTGGCACAGCCCAACGCAAAAACTTCGCCACTTTCTAGTCTATTGCGAGCTCCGTGGGTCCACCAGACACGACCATATGTGATCTCGAGGCAGCGGAGGCTTTCTGGCGGACCTGAGTCGTCGATGGGCTCGTCATTGATTGAAGATGCAAGATATCGATGTGTCCGCCATCGAGCAGTGCAAGAAGAAGGCTGCCTAGGTTTCTTCCTCTCGTACCTCGGGCCCAAACTGTATGACGCTATTAGGGGGTAATGCGGGACCAATGGTGTCGACTCTGCTGGTTTTGAGACCAATATACCCCGTCTTGAACGTATCTGTACGTTGGTTGAGCCGCTGCTGTGCGTCGCGAACGATGCCCTTTTGTGCCTCCGCTAGTACCTTTGACTGACCCTCGAGCAACGGAAGAAGCTTGTGACTTGGATAGAAACGTCCTTTAAGGTCGCCCTCGCGGAGGACAGCATTGTGTCGAAGAAGGACGCAGCGCCAACGCTCGGTGGGAGCGAATTTGAACCGGAAGGCGCATTCCTCGCGGAGAGCACGTGGTAGCTTGTCCTCAGACACAGGCATGCCACCTACAGGCTGGCTATCGCCACTGATGGGCTGGTAGATGTCGCCTTTAAAGAATACTGACCCAGGCATGTCGACGGCGGTGCAAATCTCACGGAGACCAAGAAGAGCATCTGGGAGGGCCGCAGCAGCTTCGGGAAGGCCATGGTCGGGCGAGATACGGATACGCAGGACGTCGCCGAGCTCTACACGTTCTGCGCCAAGGAATATTCCATTGTAGTCCGTTTTCTTGCCGTCCTCGGTAGTAGAGACGCGAGTGAAAAGGGAGAAAGACTGGCCAATCTTTTGGGCAGCCATCTTGGAGGAATCTAGGAGAATAACCTCACGGCGGTGCGTATCGTCGGCCGAAAGGCTGCCGAGGAAGGATTCCCATGGCACTTGGTCGTAAGGCTTATCTTGAAGCTCAGCGGTGCCCACGCCGGGAACGGAGAAGGCGAGGAAGGGCCGGGCAGAGGCTTCAATGAGATGAACAGGAGACTGCCCGAATAGGAAGTGGGATATAGGAAGAATCTGGAGTGTTTCGGGCTTGCTGTTCTTCGGATTGATAATGCCTGTGGCTGAAACGATGCCGATTCGCCAGCCAGACGACATTTGGAACCAAACCATCTCACCAGCGCGGAACAGCGCTGCTGGCTGTATGCCGAGAAATGGAGGAGGATACGGAGGGATTTGTGGCTGCTGGTAGGGACCTTGACCTACAACCTGCTGAACATGTTGTACTGGAGTTTGTCCCAGAGGTTGAGCAGCGACTTGCGCGGGAGATTGCGTTTGGGCTGGTGTCTGTACAGGAGGCTGGCTTGGTTGAAATTGGGTCGGCTGGATGGGAGCCTGACCAGGCTGTGATTGACTCGGGGCAGGTCCCGAAATGGGTGCTGCCCGAGGTATCGCCGGCACAGGAACGGGAGTTTCCTTCTTGATCGACGGCGTCGGTACTGGTACAGGCGTTTCCTTCTTCACACTCGTCGGCGGTGTTGCTGCTGCAGCAGGGGCTGGCGATGCAGTACGGCTGAGCGGCATCTGTGGCGTAACCTTCCGCATCTTGGACGGTGGTTGAGGGTTGGCTGGTCCTGGCAGAGCACGTGGGGTATCCGTTACCGTTAGCTCTTCGATGTTCGGCACTTCTCGAATGTTGCAATGGATGCAGCGGCAGTCCATGCGGTCCGTGGAGCTGGAGAGCAGCCAGAGAAGATGGAGGCCAAACTCTTGGGGGCTTTTGTAAAGCTTCGACTTTGAAGGGTACCCGGAAACCCATAGATGCTTCGATTTCTCGTAGAGCCAGTATCCTCGCGGGAAGTTGAGGAGCCAGGGAAGACCTTCTGCTGGATGTTAAAATAAGGTTCGGGGATACTGGTGTTCAGACCTACCTGTAGGACTCAATTCCTGCTTCAACAAGATACCCAGCTTCACTCGCCATTCCTGAAATCTCGGATCATCTTCAGCCAAACGGACCATCTGAGGCTTCGCCCTCGGTATCTTGTCCACAGGCGCAGTGGTCTTTTTCGCGGCCTTCGCAGCATCTGTGGGTGCTGGCCAGTACCCCGGACCGGTATCTTGGCCATCACTGCGACAGATATTTACTACCGCGAACTCCGTGAGATCGGACATGGTGGAGCCCGTCATGATGAGATGAGATGTTGCTGAAGCCGATAGGGTGATAGGTTGACCGCCTCAGGTAGCGGCGACCTTTGAGCTAAATAGCCCAGGGAACCAGAAGAGCCTGAAGAGGAATGAAACAAAGTTCAAAATCCTGGGGAAGATTGGGCGTGTCCAATATGCTAGCACATGCTGCATCAACGATGCTGTGTCCTAGGCGGCTCTGTCGCAAGCCGGAGGAGTGGATCTGGCCTCGTGGTGGATTCCTTTCAGTCGGAGCCAATCGCAGTTTTTGTCCGGCTGAGCGCGACAAGTTCAATCTAATCGTGTGACTTGATTTCTTGATAACAAGTGTACATGTTCCGGTTGATAGCTGAGCTTGTTTCGCTGTGATTTGTTTGTCGTCAAAATGGAGCTGCGACGTGAAGTTGGAAGAGGTTGAATGCTAGCTCCAGGGTGGACGTGCACCGCGCTAAACGTCTTAGTCAGCAGATCTCATTGGACCTCTCTGCTGTACCCCGGCATGGTGTTTGCGAGAGCAACCACCACGATGTTCAGGACTGCGCAGTCGGTTAACTATGCAAGTTTGATGGTCAAGTTGCACTCTGGCTCATAATTCTAGCCAAATCACTTATTTCGCAAGATTTGTAGGCGGACTACAATTTCTCACTCTTTTCGTCTCAGCTACTCCGTTTCTCTCCATGCCAATATGTTGAGTTCCTAGAAGCAATGAGATTGCCGCCTCGCAAGTACGCATTCTAAATCAAAGATGGGCTTGAGCCCACGTGGTATCATTTTAGTCGTGAATCATAACTACTGTTTTGAGTACAAGTATACATTGTCAGGCTTATTCGGTTCCGCCACCAAAGGCCGTAGATCATCCTCGCCAGGCTTTCTCGCGGAGCCGTCGCCGTTCAACTCTCTCAGTTGAATCCCGCTGCCATCGCCAGTGGGGGTATAGACATCCAAGTCGTGTGCCACGAAGGTGTCGAGTGAAAGGCGCGGAGGGCGCGAAGTGCTTCTTTTTGTGAATGCTCGAGACAATCGAGCCCGCCGGGGTGAATGCTGCTTGCTCCTTCGCCGAAAGCGCTTCGGTACAACCTTTGCAACCATGTAATCTCGAAATGTTTTGGTAGTCCCAAACACGACAAATGTTAATAAACTCGTGGAGACGCCGGGCAGAAAGAGTATGAGGTCCAAATGGAGGCGCTCCGTGCTGAGGTCTGGGCTTTCACTCAGCGAGTCGCGGTTGTTCTGGCGCGCAGACGCCACCTGGAATAGAATCGTGACTACCTGGAAGACCCTGGGCCAGTCAGTAGTTGAACGCGATCGAAAGTCAAAGGAATATTTCTCACGCCAATGCCACGAACGCTATGCTGAAGCGAACGACGAGCCATCTGTCATAGATGCTTTGGCGGCGATTCTCGGCACTGCTGTCAATGACGAGAGTATCGCTGCTCTTCGTACTGTTTGAACGTTGACCGTAACGGACGTTCCACGACAAGAGGTTGCGGCGCGTATGGATGTATTTGACCAAGATGACGATAAGGAGAGCACCAGTTCCGCTCAGACAGAAGCCCACTGGACACTTGGGGTCAGAACAATAATCTGAAAGCGGGCGAAAAGACTCACTGATTGAATCTGCCAAGAGCAAGAAAGTGACAGATTGCTTCTGGACAGCATCTAAGCGGAGAATTCCCACTAACAGAATGGGCACAAGAACAGCTGCAGCTTTGGCCGTGTAATTGGCTTGTTTTCGCGTGGACTTGACAGCTTTCATCTGAAAGATGGATTGTGTAAGAGCAATCGACCTTGTGGATGTTAGAACGTAGCCCAGCCATTGAGGTCCGGTGCTTACCAGAAGAAGGCCAACGTCGCCTCGACGTTATAGCTGTAATACTCTTGGGAATGTCAGCGAAAGGTTACAAGAAGAAACAAGTAGTACTAACGGATGTAGAAAAACACGAGGTCAAGACCTGTCGATTGTCCAGCTATGGCCAGTTCAGGGTTACCAACGTTGGCAGCCGAATTTTGGAATTGGGCCAGCTTGATGTCTCTCCATCGCACAATCGTATGCAGTTGCTGCGCTACTGAAGCGGCAGTAGACAGTCCGGTAAAGTACGATACAAGTGCCACATCTGCATCAGTGTTGGTTAGCTCGATGAACTGATGGGGGCGTCAGTCAAACTCACAGCTGAGAGCCTCGCGATGGGCGAACGTCAACCATGCCATGACACAACTACAAGCCAGGCAGAACAGGGAATAAATGAGAATCCCTATAGCTGTGCCTAGCTCTTCTTGAGGCATCTGGATGGCCATATCGCCCCCGTGGATATTGTTGGCCAAGTAGGCCAGACATGAATACGGAGTCTTGAACCGTGGCAGGGAACAAGGTGACGGGGAACGAGAAGAAAGAAGAAATTAAGAACTGGGGAGCAAGCAACGGCAAGGCCATGTTTATCATGCAGCAGCCTTGAGATCACAGCGATCGCACCCCCTGCGATCTGCGCATGGATGGAATCCCCGGGTCCGATCTTGTTGGTATGAACTGGAGGAAATACCACCAAGATTCAGGAGCTTGGGAGGCTGACGACCCTTGTTCGGCGCTCGCAACTGCATAAAGTGCGACCAGGACACGCACACACATGGGCAGAATGATGAGATGGGACTTCCCACGACTCCGGAGCAGGACAAGGGGTTTGGGCCGAATTACGAGCCCTCCATCACAAAGCCCCCAATCCTGCATTTCATGGTCCAGAAATGTCTTGGCTGGGGATCCTCCCACCCTGCGAAGGGGCCTGCGGGGCCGCTCGGGATGGTTATGAAGAGATTTAACATGATGTAGGTGGATAATACAGGTTGAAACACGACAGTGTGAGAAGACTATCATCACAGCAATACTCCCAAGAGCGAATAGCTTCGGAGGTTGCCATCGCATGTGTCATGGCGAGACAAGTGACACTGACGCATTCTAGCCGCTTCTTGGTGGCATTCTGGCGGCATCTGCCGACCACAGACTCAGTGGCACGCCGACCCGAGATGAAAACGTTGGACGCCACTAGCCGTCTAAGATGAAGCCATCATTAGCAGGGTTGGTTGGGCCGGAGGCAAGTAGCAATGCGCAAGCGTCGTCGCAACTGTCGCTAAGAAAGCAGCCCATAGGTTGATGACAATCGGACTAAGCCATGGTGAGAGTTGGCGGCATGGCAACGTACGAGTTCGACCGAACTGTCCGCAGCAAGGTTGTGGCCTACCAGAGGGTTCGGCTTGGTTTGAAGCATCGATGGCTCGAAACACGTATGGCGAGTGGAGGCTGGGCTCGCAGGACAGATTCGCTCGACAAATGGGGCTTGCGGGTGCGTACTCGCCGCGGAGGACATCCCGGACCAGCGTCAACCCGGCACAGACGACCGGACCGACGGGGCAACAGACGGGATTGCCCCATACCGTGATGGCGTTGTCGTGCAAGCTGCTAGTGTTATCGACTTCGTGTCGATTCAGCGGCGAGGGCTGCATAGGCTTCTTCGAGTAAGACATAGATGACATAGATGCGGCTGATGGTAGAGTTTCCCAGCTTCCTGATCATTATGGCAATCATATCATCTGATGCTCCATCCGCGATAGGGACAGATCCTTTACCATCCGCTCGGAGCTTGGAACTGAGGAAGAGACAGGGACAGCCTTGGAATGAGCTTCAGCTAGCGGTTTTGTGTTGAACTTGGCCTACTGAGTCAGAGAAGACAATTGACTATTGCCCAAAAGAGCCCGAGCAATGGAAATGGCTTCGGGTGTTGGACCCAATTTGGCAAGCTGGGAGTCGCTAGCGCAAACTGGGAAGCATGCTCAGTTTCGACGGCGCAGATTGTTGAGATGAAAGACGGCCGGCATGTGGTGACAGGCTGCCAGTCGGAAGGTTGCTGAAGACTTTACTACGCAGGCTGGATATGAGGAAAACGGTCGGACCACGTGCCGAAGATGAATGAACGTTGGATCCGAGTCGTCTTCGGCACTATCGCAGCGGCTGAACGCAAGAACTCGCTAGGTCTGTCGGTGCCATTCGGCCAGCTTGAACCGGAGGGTATGATCAGCAGTCACAGCAAAGTGCCGTGTCGTCGGCAGGTGGCATCTGCGACTTCAAGGTTTTGTCGAGTTCAGCTCGGCATGAAGGTTCAGGGGTTAACGATCTAGACCTCCACTCTGGAGAATCCTTTCCACTGCTGCGGAGAGCCCCTGTAGAGCCCCTTACCTAAGGAAGGTATCCATATCTTAAGAGAGTGTCGATGTCGTTGCAAAGCGATTGCGCTGTGCTGTACCTCGCTGCCCAGAAGGGGGGCAGCGCAAAATCTTGCGGTTCTCCGATTGTGTATAAGAAACAGAGTGTGTATTCGATGCAATCTTGTCGAAAGAAAGGAATGTCCAGCACCATGGTACACTACAGAGGGAGTCGGTCCACTTTCTCGGTACCTCGGGGTAAGAAAGTGGTTGGTTGCATGCCCTGGCTGATCAGTGGGGCTCAAGCTACCTACCTAGGTAACCTCTGTATCAATCTAATTCTGTGAGCCAAACGCGTTCAAGTCGCGTCAGGAAAATCACCCCTCCCCCACGATAATCATCCACGACCAGCACGAATTTCCAAGCATCGTTCTACCTGTAGACGCCATCCGCAAACAAAACCAGACATCACTGGGCGTGTGCGACGCAGCCCATCGTTTGCTGCCATGCCCATCGTTCCAGAGCACTACAACGACGGCAACCGAGCCTTCCTACAAGCCTTCCTAGCCCGCGGCACCCTGACATTCGAAGACGCCCAGCGCATATTAGCCACAATTTTTACCATCGAGTCCGAGGATGGCGAGGAGGTCACCCCCGATCAAGTGACACGCGACGACTTTGAGTCCTACGTCGGCGCCGCAGCCGAGGCTGCTTCCTTCTTTGACTACGAAATCCGAAGCACCGTTCATCAAGTCAACAAGAAGCGCATCTTCGCCCTCGTGAACACCGCCTCCGACCCCATGACGCAACTCGCGACGACCTTCAACGCCGAGCAAATCGCATTCACTAAGAGATTGTTGGATGCTATGTTCGAGACATACAATTCTAAGCGCATGGAGGTCATGGCAGTTACCGACATGCAAGCCGTCAAGCTGGCCCGTCCCCCGCGTCAGAACAACAACCATAACGACGAGAACGGCGAACCGGCGACGCAAGCCGCTGCAGATAAGGGATTGAAGCACAGCGAGGTTGAGGAGATGCTGGCAAACCTAGTGAATCAAGGTTGGCTAGAGAAGTCGAAGGACGGTTTCTACAGTCTGAGCCCGCGATCGCTGCTCGAGCTCCGTGGAATGCTCGTCGATTCATACAACGACCCCGACGCGGCGGCAGAGGAGTGGCAGCGAATCAAATTTTGCGAAGCGTGCAAGGAGATGGTCACCGTCGGCCAGAGATGCTCCAATGTGGACTGCAATGCGCGATTACACGACACGTGCCAGGAGGCGTATTGGCGGACGCAGCGCAGCCGGAAGTGCCCGCGGTGCTCCAAGGAATGGGACGGTAGGCTCTTTGTTGGCGAAAGGGCGGTTACCAGCACAGATGCCTACCAGAGGGGCCGCCGCAAGAGCGGTGGGCGTAAAAGCAACGCAGCGGACGAGGTCATGGATGGAAACGGGGATGAAGAAGAAAGCGAAGTCGAGGAATGAAGAACAAAGACGGAACAAACTTGAAATTCAACTCGCCGAGTAGTTTCTACGAAAGATACCCCGTACTTGGCTGCATTATAGCTCAGTCAACCAACCACTCAGTTCCAGGTTGCCATAGCTCCAGGACAGCTGTCAATGCATGAGACGAGCCGTTGCGTTCACTGTCACTCGGTCGTCAAAATGAATGGCCGGTTTTCTAAGTGGCCACCCCCAAAAAGCGGCCATTTATTTTGACGACCGAGTGACTGTTCACAATCACAGTTGGCTCTTGTCCCCCGCCTTGAGGCGACACCCATAGACTACCTAGGTGGAGGGGCCTCCGAAGCGTGGCGGTGCAAGGACCCCTAGTGGCGCGAGCCCACCTTCATCCATGGTCTCGGCCCCAACAACCGGGGGCTCGCCGACTCGCTTAGATGCGGTTTGTTTGATGTCGCGCCGGAGGGCTCCAATCGATGGGCATGAATGATCATCAGATGGCATTGTGGTGACATCACGTGTGGCTGTGCAAGCTACCCAACTGCCGCCAACCAAATCAAGGTATCCTGTGGCTAATACCTGAGCTCTCACAAGAAGTGATACAAGCCTGAACAGCAAGGTAACCAGGGCCTGCGAAACTTAGCACCACATGTGATTCAGAAAAGCGCTTGGCCATCGAATAAAACCACCGGTCCGACCGCTCTACTACGACGACTTCCCATCGACGTGCGCAACTCCCTCAACTTCACCTTTGGCTCTTTTCATACCACACTCCAGCACAGCTCTTGGTCCATCGCCACCAGCGACTCGCCCACGATGCTAGAATACTTCGGCTACAAGCAGTACAAGAAGTACAAGACGGAGAAGGAGGCAAAGGAGGCCGCCGCAACAGACGGCAACGATGCCGCAACTCAACACCCCGCTTCGAGACCATCGCCATCACGGCGCCAGACCAGCTCCCGCTCGCTGTCGCCGGCAGGCAGCGCCGCGACCGATCGCACAAAGGGCGGTCCCGCGCCAGTCCTGGATCGCAAAGATGAGGCCTTCTTTAGGCGCATTCTCTCCGACCCGGACGCCGAGGACTCTGATGACGAGCACCTCCGTCCTCCTCTGCCGCCGCGCAGCAAGACGCCTGAGTACACATGGGAATCCGACGAATCGCGGCGTACCGCCCCCTTGAAGGAGGAACCCCCAAAGAAGGCGGCGACAGTCGCCGTCGACCCCAAGGCCGATGGCAAGAAGCCCAACAAGATCGCCTTCCTCTTCTCGAAGGTCAGAGGTGGCGACGACAAGGACAAGCAGCTCGCACCCGTCAAGCCCACCGCCGTGCCTGCGGAGGAGGAAGCCCGGGAGAAGGACGACCTCTCTCGCGTGCTCGAAGATCTCAACCTCTCCGCCAAGAACAACAAGGCGATCCCCCTCTCGGCAGAGTCGTCCGAGCTCGTCCAGCAGTTCACCCTCGCTCTCAAGGATCTCGTCAACGGTGTCCCGACCGCCGTGGACGACATCAAGAGACTCGTCGAGGACAAGGACGGCACCATCAAGAAGTCCTTCGACAAGCTGCCCAACGGCATGAAGAAGCTCGTCACCAACCTCCCGGACAAGTTCACGGCCTCCCTGGGCCCCGAGGTACTGGCTGCAGCGGCCAAGAGCCAGGGCATCCACCAGGCGGAAGTCGGAGCGGAGGAAACCGTCAAGGGCGCCGCCAAGAGGATGTTCAACCCCTCGAACCTCTCCGACCTCGTCACCAAGCCGGGCGCCGTCGTGGGCATGCTCAAAGCCATCGTCAACGCCCTGAAGCTGAGGTGGCCCGCCTTCATCGGCACGAACGCGATCATCTCGGTCGCTCTATTCCGTGAGTAATCCCCATCATTTGGTTCAAAGACGCCGTGACTGACGAAAGCAAAGTTCTCCTCTTTGTTCTGTGGTACTGCCACAAGCGCGGCCGCGAGGAGCGCATCAAGCGCGAAAACGCGCCCGAAATCATCGACGGCAGTGGCCGTATCGAGGAGCTGCCCGATGACCCCGCTCTGCCGGGACCCTCGCGCTCTCGTACGGAGCCTGTTCATTCGGATCGTCCGCGCAGCCAACGCAGCGAGCGCAGCAGGCGCAGTGGCAGGGCCGGGTCGGGGCGGACGACGCCGGCGCGGAGGGCTTCGCCACCACCCCCCGACTCTCCCCGCAGAAGAGCTACGAGAAAGTGAAATTGCAATAAGTTGAATGTTGATTAGACTTGCTTACTTTGCCACGACCGTTATGCTTGTTTGCGCTTGGGACATAAGGGATTCCTAGGAAGCTGGATAAATGGACCAGCAAGGCACAATATTACGAGGACTACGAAGCGGATGATGGGAAATGATTATGTGTATTCGTTGAGCATTCATCGTCTCTCGGTTCTCTGACGGAGACGGGAGCCAGTATGTATAGAAAGAACTCGTCTAAGTTCCCCTTCTATAGCTAATGTACAGTTATGAACGATTTGTGATGCCAGAAGAGAAGTGCCTGCGTCGGGTATCTTGTAAACATGCGAGTCTCATCGCAGTGACGCCTAATCATCCTGCACCAGTTCTTTGATCTCATCCCGTCCTGTGGGAGCGACGCCAGTCTGGCCAGCCTTCTCGCCCTGACCGAACCGATCAATAATCCTGCATCCGTCTTGCACCCAGAAGTCGACCTCATCGATAATATCATAGACGATATCCTCAACGATTTGCTCCGTGTAGCGCTCAGATACGGGTCGAACCTCATCTAGCTCCGGGTACCCCGTGTTCTTGGTCTCGTTCTGTCCGCCGTTGACCATGTTCACATCCTTGTCCGCGTGTCCAACAATTCCAGGAGGCGGGTACCAGAAGTCAGGCCCGAAATTGACCTCGGCGGCACCGCCTCTGAAGACACTCACCGCGGGGTAGTACCCAAGCATACCATTGTCCAGGCCATCGCGAGCGCCAATGTTAGATTGCGGCTTGGAAGCTGGAGGCAGGAACGTAAGCAGATCGGTGAATGCTGTACCCATGTCGACGCCATTCTTGTATACTTTGATATGGGAGCCGGGTAGGGTGCGGAGAGCGGGAACGGCGTGATTGGGATGTGGTGCCTCTACCGCATTAGCCGGTCCGGAAGAGACGGGCGATGGGTTCATGAGGTCCTCGAGCTCCTTTGTTGTGTGATAGTCGATCTTTTCGAAGTAGATATGCGACTTGAACCGGATTGGGATGCGGTCGCGAACGATATTGGGAGCCTCGAACGCCGTGCTGTCATCGTCCAGACCGGTGTCCACGGCTGGATTGAACTGACCAGCCAAGACCTTTCTCTGAAGACGCTCCGAAGGAAGCTGAATTTCCAAGCCAATAACGTCACCCTCGCGAATACCCTCTCCCTCGGGGAAGAACGCTTTCGGCCGCGACATGTAAACCTTCTCCCCGCCAACGTCTCTGAAGCCGTAACTGTAAGCATCAAATCCGACGGGGGCGTCCACCGAAGCTTCTCTCCTCGCGAAACCAAAGCGCACGTGGCCATGCGACTCCGGCTGTCCCTCCCCGTCCTTCTTATCGACCATGCCCCTTGTGATCTTGACCTCCCAATAGAATCGCCCTTGCCGAATCGCAACGTTCGCGCGTGTCATGCGGAAACCCTTTTCGGTCGTGATGTGACGGCCTGTCTGGTCGAAGAAGAGATGTGTTGCGCTGTCCTCGAAGGCCAGATGGGGGCCGAAGGGCTCGGCCTCGGTGCCGCGATAGTAAAGCGATGAGGGAAACTCGGGGTCCGCGATGCAGTGAGTGTAGTGGTAGCTCTTCTTGTTGTGAACACTATCAAATCGTCAGCCAGGCCAGCGCACTTGGGGGTCCCGCCGGGGCTCACTGCTCTGATGTCTCGTAGAATTGGATCTTGCCTTCATCGAGAGCCGGCACGTCGTGATGGTGGGTAAATATCGGCGCCCTTGCGGGTTCGAAGTCGGAAGGCTTTGGAGGTGCTAGCTTGTAGCGGATGGGACTGTATTCACTCTGTCTTGGCTCCTTATGCTTGGGATCTGGGGTGTTTCGGTTGCTGTCGCTGCCGAAGGCACCTTTCGACTCGCGCTTCTTCAGCGACTCCTTCTTGCTGCGCTTTGCTGGCATCTCTTCGGTGCCTTGTGGTTTTGGTGTAGACCGAACATCTGGGTTCAGGGGAGAGGGAACGGAAGGAGTGAAGTCTTCCTCAAGTGCAGGTCGTTTCAACGGAATCGCGGTCGAGGCAGGTAGGGAACCGGCTGGAGTCGGCTCCCTGGGAGGGGGAGGAGTGCCTCGGTCAGAGGCCATTGAAGCGACTGTTTCTATCTGTAGGGGTTATTAGTTGGTTAGATGTGCAAGAATCGTGGTATGCGATAGCAATGTGGTGAGCAAAAAGAAGTGATTGAAGTTGGTAAGGTAGCTGTGGTGTCGCAGCGCGTCCGTCGAAATTTTGGAGGTTGTGCTGGAGAAGCTGGTGAGACACCCCACGTAAAGCTTGCTGCTGTCGTCAAAGAGCGTTAGCGGGTAAGGGACAGGGGTTTAGTGCACTAAGGTACCTTACCTTAGTGTACCTGCCCGCCTGTCCCTACCTAGTGGAGTAAACAAAGCAGTTGCAGGCTACATCTTTCACATGAAGCTATTAGAGGTGTGCAATGTGAATTTGCAGAAGAGGTCACAAACACCTGTCGCATGTATGTCATGTTCTATGTTGCGTATGAGATGCTTTGTCGTGCACAGTTAGTGACTGAGATAGGAACCAATTTGAAGTGAGACTTGTCTTCGCTCTATCAGCTCTATGGGACACCACGTCCTTCTACTATGCCGTCAAACGCCGGTCCCATGTGTAAATCCTTATCAAGTGTACAGCTGGAAGTGTTTGTACATGTTTTTCCTCATCCAACCCAAAAGTGAAACCATCCCCGCCCAACCAACCCTTCCTTCATCAAATATGGCTCTCCTGCTCTGCGGCGGAGTCCCAGATCTCTAGTTGCTTGAGAATGCGTTGGTACAAGAACAGCATGGTGCCGCTCTGGATGAATGTCCATACACCACGGGGTCCCACGCCCCTGAACCATCCGCTGATACCCTCCGTCTGGTATATGACCTTGAGGCCGGTGATGACGGAGGAAGTCTGCAGGTTCACTGCACCAGGGCGAGGAGTATGCGTTGACGGCGACGACGTCGAAATGTTGCGCGTCTGAGACTTGGCCGTAGATGCATGCGCAGCACCTCTGGCGGCCGGCTTAGTCTCTTTTGGCAACAGGTCGGGGTGAACCTGGGTCTGTAGCCGGGTCTTGACGACGTCCAGTGGACATGTCATGACACCAGCCAGACTACCGGCAAGACCACCGGTCAGGAGCTCTAAAGGTACGCCAATATCTCGGCTCTGCTTGTATTGGCGAGCCCAGGCGTGGAACTGTTCCCAGAACATGAACTGGAGTGCTGAAAAGGGAAGATCGCGGTAGAGCGTGGCTTGGTAGCCGTAGAAGAGCGCAGCTGGGCCTTCGTGACGGACGATGGTTCTTGCCGCATCAATTGTGCCTCTGTAATTGTACCCTGACTTGAAATAGGGGTTGTTGTATCGTCCCTGCAACTGCATTCGGGTTTTCAGTACTTCTGACGGCACGTAAACAACAGAACCCGCCAAGTCTCCCAGCAAACCTAGGAGTGGTCAATTAGCCTGCGCTTTTCATGTCCATACACGCGATTTCGACTAACCGGCTGTCAGATATGCCAGATGATGCTGCAGACCATGGTCGATAAGAAACCGCTTGCTCCATTCGTATGTGCCGAAGAAGAGCATTGTTCCCGGGAAGGAGCCTCCCAATGCCGGCACCCATCCGCCGTAGAGACCTCTTCTAATGCCCTCTTGCCTCCATATCGTGTAGTATGATGATCCGAGGGAGGTGTATTTCGGCGGGATGTGCGGATCGCCCTGCTGGCGCGTCTTGACTGTGTCCAGGGAGTGCATGAGCATGTCTCCCGTTGAGCCTCCGAGACCTCCCGCGATCATGGCGTAAAGGTAAGGAGGACGGCCCTCCTCTTCGAGAGCCCCATCTTGAGGACTCATATCCTGGCGCAATGACTTTCCGCTGACTCTGATATCCGGCAATAGTCCTCCCGTCTGTACCGCATGACTATCCTCCGCAAACGAAGCCGCCGCCGTCGGGCCGCCCTGACTTGTTCGCGCGTTCAGATCGGCCGAAGAAAAGTAGCTGACGATACGGTCAGCGACAGACATTTGCAGGCGCCGTCTGTCGCTATCGAGACCCGGTTCTCTCCGGTCAGGTCGAAAGTGAAAGGGTTTCGGTCCCTCTTTGCTCGGTGACGTCTATCGTTTTCTGCGGTGTCGTGGGAGGGGCGACCGGTACCACCGTCGAGGGAGGACGACGCCGAATTCGGTTGCGTGAATTTATCAAGGAGAAGAGAGGCCTCCCCGTCGTTTTTGGTCGTCGCGTTAGTTTATTGCGCAGGCAAAAAAACTTGGCGGCGGCAAGGTCCAAATCAACGATAGTGAAATTTCGCAGGGTTCCCGGGTCTCTGGAATTTTTGTTGGATGCGCACGGGCCATATTCCGCGCTGCGGTCCACCTGTCCCGCTGCGTCACTGCGAGCTCACACCTCACCCAGCACTTCAGCCGAAGCCGCAGCGGTCGACGGCCCTAGTCCGATAGTCTTCGGGAGTGCTTCCGGGACCTCCGAGGCGGCGCCCGCCTAGTTCCTGTGACCGGACATCAAAGAATCTCACCGAGACGAACGGTTGCAGATATGAGTCTTTTGATCGCAATTGGGGTGCGGTATAAGATCTATAGTACAGCGGCGCAAGACTTCGAGTTCGCATGATCACATACTACACTCGTGTGGTGGGTAATCAATCACCTTGACTTTACCTTATATTCCTCCCATTTCGTGCTGCCGAACTTTCGGAAAGGATACAAAAACCAGAGGATCTTTCCGGTCACAAGTTCCATCGATATTGGGCCGTATGTGTTGCTGTCTAGCGTCTGGTCTGCGGGCCCGTCGCCCTCGACCCAGATATGGCCTTGAGGTACTCTGACAACCGGCTGCGGATGCGGCGGCCTTGTATTGACATATTCGCCCTCCACTGCAATGACTCTCTTGACCGCGACGGTCTCGGGGTGATAGGGGCTTCTGTAATGCGCCGTAATGTTAGCTGACTGAGGCAAAGTCGAGTCCAGAGCGCTTACGCACCGAAATGTAACGATCATCCCCCTCTTCAGACCATCCTGCGGGTTCAGCTTCCAATTGAGGACGATGTCGCGCGTCAGGGTACTGTCGCGGTCTTCGTTGAAGTAGGGGTACATTGACGCGCCGCTGATCTTCGTCACCGTTGCGATGTAGTCATTGAATGTGATGGCGATGGGAATCCAGGTGGCGTAGCCGAGGAGTCGGATGGCCGTTGCACCGAAAAAGCTCCCTCGCGCACGCGCCCATAGCGGACGGAAGCTCATGGGCGCGAGTGTGATTGAGTTTGTTGACTTGTTGTTCGCGCGAAGAATTAGAGAGCTTCTCGTTGCTTCTTGGGTTGGGTGGAAACTTTCGAGCTCTCGTCATCCCACTTCCTTATCTTATCTTATCATATCGCTTATCGCACATACGATGAAGACTGACCTTAATCTGCCAAAGGCATTTCTCGTCCTTTCAAATCACGTCTCGAAGTCAGGACGATCGGCGCGAAGCAGCTTGCACTAATGCTTTCGATTCTGTTTTTAATTACTTTTCACCTGTACTTTGGCTTAATCCCTCTGTCAAACCCGGATAATGCTGACTCTCTGAAGACATGAAGGTCAACTCCTCAGACGTAAGAGAACGTCTCGGGACACATTCTTTCTCTCCCCTTCTCTTTATTTGATGTCTTGCATACTGACAGAACCGCATTCAAAATTGTAGCTAGGTGGGTTGATGTCATATACTGTTCTGTGTCCCAGTAGAAACCCTTTCAGAGGTTGAGCTCGGGTTTCTAACCCAAATCGCTACACAAAGTCTTCCCCTTAATCCCATTACAACTCGATAAACAATCAGAAAGTTACAGAGAACGGCAAGAGTTCCCAAAGAAGTACAAACTAGTATCCAAACACGCGGCGAATTCCCGAAACTTCAGTCTCTTTCCCCGTGTGCGTGTTGCACAGTCGTCTCGCGGTGCACCATGATGCCGTTGTAGCGGCTGCTGCTCCCGCCTTCCCCGATGCCATCAGCCGACACGACAATGGTGCGGTCACCCCTTTGCGGGCCGCCAATATCGCCCAACGTATCCACGCTGCTGTTGCTATTCTCTCCGTCCACCTGCCGCGAGGAGTCACGGGCGTGGCACCCCAGCGCCGACTTCACGTTCTTCTGGTACCCGGACCACAGCTTCGCCTCGTCGTCCTCGATCCCGTCCTTCTTCCCGTCCGTCGACGCGAGCTCGTACGATTCGTCCTGCATTCGCCGGCGCTCGATGTTCTGCGCAACGACGGTGTTGAGGCGGTTCTTGCAGTTCTTGGCAGAGGATGAGGCCCCGTGCTTGCTGCTCATTTGCGACGTGATGAAGGAAGGCAGGTATCGCACGAAGAACGGCTTGAGGGCTGGCACCGAGGCGCAGATCATGCCCGCGTTGATCTCGATGAAACACCAGACGAATACGTCAGCTGCGTCCCAGGAGTAGTCAGGACTGCTGAGGAGTTGGGGAAACGGGATTGTTCGCCTGATGGCGACGCCAACGACACTTTTGGGAACTGTCAGCAAAGGTAAAAAGGGTAATAGGGAAAGGAGGAGACTAACAAGGCACCAGTTCCAAATAGGAGAATGATCGAGGCTTTCTGTCTCCTGGCCATCTGGAGTGGCATTACCACAGGGATGGGCAGCAGCAGGATCAAGAAGTCCATGATGATGTTGGCAATGCTGAGGGCAAGGTAGATGCTCAACTGGTCGATGCAAGTCTTGTCTGTGATTGTGAGGTCCCAGGTTGCTCTAACAGGCACGCAGGCCAGGATGTTGAGGAGGATGTACACGATAGAGTAACCGCAAACGATGGCGATAAGGCAGTAGACGCCCCGGCGGAACCATACTTGCGGAGACAAACGCAAGTAGAGGAAGAGGATGGACAACTTCGAGAAGGTGATAGCGAGCGCGTACAAGATGGTTCCGACGATCGTCAACTAACGAAAATCTAGCGTTAGTTCCAGGATCTCATGATATCATCAAGTCTACGGGATGTGAACTCACAATGGGAAAGTTGATATTATATGTCGCGAACCGAATGTCCCACATATGATGTGCGAGCCCGTGGGCGACGACTGAGATTGTTGGTGAGTCTGGACTCTCGGCATATGCATGTTTCCGTTAAAGACTTACTGTTGAATAGTACCACAATCAATGAAATGGTGAACATCAGAGACGTAATCACCAGGTCTGTCCCTCGATGTTAGATGCGCGCAACATGGCCAGATACTCAGCAACTCTAAAAAGCTTACAGTCGTCGATGTTGAGAGCCGTCCGGACAATGTACAGCCTCGTGAAGATGCGGAGCACTACCGAGAACCCCGCGATGAAGGTTGTCGCGAAGACCCAGGAGTACAGTTGCACCTCGAGGGTCGGCGGGTCTACCTCGGTGCGGACCTCGCCCTCTGGCACTTTCGCGACCCAGATGCCGTCCATGGCGTGATTGTTTTCTTCAAGCGGTGAGAGACAAGAACGAGCAGGCTGCAAAATAAAGTGCCGCTTGAGGAATTCGCTGCCCCCAAGTGGTATCAACACCAAAGTGGATATTGAAGAGTGTTTAAAGCCAGCAGAGAGCCCGGGCGTGCTTGGTTATTTCATCCCCAATCGTTCGAGGCCGTCGTCCATCTCCTATCCCTCGCCTTAACCAGAATCGAGCACAATCAATAATTCTTGCCATTGTTTGCTTCGAACAATAGGAACCAGATGCTCGGGATCTCCCACCGGATCATACGCAAGCCACTCTTTTCTACCACACCACTCGCGGATCTCAATGGGATGCCGGGGAACCGGCGAACGTTGTCCCAAACGCATCTTGGATCTCAGTTGTTGCAGTAAGGCAATCTTAAACCCCCTCTTCATGTGAATCTGAGGCATGAGAGTGTCTGTTAGATCGGCCGTTGTCTCCTTTGGAGGAACGTGCAAAGGGCCAAGTCGGAAATGGAGCCAGATTCCGCTAGGATTCAGCCGCCTCCAACAGTGATTATACCTAATGTTTGCTTCGACTTTCGGTGTGATTAGTCTAACCCAGTGTTCCGCTGACGTGGTTGGCTCGTTGAGGGAAGGAGAGACGTCGGCTTATGCTGTTGGAACCGGGGTTCGTTCACTCGGGCCGGGGTACTAATCCATCGGGTAATCTATCGGGAGGAGAAGGGCACCACGGTGCCCATCTTGTCTCCCTCGAGAGGATTCGAGACCAAAAAAATGGGGGGAAATTGTTCGAACCTAGCTTTGACAAACAAGTCAAAGTGGAGTGCGTTGGAGTGAGTGTTGCCATCATTATCAAATGCCTCTGAAGCTGGACGCGGGGGGAGTTCAAAGTCAAGGGCCCCGACGTCGACGTGCTCACTTTGCCAGAATCGATACGGCCGTGTAGGTTCCCAATGTAACACTGCTTCTGTTATCGGAAAACGCTCAACTCGGCAAGTGCTTTCTCATTGGCGGCTTATAACCTCCTCTCACCTATCACAAAAGTGTTTCTGATGTACCAGACTCCAACTGTCTCGCCGACTCCTCTTCCTCAGTCGACCGGTCGACAAATGCGTGGGAAAGGCGACTGCACCAGCGCCACCCACAGACTCATGCATATGCCGTTGGTGATACCAGCAGCCGGCGACAAGGCACCGGTACAGGGTAGGGTCGCGGCTTTCTTGGCCCGGTGAAGACAAGGGGTGGGCAGCAAACAACCACCACGCATCCGGAATGTAGCTCATGGGATGTAACGACGACCCGGGCGATGGGATCGCCCTTTATAAGTTCCCCTTTCGAGAACGTGATGAATGCCGCATCTTCTTCACACTCATCTCATTTCCCTCCCCCGTTCTCTGACGAGGCAACTCCTGATCCTCTTCCCCCTTTGCTGCCTACCCTTGATCTCCTTGTTCCAAGGTCCTCGAAACCCCTTCGCTCGAGTATCTCATTGTCTTCCTGAGACTCCAAGCACGGCAAGCAATAGCCGGGTCCCCTTTCGTCACATATCACTCAAGCCCCTCCGGTCCCCGGTTCTCCTTCCTTCCTCTCTGCTTGACACACGAAGAGACAACAACATGGCTGAAAAGTACCCCTTCAAGGACATGGTCTTCGCCGTCACTGGCGCCAGCCGCGGCACCGGTCTCGCCCTGGCCAAGTACCTCCTCATCCGCGGTGCCAAGGTATCCATGTGCGCTACCACGGCCGCGAACCTCGCCACGGGGCTCGAAGAGATCGAGAAAGAGGTCCCCGATGTCAAGGGCAGGGTCATGACCAAGGTCGTTGACATCGGCAAGCTCGACACCGTCCAGGCCTGGCTCAAAGAGACCGTTGAAGTGTTTGGCCACCTTGATGGTGCTGCCAATGTCGCTGGTTTGTTTCCAATTCACCCTCTTTCACACGATATTTCGAAGAATCGCAGAATTGTACTGACACTGTAACACAGCGGTTGAGCAACGGAAGGTATACCAAATGCAGGATCTCGATCCGGTGTACTTTGAGATGCTCCTCAGAGTGAATGTCGTCGGCACTTGGAACTGCATGAGGGAAGAGATGCGCTACATGAAAGACGGCGGATGCATCATCAATGTCGGCAGTATCGCGAGCAAGTACGCCACTGGCGGCACTTCTGCTTACATCGCCAGTAAGCACGCCCTCATCGGTCTCACCAAGGTCGGTGCTTTCGAGGGCGCCAAGAGACGTATTCGTGTGAACATTGTGTGCCCGTAAGTTGTCCCTGCTCAACAGAGTTTCCTGGCGAGCTTCGATTATTCACTTACACGGTGACTTCAGGGGCTGTATCGACACCGAGATGATGTCAAAGTCATTCGAGAGTGCCGAGGGTGAATTCTACCTCACCACCGATACCATCCCCTCCCTCACCAAACGTTTGGCGGAGCCCTGGGAGGTCGCGGCCTCGATTGCTTTCCTCATGGGCCCAGAGGGTAGGTTCGTGAACAAGTCGTCGTGGTACATTGACGGTGGTTGGAACGAGGCAGCCTACACTTCCTTGTAGATTGGATATGTAATTATGAGACGAAGTAGGCAGGAAATAGAATTAGACATAACCATCGACTTCAGAATTCGTTTGCGGCAATGGCGTTCCCTTGATGCATTGCGATGATAGATACACCTGTAAACTTCATGACGTCAGCTTCTTTGACACATCGCGACGCAAGGTTACTTCTCATCGGACTCCCTCATCACTTCTGATACTGACCGGGGAATTCCCAGCTTGATCTATCCTGACTTCTCAGGGACGTTACGTCGAGTTACTCCGTGGCACATACATCCTGCGCTATGAACCGCGTCTTCTCGCTCAGTCACAAAAGTCGGAAGGGGGAAAGTTGAAGTAATGGATTTTTTTGGTCGTCTCATTAGAATCGTTTCAGATTCCCAGCCTGCCAGTACGCTCATTCTACCAGCCGCCCCTTTTTTTTTAGTTGCCTTGACCGTAGAAAATCTCTAGACCTCCGGGTTGTCATCGCTCTCACTGACACTCTCGTCACCGCTGACCTCAGCGTTCTCGCGCTCTCTCTTCTCCATAAGAGCCTGGAGCTCGGCGTCATCGCTCTCCGTGACGGCCTTAGGTTCCATCTTCACCACAAGCTGGCCACCGGCCGCCTCGATGCTGGTGCGGATGTCGACGATAGCCTCCTCGAGGCAGGTGATACCAACGTTCTTGTCCAAGCACGTGCTGGTGAGAACGTACAGGGGCGGGGATACGAGCCTGACCTTGACCTGGGTCTGCTCAGTGTTGCGCGACTCGGCGGTGCGCAGGGCCGTCTTGACGGCGTCGATACCCTCGTATCCGAAGCAGGTGACTTCGACGTCGGCACGGACCTTGGTCGGTTGCGGCGTCAGGCGCTTTCCGATATATGACTTGAGCTCCTCGGCAACGGGCTCGCTGGGGAAGGTGACGTCGTCCCAAACCTCGGAGTTGCTGTATACAGAAATCAGTATTTGACGACTGTGGAGGGCCACGGGGTCAGCTTACGTGATGGACAGCTTGAAGGCGTCGATCGCGTGGCCGAACTTCTTGTTGAGGGGCCATGCGATGGTCTCGTACAGCTGCTCGATTGGGGTAAGGGTCTTCTCGGCGACGTGGCGCATGATGGAGTGAACCATCTTGCCCTTGTTGTAACGCTCCTCGCACTTGATGATGTCCTCCGGCGACACACGACGCTTGCTGAGATCGATGTAACCCTTCTCCTTATCGACACGAAGGACGACGACGACCTCGTTGCGGCCGACGCGGATAAGCTTCTGGATACTTCTGATACGACGTCTCGACAGTTCGGAAAGAAGAATCATGCCGTCGATGTTGTCGTACTCGAGGAGCTTGACGTATGCACCCATTTCGGCAATCTAGCATCCAGTCAGACCGGGTTGTTCTCTCCTCCAAACGGGCGGCGGGTCGGTTTCGCGCCGTGTGCGTTGGGCAGCGGGGCACAAACCTGCTTGACGTTGACCATGACGAACTCATCGATCTCGGGATACTTGTTTTCGAAGTATCGAAAGTGGCTGTAGTTCGGTTCCGCCATCTTGGCTACTGGTTCTCGAAGTCGTCGAGTGCGAACGGCGTGGGTGGCGTTGCGGTGGTGGTTTGACCGGGAGTCGAAGGTGAAGGTCGAGAGGTGTGGATGGGCGGGGTGCGAAAGAAGGCGCGCGGGCTTTTTACGTTCCTCCGAGTTCCTGGGGCAGCTTGTTTCCTCTGTGCTCGGTGAATATTTCGCCTGCTCGTCGTGGGTTGGAGTCGCTGACGCAGAGGTGGGATCGAATGCTCGGGGCGACGTCGAAAAATGGCCTCTCGGTGGTGAGCAGTGTTGCGTTGGTGATTGGGCGATCGAGTCACAATTTTGCTACTTTGCGGTTCACAAAGCAGAAATCCGAACAATGGTGGGGTGCGGCTCGCGGGCGGTGGTCCCTGGCAAAAATCGACCTTGATTCGCCCGATAAGCTTTCCTTCGCTTATCGCCACGTGAGGCCCCCCGACCAAATTGCTACTGTAAACACCTCCCTACACAACGAAGCTATCATCCTAGCTCAGCCAGGTATAGAGAGTGAAAATTTGCGGTCTTTACAATCAACTTCGACATGGCACCCGGTGAGTTCCTTGCAGAAGACACGAGACAAACGTCCTCCGGCAAGATCTCTCGAGCTAACAATGCTGCAGCATCCCAATTCGAACTGGCGCAAAAGCCTGGCGACGCCATCTCTGCGCTCTCGTATGCGCCCCAGTCTCCTACCAAGCTTCTGGTCTCTTGCTGGGACAAGAAGATATATCTTTACGATACTCACAGCGGAGACGAAGACGCGCCCGGGACCCTTCTGAAGACGATCGAATTCCGGGCGCCCGTCCTTGACGTGTGTTTTGGCGCGACAGATGACGAGGCCTACACGGCTTGCCTGGACCACTGCGTCTACCGGTACGATGGCACAAAAACCACTGCAGATATAAACAGGCTAACAGCGTGGTAGTGTCGATTTGGAGTCAGGAGAGAAGTCAGTAGTTGCTCAACACACCGCCCCCGCGCGATGCGTGGTCTACAGCTCAAATCACTGTAGGTCCTAACCCCCTTTCTAGCAGCGTATCCTAGCTAACACCACCTTAAGCCCTGCTCATCTCCGCATCATGGGATCAAACCCTCCAGATTCATAACACAAAGTCCCCTTCCGACTCGAACATCACCGTCCATCTGCCCGGCAAGCCCCATGCCCTAGCCGTCAGCCCCTCGAAGGTGGTGGTCGCCATGACCGCTCGCCTTGTCAATATTTACGACATCAGCGCCGTCCCTGCTCTCTTCGGCCAGCCGGGACCTCACGAGATCAAGCCTTGGCAGCAGCGCGAGTCATCTCTCAAGTTCCTTACCCGAGCTGTCTCATGCATGCCGAACGATGCCGGCTACGCGACCAGCAGTATCGAAGGTCGCGTTGCGGTGGAGTGGTTTGAGGACTCGGCCGAGTCGCAAGCGCGCAAGTACGCCTTCAAGTGCCATCGCCAGGCTGCTCCCGCTGAGGGAGAAGGAGACATCGTCTACCCCGTCAACGCCATGACCTTCCACCCCGTCTACGGCACCTTTGCCTCTGGAGGTGGCGACGGAACCGTTGCGCTGTGGGACGCTGAAGCCAAGCGCAGGATGAAGCAATACCAAAAGTTTCCCGATAGCGTCGCTGCTTTAGCCTTCTCTAGGGACGGCAAGTATCTTGCCATTGGTGTTTGCCCTGGCTTCGAGACGGGCATGGAGGACTACAGCGCTGAGGGCAAGGCCAGCGTTTTGATCCGCGAACTCGGCGAGGCGGAAGCTAAGCCCAAAGGCGCGAAATGATTGACTGATACGCTTGGATCAAGTCATGGAATTTTCGAGAATACGTTGGCGATTGGCGTTTGGGGCGGTTTCCACATGCAAGTTCAATTTGATGGATTGGGAGGGTTACGGAAAAGCCTGGTATGTTTGTATCAGATGATACCTCTGTATGGGAGCGATGTCTACACATGTGTTTGTAGTCTGTATAGAGCTAATCTCCCAAAATTCAAGTCCTCCTGAAAGGACTGCGTCTAACCACCGTACGCTGAAAACTGCGTCGCCCACCAACCGATGTGTCTTCCCTCAAGTGACAACAGCGTCGGACACATTCGTTTATTCATCAATCACTCTGTGTTGATTCTGGTCTATTTCAGCCTTAAATCGAAACTTCCGGTCCCGATGGTGGCTTGCAGGTCCAGTCCATCTTGTGATCTTGATGCAACGGACGCATCGCCGAGATAAGAGCTGCTTGAGTCCCCCACGTCCAAGGGGCTGTCGGATGTGTTCGTGGTAGCGAATGTGTTGACCTCCGCTAGTCCATAGTTCTCGGCCTCGTGTTTCGAGGAGGCTTGCGGCTGGATCAAATGATCTATCCGGTCAATCTCGCGCCCAGTCCTCTCGATATCATTCTGGAGGCCGTCTGCTTCCTCATCGGCAGCCTTCATGAAAGTTTTCGTAGATCTCTTGCCCCATTTCTTCTTGATTCGATGTTGAAGAGAGTACTGCCCTGCGATCCTGGACGGTAACAGGGCTGGAATTAGCAGACAGCCCTCCGAATCGTCCTTCCCGACCGAAAGTAGTCGCCCCTCCGTAAAAGCGGTTCCGGTGACTGTCACCTTCATGGGTTCTTGTGTCTTCTTCTGGTCGAGTATCCACTCAGAAGACGCAAGAACGTCAGCAGGTTCGTCCTGTTGGGGAGCCCCAGGCTGTGATTTAACCTCTGTCAAGAGAGACCCCAATTCGGGCCTAGAAGAGGATCTTCTCTGCCGCTTAGCTGTTGGATGTACCCTGATTTTACGAGCTTCTCGGGGTTGAAAACCATCCCTCACACTTTGTCTAGGGGGTGGTGGCGCGGCATTTCGTGACTGCAATGGTTTGTAGTCCTCTTGGTGAACTTCAACGCACTTCTTGCGTTTCTTAATTGGACCTGGTGTCTTTGAACCAAATGGTAAATTGGCCCCATCAGCAGACCGACGCTCAGAATCATTCTAGGCTTCAGAAATAGTTAGAATTGCTTGAGAATACTCGAGGACTGCAGTTACCTTCTTTACGATCGAACCGCGTGATAAGCTGTGAGTTGATATCCCAAGCGAACTTGGAAGGAACAGTAGCACCTGATCTTCTATTTTTGGCCAACGGAGAATGTTCGACTTTGACCAAACGCTGTTTAAGCCTCTCATTGCACGCATCAAGCGTTAAGCCGCGTGTTACACCGGGAGATTTGCTGGTTTCCGTCTTCAAGAATACAGCCGCTTCGTCTGGTCCAGATGAACCGTCCGAGTAGTCATTGAACCGTTTCGTATTTGCCTGACGGCGTGGTTCCGTCTCTCCATTCTCGTCCTCGATGAGTCCAATGCAATCCCGGGGGAGATGTAGCCCTTGATTGGATTCATCTGACCAGCGTAGATGATTTTCAAGTCTCTCGTAACTCCCACGGCAGGTGTCAGAATCCGAAGTTGGCGGCATGGTTGTCTCCGACGAAAGCCGTTGCTTCTTTTCATTTTGGGAGCTGAAACATTTTGTCAGTACTCAAGGCCTATATCGAAAATTTCTAGACCCACGAGGTTTGATTTGAATGACCGCGAACGGGTGACTTGTTTTCCTTCTTAACTAGACATGATATGTAGTCGCTCGATACCTCATGTCCCCTGGCGATACTGATCGCAAAAGGGGTGGATTCTGTAGGCGAACGACTTGGTTGATTTGTGGTACACGTCCGTAATCTTCGACACTTCGAGCGCCCGGATTCCATAGACATCATACCGGATCAAATTGTTCGGCCGTAGAATCTAAATAAGACACATGGTCCTGATTGATATGTCTGTCGATGCGAAGAGATTTGGAGTAGAGTGCAACTCCAAGTGAAGAAAAAGTTACGTTTCCAAAGATGGGAGAAAACCAATTTGCCAGCGATGGTGTTCGGGATCAGAAATTTGCGGTCAGATTGTGTGGCAGGTAGGTGCCTGAAAGGAACCGATGGACCGGTACTTCTTGCCTCTCACATCGCACATGACAGAAAGAGCAGCTGCTCGCACCTTCCTTCCGTTCTCCCAAGCCAACACCAACACCAACACCAGCAGTAACCAAGGAAGAAACACGTAGTGCCTGTGATGGAGTTCGCGGTGGATGGAGACTTTAAACATTGACTGAAATGTCTCTTGATCCTGCAACCCAGCAAGATTCATTTGTTACCCCCCCAACCTCATCGGACTGTTCGTCAACCACCGTACCACAACGACTGCCTGAATGGAAAACGCCGTCTCATATAGAGTATGATGTCCATTTTGAATTTCCGTCTCAGTTTAGTGCAAGCTATTGGTGTCATGAAGAACTAAAATCTGACAGATCTTCGGCTAGGTAAGATACCTGTTGAATAGCCTCATTCTTGTGATTGACGACCAATCAAGTACGAGGGGATTGGAGGTGTGACACCAAACAAGCTGCCAGCGTTGTGCCAGACGAACCTATGCGCCAAAGGCCACCCCCGATCTATCGTACAATTTCAGTAGTCCATTGGCCGCCATCTTCTCCGCTGAGTCCTGACTCTCCAGCCCTAGTGTCCGCCTTCTTTTGGCGCAATGGCCTTGGGCTCAGGGACGTAGTCGAATGTTCCACCCATATTCAGAAGCCAGACTTCACTAGGATTCGATGGGATCTTTTCGCCCCACAAGAAGTTGTGAGGAAATCCCATGTCGAATGGCACAGCTCCTTCAATCTCCTCAATGTCCTCATCGGTCAAGTGGAGGGCAAGGGCCTCGATGTTCTGTTTCAAGTGGTCGACGGTGCGTCCACCAACGATCGGGAAGACATAAGGTGTCTTGTGCATGACATATGCAAGAGCGACGCTGGTGATGATGGTGTTCTTGCGGTTGGCAATCTTCTCCAGGACCTGGCTGATCTTGATCTGCGCCTCACTGGCCTGAACCTTGCGGCCCTCCTGGGACTTGCGTTGCTCTTCCGTCTTGAAAGCGCCGCCGCCCAAAGCACCCCAGGGAGCTAAGCCCATGCCCTCAGCCTTGGTCATCGGAATGATCTCCCGCTCGAAGTCGCGAGAAGCAGCAGACCAACGGCCCTGGTAGACGGAGAATTGGCGGAGCCCATGGTTCCTGGCATACTCGTTCGCCTTGCTGCTCTGTTGTCAGCTCCGTCTCATCATCGCCCAGTCATCAAGACGTACCTGACAATCCACGCAGGAGTGTCGCTGATGCCCAAGTAGAGAACTTTGCCAGTGACAACAAGGTGGTTGAGAGATTGCATCAACTCAGGAATCGAAGTAGAATAGTCCCTAGTCAATTAGTATAGATCAATTATATCAATGGCCCAGGGGCATTTACCACCAGTGCACATAGAGCTGTGTTGGTGTCAGTGACGTCACTTAGATATACGAGTGAGTGAGGGTCTTACTAGGTCGATGTAGTCAGTCTGCAACTTCTGAAGACTGGCCTCAACAGAGGTATGCAGACTTTTGCTGCCGTTTCCGGTGAAGTTCGCCATGATATTAGGGGCCTTCGGTCCGGCCTTGAAGTTGGTGGTGTACTTGGTCGCGATGACTGGCAACTTGTTAGCGAGTCCTAGTTGAGAAGAGATGTTCACTTGCCCATCTGGTCTCGAACGCCCCTCTTCTTCATCCATTCACCGATCCAGGCTTCGGACTCTTCGAATTGATAATTGTTGGCGGTGTCGATGAAGTTACCGCCCTGCTCGTGGAAAAAGTCGAGAATACCGTCGACGGTCTTTTGATCGCATGTTCCCATGTAACCTTGCCTGCATTGATGTTAGTCGCAGTGTGAAATTCCAAGAACTTATAGCTCACCAAGCGTCGCCAAAGTTCATGGCGCCGAGGCACAGCGGGCTCACACGAACGGAAGCCGTGGGAGAGAGTATGCGGTATCGACCCAAAGGGGTCTTGGGAGGTGCTGCCATAGGTAGGGCGGACATGGTGACGGTTGTTTGCGCGATGCTTGAATTGTATGCTGATGTCGTGGAGGATAGGAGGGGAGGAAGAAAAGGGAAATTGTGTTTCAGGTGTAAGGGAAGGGGAAAAGTAATGGATGTGAATGAAGATTTGGCGAGGTCTGATGTCGTTGACTTTGTTTCGAAGGGAAGGAGGGGTTGAAAGAAGAGCAACGAACTTATACCGCTCCTTCCTTTTCCACGCGCGACGCGAAACCACCCGTGGACGCCGCGGGGTTGTCAACCAGCCGAATGGAACCATCCCATCCCCAGCCGGCAATGCAGGTCGTAGATCCAATTGCGGGTGACTTCATCGTTGCTCGTCGAAACCATTGGACATATGCGTTTAGAGTTAGCTCCAGCGCCGGGCCTTAAGTCCGTGAATGCTCCATCCATGATGTAGCAGGGCCCTGCGCGAAACCCAGTCCTGCCAGTAGCTGACTGCTCGTTCACCGTAGTTTTGGACAAACACCGAACTTATCCCCGACTACAGTGTGGCATCCTGCACCCTCTATCACGATGTTATCATGGAAATGAGTCTCACAGAGAGAAGATGACGCTAGCGGAGTCCGGCCGCAAGCCCGATGAGTGGCTAGGTAGGCAGTAGGACCACATTGCGGCGCAAGTTAGTTTCGAGAGAGTGTGTGATTCCTAAGCAATCGGGGCAACCTTCACTGTGCTTATACAGACTACGAATTATGCCCCAACATGTCATGGAAATCACGTTGCCAACGTACTCATGGCGGTCGCCCTGCTTGTTTGTTTCATTGACTGCGACCCTAGCTTGTCGATCTAAAAATCGGTGCGACGGCATATATGCTTTCAAATTTGCCAGTTGATGGAGATTCGTTTCGTCCTTGCGCAGTCTAGCAACACACTTAGCTTCACGAAAGTCTGACGTTGTTGCAACTTGACTGTGATGGAGAGAAAGGGATACCCCACTCGCTTTCACCTGGCAGCTACCTCCTGTCTACAGCCACAGGCGTTGCCCAAGCGGAGAAGAAATGCGACAACTTTTGAGAAAATGATCGGGAATTAGAAGAATATGTCGTCACACTAGGTACTGGATGTGACATGCGATCGAATGTAGCTATTCGCCTAATACGCCAGGCCGGCCACGTTCGCTTTCGGGCTCGCTTTTGGCAGACTACTGCAACTTGAGCGGCGCCCAGTGTTCAGGTAGAAGTCCCTGAGACTTTGCAGATGATCGCTTGCTTCGCTACCCGCCCAAGGTACAACAGACCTCGGGCCGGAAAAGGTCGAACTCCGGTCAATTTCTCACCTCACCCGACAGCACGGAGCAATGCGCCCGAGCCGCAGCTAGACAATGGTACGATAATTCCAAGGGTCCTTCGATATTTGCCTGCTGCTTCTAACGACTCGTCGGACCGCTCTCGCAGCATAGCGACAACCTCGATTTGACAGCCGATCGCGCCCCCTTCGACATGATACCATAGACAAACCGAATCGGTCATGGACGTTGACGAGGGTGCGCAATGTCTGCTTCCGCCCCAGTGCCATCGAAGGCCGCAATCCATGCGCTACGGGGTCTTTTATTCGGCACTTCGTGCTCCCTCGTGCTGCTGGCAGAGGAACGCCGCCAACGCATCAAGATCGCCCGGTCCGCTGTCGAGAACGGGAGGAAACTGAAGTCCCTGAAGCGATACAGCACCAATGGACGAGCCGCCATCCAGGCGCTGCAGGAGGAAGTCCGAACAGACCCCGACTTTGTGGGCTGGTCGAGTCGGTCACGAAGCAAGTGCTCTCTCGATTTGGACAATGTTGCTCAGGATCTCGGGCCCGACCCACGGCGGCCGACGAGACCAGCGAAACAAACAAAAGATCGAGAAAAACCACAACCTTCCACGACAACATCCAGCTCATCGACCGAGCACGCGACTCTTCCGACCCCTCATCGAAGGTTCGCTTCTGATCTCGCGAGAGGACTGGATCACGAATCGTCCTGGCCCAGTTTCTCAATTCGACGTGACTCCATGCGGTCGGTGTCTGGTGCCCGTGGAGTTGCGCAACACATGTCATATCACACAGATTGGAAACACAAACAGTTGGCCCTGGTTCTGGACAATTTCCGGGAAGAATTCCCCCATCTTTGCAGCGAAGAGGAGATGGGCCACGGTTTCCCGCCAGACTCGGATCGTTACACTCCACAAACGGCTGTGAGTCTTGTGCGCCAAGTATACAAATCGGTCGCCAGTTCTCGCGAGCTTCCCGCTTGGTTCATCGACTTCTCTTCGAGCTTATGCGTCGCTCTTCAGCGGATAAGTCAGCATCATGCAGCAGCAGAGATTTTAGCCATCGTCGTTGAGCATGGACCACTGAGTTTGCGCGATTATCTGCTCCATCGACCCCTTAGGCTCATTGCGGCCCTCGCATCTGGAAAGTACACCGAGCAGCTGATGGGAAAGAACCTCTCGGCTCGGGCAGAGTACACCAATCGAGTAAAAGGGCTCTTTCTGGCTCAAATAGTTGACATGGCCCAAATTATGCCCGACGTCCTAGCGCCTTACATCAACACCGGCCGAAAGCTTATCGTGATGGCTCTGTCGCTGAACTGCGGTGCCCAGATCATGAAGGTCTTCGGCCGAGTCAAGTACATTACAGAAACCCCGACACCTGAGATCATCTGGTTCATCGAGCGTCTTGTGGAGTACAAAGAACACGCACTGGCTATCGACACCTTTGCCGCATCTTACGCTGGGCTGAATGGAGTCACGGACACCAAAGAGATGTGCGGTGTTATAGTTGATTGTATCGTCAAGTCAAAGGGCTATGCGGCGCTCGAGGTTCTGAACAACTTGAATCAAATCAGCAAACGCGACGGCTGGCATGTCGACGTTACTTGGGTAGATTCTATTCTCTGGTCATACTGGAAGGCCTCGGAAAACTACAAAGCGACGTTAAAACTCATCAATCATGTGCAGGATAACGGCTTCTACGGCATCAAGGATACATACGAGATCCGGCGTAGTATCGTGCGAATCGGCCTTGAGGGGAATGATGGGCAAGCGGCCCAGTTGAACTTTGAAAATCTTTCCACCGAATATCCCGCTGCTCGAAACGATATGGAGCTTCGTGTTGCGTTGGCTCGGCGCAAGGCCTCGTCGGGAGACTGGGCCGGGGTGCGCGCAGAATTCGAAGCCATGAAGGCTACGACGCCGTTCACTCAACAACAGCAGAAGAGTTTCAGCAACATATTTACCGACGTCCTGCAAATTTATTCGAAAACCCACACATGGGGAGAAACCGAGACGTTCCTGGAAACCTACGTCCAAGAGCTCGACGTGGCGCTCAACAGCAACCTAGTCAGGTTCATCGCCAACAGACACGGCAGGTGCCGCGATATCAAGGCAATGGTGCGTTGGCTTGAGTTTTGCAGGATGGCCGGATTCCACATCGATCTGGTCTTCTGGCGCACCCTCTTCCAACGCTGTAAGCGGGATTGGAAGTACGGCGATCGCGACTGCCGAGAACTGTACCGTGAGATGACCAAAAGCATCACCGACCCGCAAGAGTTATCCGTCGCCTCCAAGGCCTTCAAGGAGTTGAAGGTCGTGCGCTGGGACGAACAACTCGCCCTCGTCCGTCTCAAGTCCCATCGGCATAATCCCGCCGATAAACGCCGCACACTGGACCGTATGTGCATTGAAGCACAACACGAGAACTGGGCCGTCGTGCAATCCATCTACAACCGCGCCGTGCACAACGGCATGGGCTACTCGAGCCGTTGTCTCCACCTGGTCGTCCTCGCAAACGTCCGCCTCAACGGCCCGCGCTGCGAAAAGGCCAGCAGCCTCCTCGCCAGAGCGCAGGCGGAAGGCCACGACATCAGCCACGCTGTGATGCCCGTTATCCTCGCCAAGTTCGACGAGGTCAAGGAGTGGTATAGCGCGCACACCGACAGCGAAGGTCGCGGCTGGCCGTTCCGCGCCATCAAGACCATCATCTCCGAATTCGAGGACAAGGGCATCCACATCGTCGAAAGGGTCTACAACCGCGCCGCCGAGATCTGCATCGCCCTGCGCAACTATCGCGAGGCCATCGCCCTCTGCGTCACTGCCGCCGAGAAGAACGGCCACGGCGACCTCTGCTACAGCCTCGGCAACTTCCGGAACCTCGTCTACGCCTACACCGTCCGCCACGAGTACGTCAAGCTGCGCTGGGTCATCTCCCAGCTCGTCAACCACCACTACCGCTTCGAGCACGGCTGCCGCCAGGTCCTCAACCGCTCCATCCACTACCTCAAGGTCGCCTCCCAGATCCCCAAGGCCGAGGAGTTCGTCCGCGCCGACCTCGAGACGCTCGAGTACGTCAGGCGGGCTCGTGAACTCATCGGCAGGGAGCACCACATCGCCAAGGCCGATGCCCAGGAGGAGATCATCGACGCCGCCCTGCCCGGCCGCACGCGTTCGGAAAGCGAAAGAGCCGAGGCCGTGTCCGAACGCGCGGCTTCATATCTCAAAATCGTCGCCGAAAATCGCGAGTTCGAGGCCGCCCGGCTGGCAAGGTTGGAAATGGAGGAGGAGGAGGTGGAGCGCGGGGATTACGATGGCTCCCCTACGCCCTACCAAGAAGAAACGAGTCTCCATAGGATGCAATCCGCTGAAGTTGCGTCTTACTGATACGTGGAACGATGGTGGAGGTCGAAGAGCATCAGGGGGAAGAAGACCAGCAAATCTAGTAATGTACAAAAACGTGTACAGCCAAGTACAAAATGTAAAGAACCTTTAGACGTATAGACCACATGACGGGCACCAGTCGCAAGGCAGACCCGAGTTCATTGCTCACGTCCTCACTTCGCATGGTGTGTGTACGTCTGTGACGAAGCTGAGGAGCCACGAGTCTTATCAATGTGTCTCTTCGACAAAAGCCAAATAAACAAGCATACTATTTCTGACGCGAGACGTATACCAGTCTTTTTCGTTTGGAGGCTCACGTTGCGGAAGGGTTCGGCAACCAAGTCGCGCGCGCACGAGTTGGTTCAAGTCAAATTGGTATTTGCATGGAGAAGAGGGGGGGATCTACGCGCCCGATGAAAAGCCTCACAGGAGAAACATGAACAATCGAGAAGCCATCTCAACAAATATGGTACACGTAGTTATCGATCCCAGCCCGCAGGGTCCTACCACGATGGGTCTGTTCCCCTTTCTCTCTTCGTTCAGGAGAGGCACACGTCGGCGCGTCCTGGAAATCAACTTGCCCGCTTGCCTCGTCCAGCCATTTCGACGTGTCTGCTTGTCGATGTTCAGAGCCGTCTCTAACCTCCATCCTCGCCTAGCAAGATCTCTTCTCTCCGTGTCTCTCGCCCTCTAGCTGCTCTCGGCAATTCTTCTCGATTTCCCATTTCGTGAACTATGATTATAAACGCCTCGGCCACCGGAACTCGCCCATCCTTGGTTAGAAAAGCAACATAGAAACAGTCATCACCAATCAATCATGCCCGCAATCGTCCATGCGGAAAGGGCCAGAAGAAACACCTAGGATTCATCGTCCGACCTCGTCGTCCCGCCAGTTTTGACTGATGGGGATATGCTGATGGCAATTTTCTTTGGCGCTGCCGGATTCGACCTGTCCGCGAAGCTCTTCTTCCTCCTGACCATGCCAGAAGTCATGGATGCATTGGACCCAGCCGAACTGCTGTTCCTCCGTTTGTTCTGCATCATCTTGCCGAGTTCGTCGTCATCGTCCTCCTCGCGCCGCCGCTTTTCCGAAAGCCGCTCTGGTGGCGCCACTGATGACGACTCACTGCTTGTGTCGGAGGTAACATCCGCCCCCTCTTGCTTGTCGCCAGTTGTTGGCAAGACCTCGGGGTCTACGTTCTCTGCGTCTTCTGCTTCCTCATCCGACGGGTAGTCGACGAGTGGTTTCGAAGCTGGTGTCGACACAGCAGAACCGTTTGTGGGATGTTTATCGAAAGCTTGGCTCTCGGGGTTGTCTTCATCATCGGATGTGTTGAAGTATTCGTCTTGCTCGCTGTCGATGTGAAGCTGTTCCGCGAGCCTCGCGTGCGGATTTGCCATCCGCTTAGCATGGTCTTCCTCAGACTCATTGTATAGATCCAGTGTGAAGCCGTTTGTTTGGTCGTAATTGGCAACAATGGATTTGAAGGTATCGGCGGGTTCGGCGTAACTTAGCTCAACCAGCTGGTCTCGGTAGTTCTGCACCAAGAACTTGCAATAATCCTTCTTGTTGTCATGCCCAGTGAGGTTGACGAAGAACTCTACACAAGCAGAATTAAGGAGATTGTCCCGGGCCATTGACTTGGAGGTCAAGTCAAGCAGCGGTTTCAACACGCCGTGTTCCATGAGATGCTTGTCCCAGAAGGCATCCTGGAAGTTTGCCAAATGCCGGAAAAAGCGAACAGCGACTGAGGACGTTAGTATTCGGTTAGACTGAGAGTAAAGGAGTGGACTCACTGAGTTGTATGTACTTCTCCGGGCACGCGAGCAGCTGGCAAGCTCTTCTCAGAATGTCTTGCTCCAGAACGAATTGTTTCGACCGGTGCCCATGCTGCCTGATGAAGAAGCACAATATCTCGATGAGATATGTGAACATGGAGGCGTGTTGTAGGGTAAAGTTCATGTCTTTGCGCTCACGAAGTTCCGTCAGCGGCTTAAAAAGGCGAGGCGCAGAGTTTGTGTAGAAAGTGTTGATGTAGATGTCTTGCTGGACATCCCCTGGCCGTCTGGGCCCGCTAGGTCCGTTAGGCCCATTAGGCCCGTTGGGTCCATTGGGTCCATTAGGCCCGTTGGGAAATTCCCCGTTAGACTTCGCAGCGAAGACCTCCTGCACCAACGGCGGCGGTGACGGCTGGACGTCGAGGAGAACCTTGACCGCGTCGGAAACCTGTGCTTTGACGCCCAGGTCGGCTTCCACCAGAAGCAGGTCGATGAGAGAATCGGTCAACGGCTGCTGACGCTCCTGGATTTGTCGGTAAATTGTGTGGCGAATCAGTTGAGAGTCATGGTCTATCAAAGCGACCAGCACATCGGTCGCTCCAACCCGGACACCCACATCGCTGTGACGCAGGCCAAAGTTGATCACCTGAAGAAGTCCGTGTTGGAGGAAGTTGGCGAAGAGGTTCTGTCGCGCCGGGGGCTGCAAGTTCTTCGAGATGGCACAGCACTGCTGTATGAAGAGCACGGCGTCCTTCTTCTTTTTCTGGTCAGGCTGGGTGGGCTTGAAGATGCTGAACAGCTCACTGAGGAAGTTCGCGTTCCCCTGTAAGTGCTGAACAATGTCGACCTGGTTGAAGAAGATCAACGAGTTGAGGACGGAAAAGGTCGGGTCGTCGAGAATCCGAGCCAAAACGACATCTTTCAAGTACTGCAGTCGGTACGTCTGATGAATTTTCCTGCGTATGTTGTCGTCCTCGATCGGCACGACCTCCTTGTATCTTCCTTGATTGCCGAGCCAATGTCGATGGTTTGCCTTGTGGCTCGGGAAATCGGGGTCGTATTCAAGAGCGCCGACAACTCCGATGACGCATTCGTCGGACACTGCAGTCTCGATAATGGACGTGTCGTTCAGCAAGATGATGGTCTTCATGATGTTGCATAACCGATGCAGATCGGGGAGGCTCTCGAGGTCTTCGGCCATCTCAACCAAAGGAATCAGCTTCCCAATGTAGCTGTCGTTGACCATGCACTTCACAAGAGCATCTCGTCCACTGGTCGTCTGGCTCATGATGCGCATGCTCGCCTCAATCTCAGGGATGTTCCCAATCTCGGCAGGAGGAAGGCTGATGGAGCTCGGCATCTCCATGGCGAGGTCATCAGAAAGACTGTCATCTGCGACCTCAGTGTTAGAGTAGCCTTTCCGAATTTTCCACTGGCGCATTTCTTACCTGCGGCGACCAGCCCACCCTGGAAAGTCTGCTGTACACTGTTGACGAATTTCCTGTTGCAGCGCTGTCAGAGACGTAACACTTGAACGAGGACATGATCCACGACATACCAGATCATAGCGCAGCCGTCTGCCTCTTGAAAAGATAGCGCCATGTCAATGCCATTAGCGGGTTCGGTCCAGACGATCAAAGTCTCTACATGATGTGTCAGTCCACTCGCGCCGGATGATATAAAGTCGGACGACCTGCCTTGCTGTTTCTGGAAGCCATCCTCCTTGCAAATCTTGGTCTCCAGTAGGAGTCGGTCTGGGTGGTCTTCGGATTCGACGATGACTCGGGGGTCTCGAGGCTGGCCATCTTCCGACTGGTGACACGCGACGACATTAGCATCTAATTCATCACGAGAGAATACGTGGAGTGCGCGAGTGACGAGCTGGGCGAAAGCGCAGGAAAGACAAGGCATGGCGCGCAACGGACGTGACGCACCTGCATGAAGGCAGCGGTACAGAAACCGGTGCCTCGGTCGAACCAGTCATTGTTGCGCAGTTCGTAGACCTTGACGCGTTTCTTGTCCGTCGCATGATGAGGCACGGGTTGTGCCATCATCAATGGTTCGGTGCCCCCCTCGGTAGTGAGACGGGGGTAGCTAAGGATGTCGGGGGCGAGGTCGAGATGTTGTTGAAGGGACAGCTCAGCGTCGGTCTGGCTTAGGATGGTGAGCGCCACTTTCCCGTCGGTCGGTCGCGCCTGGAATGGGGCGCGGCTCGCACGAAAGACTGGACGTCGGTCGGTGACGACGGGAGAGGCAAGATAGCGAAGAAGTCGTCGTGTGCGATGCGTTCGTCGATGGTTTGTGGCAACGAGAAGTGCCGGGTGACGTGATGATCAGGGAGCCATCAAAATGGGAGGGGGCGGTCGGGTCGCGCGATTGGCGGGCGCCGGGGGATTTGAGCGACGCAAGGCAAGGCAAGTCGACGTGTGAGTTTTGAAGGAAATGATGCTGCTGACGCGACTGCGATAACGGAGTACAGGGCAGCAACGGCGATAATCGCGCTTGCAAAATAGCGACCGGGGACGAACAAGGCAAGACGATGCGTCTGCGGCAGCGAGGCGCAATTTTTTTTCCTCGGTTTGCGTGGGACGTGAGGTGGTTGATGATGAGATGGAAGAACTTTGAGGCTGTCTCCGGTCGCTCGGTCGGTCGGACTGGAAAGGCGAGAACTGGGACGGGACACTGGACCAGACTGGGCTCAGGTGCTGGTCACCTCGGGCTGTTGGCTGCTGGGCTGGGATGGAAAATGCGCTGCCCGCTGCTTTGCTTCCAATTGCTGCCCGCTGTCCGCTGGCATGGGGTGGGGGGAACCGGCGGACGGGCACGGTGAGGTAAGGTAGCAAGGTGGTAAGTACCTTTCCCTTCCATCCCGGCCGTCCAATGCCAATTGACGGAGGCGAGAAAAGCTGGAGAGCAATGCGCGTGATTCTCTGGCAGTCCCTGCGTGCTCAGTGCCAAGTTCCAACTCACACCGTCATTACCTCACCTGAACCTAACGTGCCAATCTTGCCCCAAGGACAGGGTGCACGGTGTGAGGTGCTTAGGTATCCGTACCTTAGGAGGTACCTAGGTAAGGTAGGTAGGTATCCCAGGCCCGCACTAACTGGAGTGGGCTCGCGGCGTGCCATGCACGTGCCATCAGAGTTCATTGGGGGCAGCTTGCGGCTAGCCGTCAACCTGCGGCTGCTCGTCTAATTATCCTGATCTGGTAGGCGCTCGTCTGAGTTTTGCCGCTTGGTGGGATATCCTGACTAAGCTTCGATGATCAAATGCCGGGGACACGCGCTACTTGCCCTTCGGTGCAACTTTAGGCTACAGAAATAGACGGGAACTGAGGTGTCAAATAAACTGCGCAGAGGCGACAAATGGGGGGCATCTGGACCCTGCAGGAGCGGCAATGAGCCGAATGTTTTCTCTCCAATATCAGACGCGCTCCAAGCTTTAACACTGCTTCTCAGCACGCCCCAGCCAAGCCATGCGTTCTCTGTGACATCCAGCCAAGGTAGACTGCAGGCGTGCTTTGTACCAAAATGCAGGTAGAACCACCTCATTGGTAAGGCAATCAACGGTATGGTATCCTTATCAAAAGCGAATGCCTTGGAAAGCCCCTACTCAACGCGCCGAGGGGAGTGACATCGTCATGCACACCTGTACCTGCCTTGCTACGGACGGCCGTAGAATTCGACAGTGGTGGCTCCCAAATACTCAACAACACAATCCGCAACCAAGCGCCGCGTTCTGTCTTGACTCTACACCCAAGTGTAGTTTACGCTGCCATCCATCGCAGTCGTGGCCAACCATGATGGCCTGGCTTCTGGAAGCAAATGCGGGATGCAGCTGACAGTCCAGATACAGATCTGATGCCCCACGTCTCGAAATGGCACACGTCCCAAACGATCAACAGCTCCAGCTTGGTTGCTCCCGTGCAGATCATCTCAAAAGCTCGAGCCACAATGTTGGGTCCGAGAAAGCGGGCTCTCAAGCCTTGCCGGAATTCAAAAACTCAGACATGCAGGGATACCGCCCGACGAATTTCCCATCTCCACGATATCACATTTCGATCCCCGCTCTAACAGCTTTCGGCACCCAGCACGACCCAGATGCAAGGACGCAAATAGTAGCTTCACCCGCTACTGGAACTGTATCGCCGATAAAGTTCTTCTCGGAGCACCAAAAATCTCTGTGCGCTCACCTTCTAGACGCATTCAGCTTGAGCGGAAGACCTTTCGTCTGTTCGCTAGGTAACAGGCAATCGGCCGACGGAGACCACAAGCCACCAAACGATGGCGATGGGCAACGACTTGTCTCCCCACGGAATCACATGACGCCTGCCTTTTCTCAACTCCGCGGCGAAGCATGTGAACGCGCTTTACAGGAACCCCACAATGCTTGCTCTGGACACTTGGTCGATCTAGGCGGGGGATCATACCAGCTCGGGTTGAGTCTCAACCAGTGACTACGGAGCTGGGAGCTGCGCGTCTGCCTACGCGCCCTCAGTATGGAGGCACGCCAAACACGAGACGCAACCTGCTTGCCTTTGTTCAAGGTCCGAGAAACACAACGGGGCGGGGCTGACGTACACCAGCGATGCGCCGAACACGCTACGGCCACGATGCCATTGGCTGCCGAAAACTGGTATTGGAAAGGTGCAGATGTGGCTGGGACGCCTTTCTCCCGCTCGATGTCATTTGAGACTCCAAAGAGGAGGCGATGACTTGGCAGGAACAAAGGGAATCTGGACGACTCGGGCTTTTTGAACACGCTGCAGTTTCGCGATTTAAGCTCTTCCGACACTCCCGGATCGGCGCCGTCGTGATCACGGCGCATATGCGGGCTCCGCGCGAACAACTCTCCTCACCACCGAATCTCGGCGCGAAAGCCGACTGATCCTTGATAAACGGTCAGCATGCGAGTACCCGGAATAGCATTGGATGGCGACGCCGGCTACTCTCGCGATAAGGCACAAAGGTGTGACATGCCATGTTGGCGATCGGATGACAGCTAAGATGTACGGACGAAAACGCCTATTACGTGCTCATCCTTACCTCAACTCTGCATCCAACCTCGAAGAGACAGTAGCAACCAGTCTTGACCGCCGTCAAATTTGACGGTCACTACAACCAGGGTTATGGAGATTGGTCAAGGAAACTATCCACCTGGCTCCGAAGCCAAGGAGCAGCAACATTGGGGCCCTAGCAGGGGTAACGATTGAACCCGGGCGGGCCGGAAGCTGGCGAGGCCACGACGGAGAAAATTCCAGTCAGGGCGATTGCAAGGGTCCTGGACACCCGTCGCCCGCGGACGGCGTCTCAGGCTCTCAGCCCAACAATATTGAAGGTACTGCGTACAAACAAGTTTTTCGGCGGCCCGAACGAGGCGATTGGGACTGGGGTCAATTGCGGCTTTCAACCCAGCATCTTATCTCTGTGGCCTTCGATGACTGCCTGAGGAGCGCCTCACCATTCGCCGTGAAACCTATGTTGGGTGGCCAATATGCATGTCAGACTACCATATTACCCAGTTTTCCCGCCCAAGGCCTGCCGCGATGAAGGCACACCGGACAGCATCGATACGGCCGACGAGCGACACAGAAGCCTTCTGATGTATTTTACGTCTTGATAACGACGGAACTCTCTGCGTATGGGCATGTTTCACTCATACATCATTGCCATGAGGCGGCTACAACACACCTCAACGTACGGGTACGCGAAGCACGGCGAGGGCGGGATGGAACGGAACATTATTCCCATGGCAGGGTTGCATCATGGCGTGGCTATTGATAGAGCACCCATGTGTTGATCGGGACTAGACAGTCCTTCCCTGAGACTTGATGGTGTGGGTGGCCTGGTTCAGCTACTGCGTGGCAGCGCGTCGCCCGGCATCACGGCAAGCCCATCCTGCGAAGTCTCGTTTCTCTTTGTGGGTTTTCCAGACATACATCTGCTTAGTACGACTCCTCACGGTTCTTGGCCGAAGCCACGATCCTCGTTCAGCAGGAGGGCGTTGAATCCAGCGTCGGGGTTCCGCAGCAGTCAAGGCATGAGGCTGAACATCTTACGGAGCGGTGCCCACTCCAACGTTAACCATCAAAATGTCTCGACTCGCAAGGGCGGGTAGCTGATACAAGGTGTTGCTTCTTCGAGCCCTGGACAAGACAAAACGCCATCTAACTTGCACAGGGGTACCCGAGATAAGAGAAAAAGCAAAGAGCAACCTTGCGTCGGCGATGCAACGGTACGCTGCATGGCGAGGTTATTTTCCTCAAAGGTGCCGGGATGGTATCGTCGACTATTGCTCAGCTTCAAAAACCAGCGACGAGAAGCGGTTAGCAATATCCACGAATGGCGAGAAATCAATATTCCCAGGGCCGGGCTACCGGGGTCGAGATAGCTGGCCACTCCCAATTCGACCTGGCTCTCGCTGTGCTACGCTCTTTTCGACCTTTTAGGTGAAAGAACCCCCGTTCAACCTGTCTTCTTTCGGTTCTATCAACTGCCCGGGCAAAGAGTGCGTTCAAAAGCAACCGCTGTCAAGATGGCAACGGGCTTTTTTTTGGGGGGGCGTGGGGGGCCGTCGCAAGTATATCATTGCATTGTGCAAGCCGTCGGGGAATTATTCGTTATTCCCATAGTAGCTTCTTACGAGCTACGGCAATTGGAACGGAGCGCCATTCAAATGAAAAGTTGAAATTGAGGGTTGGGCAATATTGGCAAATCCTGGTCGAATCTGACGAGGCGGGCTTGGGGTCTCTGACATCCTGAGGATCGAATGTGCGGACAGCAAATACGGGATGACAGCACGACCAATCAAGGTGAGTTTGATTCGTCGTTCTTGGCGGCAAGAACCGCCGTTCAAGTACGTTACTGGAATACAGAAGTGCGTCAGCCAGAAGTTTGTCAGACGCGAGCCAGGCTAGCCTGATGATGTACTGGGAATATGGTTTACGTGTTTCCGGCATGGGATACGCTGGTTGTCAATCTGTGTGCACAAGGTCATGCCTTGCTTGCGGAGAGATGTCGGCAGCTCCTGACAAGAAACAAGACGGATAAACGCAGTGAAGCGAATGTAAGCTTACATACTTCGCGTGCGGCAAGTGACCAAAGAAGCTGCCATCGCCGGAGCGATATCAGTTCGTCCAGGTCCAGTGGGCTATGTTGCACGGGTGCCTTGTGCATTGGCTTGGTAACGCAGCGGCGTGTAGAGATATCAACTGCAGGAGCATCACATCACATGGAAAGAGGCAAGATTGCAACTCGATAATTCCTTCCTTCATCAAACTCGTCCGACCCCCGGCAGCGTGGCAGATGGGTACGGACACCGGCCATCCAACCGCCGGCCTACCTTAATTGTGCCATTCCATTCCAATCCCAACCTCACATCAACATCGACCTCCACCAAACGGACGGAGTTCTCTCCACCTACCCATCACACCTTATTGCCCTGCGGATACTGAACCCACTTGCACGGGCAAGTTTCTTTCTGGCAGGGGCCAGTCTGACACGCATAGGACTCTCCCGCGTCGCCCATCTATGTGCGGCCAGAACATCTGCCACGATGTCCAAGTCTGCAGGCAACAAAAGCAAGGAACGGTAAACCGTGCTTCGAGCCGGTGGTTTATCTCGCGCATTTTGAGTGGGGGTTATTCGAGATAGGCCCGAGGCTCGCCCGCCAGACGTCGTCGACGTCGTCGCCGTCGCGGCCGCTTGTCTCCTTTGGCCGTCGCGGCCTCAAAGGCAAGAAGGACGTCGACGTATCCGCACGATTCAGCAACATTGCAAATGGCGACGGATGCCATCGGCGACATCGACGTAATGGAAAGAGATGCCGAGTGGCGTGCCAGATTCAAACACGACGGAAGCCAAAAGAGCCCCTACGATGGCAGCGACGGCAACCATCTGCGTCACCCCCGCCCGTTGCCACGGCTGGCTTTGAGAACAATAAGCCCGTTTGACAAAACGACAAGCTGATGGTTGCGGGTCCTTACTCGACCAAGTCTAGCCGGCGGCGGCGAAGCGGCGGTGGAAGGACGGGAGAGAAGACGGATGGTGTTTTTTTGGTGTGAGGGTACGAAGTAGGGGCACATTGGCACACCATCAGCAATTCGACAATTCATCATCGGCATCGTCAAGCGGCCCTGGTTCCCCTGAAGCGAACCAGCATTTTTAGTTTCCACTTACCTACCACCTAGATCACAGCCCCTGTTCAATGCGGCTGGCCTCTCCCAAGTCTCCCCCCAGTCAATCCCCAAGCTCCCGCCAACCAACGCACAGCGGCCAACTTCAGTGCGTTATTCGTACCTCAGTCCCAGCGGATGGCTGTTCGGGCCCTGAGGGGAGGGCAGCCGGCGCGAAGTCTGAGCTGATGATGTCCAGTGGTAAGGTACTGAGTACTTGGGCGTCGACTAGCGGCGTGTCTTCCCACCGGCGCTATCGAATTTGACCAAAGACTTTCTTTTGGATCCGCGACCACAACGTTCGCGCTATCGCTGGCGTATCCCTGCCATCAAGTACCGCTACCTATCCTGAATACGAGGCACGTTCGTCCATCAACGAGGCACAGTTCGTGGTGCGAAATACACGCTTGGCCTTCCTATGGAATCAGCGTGACGAAGCCAGGAAACTCCAGCAGAGCAAGCCCGCGAACCAGCCCGAGCTTCAATCAGTCAACCTTTAGGAACGCTCGAGGCGCTGCAGCTGTGGTTCGCTGCATACACCTGGCTGGAGGTCGTGTCACACATGAACATCTCAAAGTGCTCTCTCTTCAAGACGTTCTGAGGCCGCATCTGCTGCTGTGCTATCAGTCAGTCACTCACACGTCTGGAAATCCTCACGCCGTCTTCACGTCCTCGGCCCCTCGGTACCGTCCGCCCGCCATGAGGTTAGTGGCTCTGCCTCCCGCAGGCTCAATCGCGCCGCGTCTTGCTTCGGCCTGTTGCGAGTCGTCAACAGCCGCTATCAGAGGCAGCCTCCAGGCCCGACCGTGCGATCCAGGGACGACCGTGATGACGGCGGCCCAGGGGACACCAGTGCTATTATCACACAATGCCTCCGAGCCCAAGGAGCGGAACTGACGGCGGCGCCATCTTCCTGCGGCGAGTCTCACTCTCTAGCCCAGACCGAGAAGGATAGACTTTACAAGCTGGACATCACCGGGGTTGCCAAGGAAAGCTATATTGGGGCCTGTCGGGATCCAGAAGCCAGAAGCTGCACAGAAAACGAGTGAGCTGCACGTTTTCCTAGACCCCCCCGCTTGGAATTATCCTAATCCACGTCCTCCATGCATCAGTCTGCACATATCCTATCCTGTACCACTCCCAACGCACCCCTTGCCCATGCACTCCCATGTCCAATCCCAAGACACACACCACACCTGCTACGCCTTAAAGGAACCAGGGCTCCCGAACCCAGCTTCTGTTCTGGGCAAGCTGATGTTCTCTTCCTCCATTGACCCTCTCTCTTCCTCTCTTTATTAGTACTTTCCCCTCCCGAATTCCAAGCAACCCATCATCTTACCTAAGTGTTAATTATATTGACTGCGTCCCTCCCCATCGTCCTGCTTGTGGAACACCCTCTCGACCTCTTGCTTCAACCTACCGACGACCATCCGTCCACCTGCCAGAGGCACGAACCATCGTGGATAACGCTGGCTGCCAGTGAACGGACGACTCTTGCTAAGTCGATATTAGTATTTGGATTCCAGAGGGTTTTCTCAGAGTTAGGACCGTGTCTGTGGTACGGATATCATCCGAGGTTCACCTGCGCCACCTGAGTACAGCCCAAACCGACAGCTCGGGCTCGACTTATACGGCATCCCATCCTTCGAGAACGGCTGTGCGCGTCCGACGATCTTTAATTATCGACACACTTCCCGCCTACGCTATATTACCCAGGGAGTTTTCTGGATTGCAAGAACGTCTTCACATCCCAACATCCCAAGTTCGCTATTCATTCCAAAAAGACCGACGTGCGGTGCAACGAAAGGGACAATGTCCGTCTTCTCCCTAATCAAGAGGTCACGCCAGCAGGCCAAGGACCACAAGGAGAAGCAGGCGGAAAAGGCAAAGGAGGCACCCAAGCAGGCCTATCGACACATTCCAACCCACGCTGCCGTTGACGCCCTTTCCGGGGCGCCAGCGGGTTACAGGCATGAGGACCGGTCCAGGATTCTCGAGGAGAACCGGAGGAGGAGTGCAATGGTAGCCAGCGGCTTGACCAACAGAATGCCTGGTCCAAGTCTTCCACGAGTCTCCAGCAGCCTTTCTCATGTCACCTATCCTGCGGCCCATGCCAACCCCGTGGGAAATATGCCGAGAGCCTACAGCTACAGCGGCGTACCGCACCTGGCGCCCTGGGAGCAACGAAATATCAAGAACCCATCGATGTATTCCGTCCCTGACACCACCCGGATCTCACTCAAGGGCAAGGAGGTAGACAGATCTTACGCTTCTGGTCGCAACAGCCCGTCATCAATCAAAGGTACGTTCTTTTTGAGATTAACGTCCAAAACGCAACTAACGCATCACAGCTGGATCTCCCGTTGGTAGCTCAAGCCAGTCCACCAGCTCCCAAGAAGACCTGGAGATTAAGCCTTCGCGGCATGTGTCTATGCCTCCCACTAGCTCAGAGCCATCTCGAAATCCTGCCGTCGCGATTCACACCCATCGTCTTCACCCTAGCTCTCGCCGGGCTTCAGATGCGTCGGACAAGGGCGACACATCGCCAAAGGCATCGCCGACCGACAGAAGCAGGCCACCGCCCTCGATGAGGGGCTTCAACTCCATTCCGGCCATGCCTTCTCTACCGCCGATGCAGCTCGGCAGCCCTTTGACCAACCAACCGCCGGCGCAACCGGTGTTTTCGTCCTCGGCCTCCACCCGGTCGTCGACGCATGGATCTATGTCCTCTTTCAACTTCAACGTCAACAACACTCCTTTCTCAGCCCCAATTTCGGGCAGGTCATCCGCCGCCACCACTCCCGCCGCATGCGTCACCCCCGAGCCCGTCTACGAGTCTGTCGAAGAGGAGGAAGAAAGCTCATCTTACACGTACGCCCCGGCCCCGGCCGCTTCCGCTGCCGCACCGTCTGCCCTCAAGCAGAAAGACCGTCGAAGCACGTCAAAGTCCAAGGTCACCCGCTTCACTGAGCTGGAGACGATCGACTCCCACACGGAGCAGCCAACAATCCGCAGCATTCCGTATGAGCAGTCCCGCCAGTCCACGCCGCCCCAACTTTCCAACGACGCCATCAACAAAGCCATTGCCGTCGAGATGATCTCGGCCGCCCCTGCCGAGGTAGTCTCGGCGCCAAAGTCGGGAAAGCGCCTTTCGAAGCAGCCCGGCTCCAAGCTGACTAAGAAGAGCCGTTGGTCAACAAAGAGCTCGGCCGTTGCAGTCTAAGCGTCAGTCAAACGACTGTCGGACGGATCAGAGACGGGGATGTTTGTTGTTGAAGAGAAACATCCGATTACGAGTCAACACCGCGTGGCCGATGCATCGACATGCAGCATTCGCGGGGATAGTGGCGGCTCTTATTTTTCATTTTTCACATGTCAACTTGCAGTTGCTGCCGCTGGGCCTCAGCAACGCCTGCTTTACGGCCAAAGCAAAACCGGGACTGGACACTTCTTCAGGATTGAACTTCAGGGTGGAATCGACACGTGCTTGCTTCATGACGACCATATCACGACCAAATTTATACCGAAAGGCAAGGAACACTCATAGACCTTTTTTCCATTTTCCATTACTACCTTTTATTCGCTATGTCAGGGAGAGGGAGGAAGCCAGCCCCGTGAAAGGGACGTTGTAAGCTTCTGGGTGGCCCCCAACTGTATCTACTTCGATTTGTAGCGTATCTTGGGACCTAGTCTGATGTTGGCATGTCTTGTCTCGTCTTATTGGCAACAAAAACATGGGACAACCATCGGACGGAAAACGACGAAAATAAGAAAGTAAGCAAAGACAACTTCAGAAACGCCATGTGCCCATCTCAGAATGAAGTGACGCACGAGTCTCTCGGCGGTGTGACGAGAGACATCTCACGCGGGAGTCAGACAGGTCTCTCGGGAGGACGGCACTCAGCACAGCTGACGTGCTGCTGCTGGTCTCAGGCACATGCCGGGCAGTCAAGGTTTTCTTAGCCTCACGGACCCGAAAGGAATACGATATCTTTTTGGTCTTTCCCTCCTTGCCTCCCCTGGCGCCACACGGGACGCTCTGGATAGTTGGGCGTTTGTCTTGCTTTAGTCTCGCCTTAGTGCGCGTGGAGAGGCGACGACACGCCTATCATTTAGTCCCGGTGCGTTGCGGGAACGGGCTTTTGGTTCATCGCGTCGTTCGACGATCGGGCAAAGGTTTGAACGGCACCTTCGGTGCGAATCTGAACACCGATAGGTGCATGGAGATCTGCGCGATTGTCGAGTTTGTCTTCGCGCCTGTCAGAGTGACCTTTGAACAGTCCCTGTCTCTTCAAGGCCCGAAAGGGGAATGAGATCGTCAGGGACCAAGGAGTCTAGATCCAGGTCCAAGAGGGGAAAAGAACCGGATCCACTGGAGAATAATCGCGGGATGGCTGGTCGTGAGGGCGAAAACGTTGTTGACGTTTGGGCACCCCCATGCTCGGGCTATTATTTGGGTGTATTCCGAGAGCTTGCATGACGCCTAGTACAGATCGAGAAGAAGCGAGTATTGGAGAAGCATGGGCGGGATACATCCGATAGCTGAAGCGCCTCAGGTAGGAGGTTTGCGAAGCTGGCTGGGGAGTTTATCTTGGCTCGGTGAGCTCCGTGATTCTCGTTCTCCTCTCAGCTGCGAACTCGCTGCAGCAATTCCCCTCTTCTCTTGTTGGTGCCTATGCTTGTGTGTTATCTGTCATGCAGTCTTGTCAGTCAGCATGTCCTCGGCCGAATATGCATGCAGGGCCATTGAAATATTGGTTGATGGCGCGGAGGAGTGTGCAGCGCATGGCATATGCAGTACCACATCTGGCTCTGGCGCCTCCGCCCTGCTTGTTTGCTTCGTTGCCTGCTGCGTTCCCTATCTACTGCGGTTCACCGACCTGCCGGGGGCTTGATTGGCCTCGGAGAGCTGGCGTTCTGCAGGTTCTCGAACGGTCAGTTGGGGTGATGGGTTCCACCTGCGATGATGGTGGTTGTCGGTGCTGGTCTTGGCTTTACAGTCAGTATTAGCTAAAGTTGACCAGTCAGACGGGTGGATTGTGGCCGAGAGACAAGAACAATATCTATTCTTCGTGCTTCTTGGTCAATATCTACTCCTCGTGCTTCTTGGCTCAACCTGAACAGGCCTTGGTGATGAGGGCTGTGTGCTGAGGAGTCGGAATGGCTTGCGCTGCAATTTCCACCCGGGCTCGCTTTTGCACTAATAGCACGGGCAGCTTGGTGGCTTGCGAGGGCCAGCGGAAGAGTTGAAGTCGAAAACCGCCAGAAAACCCATGCGTCTGGTATGACGGAAAACCCCTTCCAAATCATTGGATGGCTCGGGCTACCACCAGACGTCAGGTACCAGCAGCAGCTATGATCAGACCACAAAGATAGACGAAGTCTGGCTCACAGCGGCACACCGTAGTAGCTGTCGGGGACTGCAGGCCAACTGTGGGAGTTGGCGTCTAATTCTTGTGACTTGTATCCGAGCCTGGTGTGGGTTCAAGGTAGGAGGAAGCGGCTCTGGATTTCGATGTGAGGCCGCGCGCCGTCTAAATAACAACGTGGCCGTTGAACCCTGAAAATAGCGGCTGGAGATGATGGGGCCTTACCTGCCTTCGTCCACCACTCAACGACTCGGCCACGTTCAGGTCTGGGTACCGGATCCGGCTGACGAGGGCGGCTATGCACACCGGATACGGACGGTACAATTCGGGGCCTGGAAACCATAATAAACGTGGTTTGATTGGTGAGTCAAACTGGATGGTTGTATTGGTCGCACAGAACACTGGTAGGTCGGCGAAAGCATCGCGGGGCATTTGGACCACCGCATCGGGAGAAGTTGCTGCCAGGAATGTGGGAAGGAGCGGACCGCGTCTGCCGTCGGCGTCATCGTCCAGTGTCTTGGATCGGATATTGGGGGCGTGGGAGGGTAGTTCGGCTCGCACATCAACTCGGTGCTACCCTGTTCATCCTTGATCGAGGATAACAAACCGAAAAGAGCTGAAAACCGCCAGTTTTTGGGATGACAGACATGGTGTAGTCCGTGATTATCAAATTTTTGCGCTGTATATATCTGATTGTTGTGTGAGGGGCGGTTCCTGAGATCGTGGCATATTTAAGGTATGGTGATGGTGTGGTGCTGTGTGGTGTTGAGGTTGAGTTTGAGAGGTTGCGCTGAAGAATCCATGCAAGCAGGACAGCGGAAGACGATCTTTCTTTCCCCTTGAGGTGGGTGGAAGAATGCGATTTAGCAAGGCTAGCCAATTGGTGTCATAAGAGCTGATGGAGGGGTAGGTCCCCTGTGGGACAATGGAACTGCTCCTTCTATTTTCGGGTTGTGGGGGGTGGGTAGCCTTGCATTAGTGCACAGGCACGTCTGCTGTCCCCTGGATTTCAGTGGTGGGAGCTGGGTGTGCATTACGTATTCCGAACGGCTGTGCTAGAGCGCACCACGTTCATTTCATTGTCTCTAAGGTTGTCTGAGGTGCAGCTTGCAGCTGTCGCCAAAAAGGATTTGTGTCCCTTCCCTTTCCACGTCGCCTCCTTCACACAGATATCAAGTTACACCTACCTACACATCCTCAACCAGACAGCCCAGGGCAGTGACGCCCAAGGCCAGCGACAATGGAGATAACAGAGGCATCGTGGCCGACGATTGGTGTCGCACTGGTCGCTCTTGCAGCAATTGGCCTTCTGGTGGTAAGCATCCTACTACTTACCCTACTTCCTATGCCTTCCTACCTATGAGGCCAATTGAAACTAATAACCTATGCCAAATAGATATTCATTACCCTCCACATCGTTGCGCCCAAGCCCCGCGCCGTACTTCCCTCAGAGAAGATCTACCTGACCTCCTCCGCCTCCGGCAAGCCAGTCAAGGCTACCGCGCCGTGCTGGTTCGACCGCTGGTTCGCCGAGCGCCGCGTTTCCGAGGCCAATGCCCACCTCACCGATCCCCGCGACGTTCCAGACTCCGGCGCGACCATCGACCCCGCCGACGTGCGCCTCACCGTCGTCCTCCCAGCCTACAACGAGGCAGCCCGCATCCTACCCACCCTCGAGGAGGCCGTCGCCTACCTCGACGCCAACTTCGGCCGGCCCTCCTCCGACAACAAGCCCCTCCTCAGCCCGACGAACTTGCGCCGCCGTACGAAGAACCCGCCTTCCGAAGCCCTCTCCGGCTACGAGATCATCATTGTCGACGACGGCAGCAAGGACAGTACCGTGGACGTCTGCCTCGACTTCGCCCAGAAGAACAACCTGCACGATGTCCTCCGCGTGGTCAAGCTCGAGCGCAACCGCGGCAAGGGCGGTGCCGTCACTCACGGCTTCCGCCACGCCCGCGGAGAGTACGTGCTCTTCGCCGACGCCGACGGCGCCACCAAGTTCAGCGACCTGGGCCGTCTGATCCAGGGCTGCGAGGAAGTTGTCGACGGTTCCCACCGCGGCGTTGCTATTGGCAGTCGTGCGCATCTGGTCGGCAGCGAGGCTGTTGTAAAGGTAAGCTCCTCCCCCTCGCCTCGGGCGATCGACCATCTGCTGACGAGTCGTGTAGCGCTCTGCACTCCGAAACTTCCTGATGCGCTCCTTCCACCTTGTCCTCATGATCCTCACCCCGCCCGCCACCTCGCGCCTCCGCGACACCCAGTGCGGCTTCAAGCTCTTCACCCGCGCCGCCCTCCCGCATATCGTCCCCTACATGCACACCGAGGGCTGGATCTTCGACATTGAGATGCTGCTCCTCGCCGAGTCGGCGCCTCCTTCGCCGGTTCTCGGAGAAGACGGCAGTGTTATTGGCACCAGCCCCGGCATCCGTGTGGCGGAGGTGCCCGTCGACTGGCACGAGGTCCCAGGATCCAAGCTCAGCGTCATCTCGGACAGCATCAAAATGGCTATTGGTCTCGCTGTCCTCAGAGGTAGCTGGATGATGGGCGTCTACCGTCGGAGGTTGACGTAAGCATGCGGTCGTTTCATTCTTTTTCTTCTTTGTTCATCTTGCGCTGAGGCGCCGGGACGAGATACCTGGCACATACACCTCGCATTAAAATAGCAAGTGTAGGTATGCGAAAAACGGTTAGATGCAGCACTGAGGACTGCATGAGCAAATAGAAAGGGCAAATTGCCCCAAATACCCCGTAACGAGTGTCCACCGTTATTTGTATTCCTCTGGGTTACCCCAATTAAGTGAATGAAGTTGTCTAGTAATGTCGCCAATACCACTACGAAGGCGATAGAAAGGACGAGAGCGGGGGGTATTGATGATGACGAGGAGAAAGACAACCACGAGAAGGACAGAATAATTTCGAAAGATCAGATGGCACCTAACAAGACACAGGTGTCATATATTCCAAAAATTCCGACTTCTACAATATTATCCGACCAGTAGTCTCATCGCAAGTTATCAATCCAAGTAAACTCTACGGTCATTTCTGTTATTTGACCTCATAACGATGTGTTCTTCACACCGTAATCATATTTGAACAGATTAATATTAATGTATGGCGCTATACGCCGTTGTCTACGCCCATTGATCCAATGTCGCTCCAAGTGTGTTTGCGGCGTGCGTGTGTTGCATAATATGTACAGCTGATATCCTCCTAACAGAAGATCCGGGAGGGGGGAATAACTCTTTTTGTGTAGTCTTTCTTAAATTCATCACTCGTCCGCCCAACGCCGCGTGTTCATGTCTCAAAACATGTTCTCATGGATGCCGTAAAGCATGCTCTAGTTCAACTCGCGCCACATGACGGGCAAAAACACGACACTCGCCCTCCAGAGGATGAGGATGCCGTCGATGAGCGCGAGCGGCAGCTTGAGGAAACCCAGCGCGCCGCTCATGACCTCGAAAGCGTTGAGCCAGATGGCGAGGAACGCGACGCTGAAGAAGTGGTATGCTAGCCTGGAGGGCTGGTGCATGATGCCACCCATCAGGGCCATGGGTTCCGAGGCGTGGCCGCGCTTGAAGTAGGAGAAGCAACCCATCTGTAGGGCGCGAAGTTGGCGGTCGTTGGCGGCGAAGAGAGCGTAGAGGGCCATTGCGAGGACGTTAATGATGGACGTCAGACTCTTGCGGCGCCAGTGGAACTCCTTCAAAACCTCGTCGAGAGCCTGGGGGTCGGCGAGATTGGGCACGCGCGAGGGTTGGAGGAGATCCGAGAGGATGACGCAGTCGTTGAAGGCGACGGTCATGCCACCACCCGTCAGGGGGTGACGCATGTTCATGGCGTCTCCGAGGAGGAGCATGCCCTTTGCCTTCTGACGCGAAGGGGGAAGATATGAGTTGGGCATGGAGCGGGGGATCTTGCCGTCGGCGAGGGCGGCCTCGAAACAGGGGCGCATCGCCGGCGGTAGTGAGGGTAGGACGCAGTTTGTGATGTAACCACGAACACCGCCGGCAGCAGGTGATGCTTCAGGGATGTTGGCGGGCACGTCGATGAGAGCGCGGGTCTCGTGGGTGCCGATCTGGTAAAGGAGAACGGGGAAGGCTTTGCCGATGACCACATGGCCGTAACCGGGCGAGGGCATGGGGGCGTCGATGAGCTCGAGGGCGTAGAACTTGGACTTGACCACCGGGGCCTGGGGCAGGTACTCCTTGCGGAATTTGGAGGCGTAGCCGTCGGCAATAATGGTCAACTGACCAAAGAAGTAGTCGTCCTTCTTCTCGCCGGTATTGGGGTCAGTCGTCTTGGACCTTACACCGAGGACAGTATCTTGATCGTCGCCGCGGATCGTGGATGTGACTTCGGTCTCGAAAATGGTGATGTTCTCCTGCCTCTGGCAAGCCTTGCGGAGGTTCATAATGAAGCGACCGTGGTGAAAGCTTCTGCCTTCCTTTTGCTTTGCGCTTGCAGCCGCCGCAGGACTCGAGCCGTGGACAATGCGGCCCTGTTCGTCGAAGGAGGGGTAGGGGATGTCGACTCCCTGGCCGTGAAAGCTGACCTTATAGCCGTAGCACGGCACGGCGTCGATGCCCTCAAGGGTGTCAGCCAAACCAAGCTGGCGAAGGGCGACGATGCCGCCAGGCTGCAGCAGCTCGCCGACAATACGGTTGGGCTCCGACATCCATCTCTCGAGCAGAATGACGCTTCTTCCCTGCTGGCCAAGAGCGTAGGCAATGGCGCAACCAAAGACGCCAGCGCCGACCACAACGACATCGGCCTCGTGGTATGTGCTGCGCCGCTCGGCGCGGGCTTCGGCAGCTGCTGTTGGACTCTCAATCATTTCGGTCGGTTGGCGGGTGGTTCGAAGTAGGGTTGTTGCTGTTGAAGCTTCGGTGGGTGTGGAGGTGGTGTTTATCGTCGAGGGAGACGGTGGGTTCTTTTTCTCTTTGGATGACGCTTTGATAGGGGTCCAGGGAGTTGAAAGTCGGAACCGACCTGCTGCGTTGGGAATGCCGAAACGGTTGGGGGAGTTTTGACCTTGAACTACCTAGAGGAAAGGAGAGGTCTGCAGCGAGTAGGAATGGTCGCCACTCGAGGGTCTTAAGAAGTTCGAGGATCGGGGAGATTTGAAAGTGCCCGCCGGTTGGAATTGTCGTTCGTCCGGCCTCGAACGATGGATGGCAGATCAGAAGAAAAAAAAGAAGCGTGATGAGTGGACAATTTCAGGTTCCTGGGGCCCCTGCACCATGGAGCTTGCTGGGGTCTATCGTTGTTGGTAGCAGTGTAACTATAAAAGTGACCTGCCGGCTGAAGGTTGTCTATTTGTCTGGGCTGAAGGTACCTTGACAGCGGGAACCTGTACAATAGGTACAGAGACTACGTTTCTACTGTTGTTCATGAACCACTTGGGAGAACGGGAAACGACCATATGAATCGTGATGTTCTAGTATCGCAACGAGCTTACAGAGGATCCACGAACATTACAGAAGGCGATCTCAACGATAAGTCATGCCATAGCGGCTCCCGCCGTCGTGCACTAGCCAATTGCAAGTGTCCAATTAGTGCCCACACACCGCTTCATTGACGTGTCGAACGACCGTCATGCGCGATGGATTGTTGCTCGGCCCAACCGTCAGGTACTCTCCCCTGGCCGTACCTTTTTTGGCTGCTTATTTGACAGGCGACGTTTGCTGGTCCCCAGATTTGCGTTGCATCTCGAAGCTCTTTCCGGACAGCTTCGACCGGGGCTTGACAAGAGAAAGACTCGAGCAACACCTGAATGAGGTGACGTTTCTAGCACAACGGTTCTGACCAACCAGTAGGCTGTGCCTGAATCATCCCTCAGCTGCATCTCGTCGAGGATCCATTGGGAGACGATCACTCGTTGGAAGGAAGACGTATTCGTACGCAAAAGGGGCGCTGTAGCGCCACTTTCTGCGTCACTAACCAATCACGACTCTTTTTCCAGATTTTCAAAAGTTGCACCACCGATCTTTCAGCTCGTCGAGGCACTCCTTCTCACTCAATTGACATCTTCCAGCATGTGAAAGTCTCTTTCCAATCACTCATGGTTCATATCAGCTTGGACACTGTCAGCCATGACTCCGCAATCACTCAGTATTCAACCATCATCAGCATCAGACCATGTGCTACGGCCCTGAACAGCAGGATACGAAGCTAGCCAACGTCACAGGCGCACCTGGGCCCGGGCATGGAAGCAGCCAACATGCATCCTGCCTTGACTAATTGCAGGATATACTTTGTTTGCCCCAACCGTGCGTCCGATGAACCGCCAAGAGCTTCATGTCCAGATGGCTGCCAGACGAGCGGGATTCGTAGAGGCATGATGCTTACACGCGGTACGGCGACTTCTCAGTCTCGGCACGGCAAATCTATTTATTGCTTCTGATGTTTGAGGAATTGCTGGGACCATCTGTCGTATCCCTCTAGCATATGGGGCGTAATGCCCTTGGGAACGGACTGAATCGCTGCAACGATGTCCTGCATACACACTTGCACCTGGGCGGCCGCCTCGTCGGCCCCGATCTCGAGCGCCTTTTTAAGCGCCGGCTTCGTCGCCACGTTGACGATTTGCTTAATCTCGGCGCCCGAGAAGCCTTCCGACAGTCGAGACAGCTCCGTGAGATCCACGTCTTCCGCCGTAGGCAGCTTGCGAAGATAAAGCTTGAAGACGGCCTCGCGACCGGCATCGTCCGGCGGGCCGACGTACACTATGCGGTCGAAGCGACCAGGACGCAGGAGCGCCGGATCCATGGCCTCTGGCCGGTTCGTGGCTGCCAGAATAAGCACGCCCGACAGCGCCTCGAAGCCGTCCATCTCGGTGAGGAGCGTGGTAAGCATGTTGACAGAGCCCTGGCTCTTGGCGCCGCTGCCTGTTCTTTGCCCGCCGATGGAGTCGATCTCGTCGAAGAAGATGATACTTGGGCTTGCGGCGCGGGCGCGCTCGAAGAGCTGACGGACTGCGCGTTCCGATTCACCCACGTACATGTTTAGAAGCTCAGCGCCCTTGACGGCGAAGAAGTTGAAGCCGGATTCGGTAGCCATGGCCTGTGCCGAGAGCGTCTTGGAGCAGCCCGGCGGTCCATACAAGAGGAGACCCTTGGGCGGCGTCAGGATCAGTTTCTGAACGGACGGGTTGCTTGTGGTAGTGAGGGTGATCATGTCGCGCAGGGCCTCCTTGAGGTTTTCTTGTCCACCCACGTCCTGCCAGTGAATCGTCGGTGGCTTCAAATTGACGTCGTGCATGGCAGTCGGCTTCGTGCACCGCAGCGCTTGCTCCAAATCCTCTCTTGTCAGCTGCGGCTTTTCCATCGTTTCTTCGTCGAAACCGTTTCCATCTGGGTCCAGGCGCTCTGCCGACAGTCGCTTCGCGTTGCCGATGAGTCTGCAAAGATCATTCGCGTTGTATGCGTGCGTCTGTTGTGACAGTCTGCCCAGCATGGCGTCCTTGACCTCCGCCTGGACAGGAATATCAAGCGCATGTAGGATCTCCAGTCGTCCATCGGCGTTGGGTATCGAAAGTGGGATGTTAAGCTCGAGCCTGGTGGTCTTCTGCAGCTCAGGGGGGACGTCGGTCATGTAGTCCAAGCAGGTAGCTACGACCACGACCTTCGGCAGTGCGTTGTTGTTGAAAGCCTCCTCGGCGAGTTGGTCAAGCTGTTGGCCCAACCTGTGAATGATCGCAGTAGAATTGGCCCTGTCCTTACCGATCAATGCCTGAAGACCATCTATGAGGATGATACTAGGTTGTTGAGACCGGGCTTGCTTGAAGACCTCTTCGACGGTCGAGGACTTGTCGTTCTCTTCAATCTTGAAAATTCTGCCCCATCCAGTGGCCGCGATGCGGTTGAGGATGTAGGACTTGCCGGTGCCCCTTCCGCCGTGAATGACAATGCCGCATGAATCGTGCTGGCCCTGGTAGAAGAATTTGGCGTTGAAGCCGCGCAGGAAGCTTCTGAGCTTCTTCTCCTCGGCACGCAGCCCAGGAATGCCCTTCACGTCGAGCTTGGTGACTTCTCTAACCTCTTGGACGGGCTGCTCTTCCTCTTCACCGTAAACGATCCTCGGCACTGATGAGGCAGTGAACTTGGCAACGTTGTCCGTTTGGCCATCGACTGAAGTAATCTTGAATATTTGCTTGGCTCCCGGTGCTACGCACTCGAACTTCATACCAGGAAAGACGTGTTCAGCTCGTCCTGGTGAATATTAGCATACTAAACGCAACTTGGATTTGAGGCTTGTGACTGACCCAAGTAAAATCTGATAACACCGATCCATGCGCCCTCCCACGCAACGATCTCGGCTTTATCCTTATCCGTCGTTGTTACAGGAAGAATACTCACGGACTGTGCATCAGGGACAGCCGTCTTCTCATGCATCGTTATTGTGAGCTGGTCGCCGAGTTCGAATTCGCACGCATCGCGGTAAGCCTCACTCATGAGGATGATGTTGGGACTGATGTTCTTATCCGACAGCGTCCAGAGCGCAGCCTCTCGAACGGTTGTCGACTTGTCCTCGTTGACCCTCGTCACGATGCATCGTCTCCCATTATCGACGCTCGCCGTAAGCTGGATGAGGGCGTCTCGATTGACGTAGATCCGAGAGGCTCCCTTCAGCGTCGACTTTTCGAGGGTTTTATCAAAAGGCGCCAAAGGGCGAACCTTTCCCTCGATAGACTTGGCCATCGTCTCTGCCGTCGCTGGCGGCGTTCTTCAGCGTCGGCGGTTTGTTCTGCGAAGTATGAGACTGAATAAGTAGGCACTCTTGAATGTGTGCGAATTGGGAAATACTGCGACGCCGAGTGGGTGGGGCACCAGATTTTGCGACTTCCTGGGATCTTGCGACCTCCTCGGGAAATAGAACGCCTCCATTTGCTGCATGCCTTCCTACGTCTTTCAGGAAACTGGACTTCATATCATTCAGGCCTTCTTATGATTCTTCAAGTTCAAAATTTTCATCCATCTTGTCACAGTAGATATGGCCACAGCTTTGTCCTGTTTTTCAGCGTGGAAACCTTCTTCGCCCGGCAAGGTAACTGAATATTTACACGCTTGACAGGCTCGTTAAATACGTGACAATCAAAGATACAATAATGATCTGATATGACTTCCAGTTGATCATCGCTTCTGGTGGAAAGGTGTAATGGCATTTGCGTCACTCACAATGTGAGAAGGCCATGTAGCAGTGACTTAGACGAGGACTCAACGCAAAAGCATGAGAGATGCGGACGAATGAGAAAACGGTTCACTTGAAAGGAATAATCTCTTACCTGTGGTTGATTATCTGAATTATGACTCCCTAACAGCCTCTTCAGAGTTTTCCCAACGCCTCCCTTCGATGACGCCGAAACGAAATTAGTACTGAGTCTCACTTGTGTAAGTGTTAGTGGAATATGAAGACATTTTTTCCTCAGAAAAAAAATCCGAGTCGAGCCCCACACTTGGCTGTGAAAGAGGTACATGCACAGAAGTATCGCCCGCAGCGCCATGTAACATCGAAGCCAAAGAGCTTCAAACTTCGAGCTTGCCAACCAACAACCGCCAGCGGCCACAGAATCGAACACCTGCGCCGGCGGCCAGTTACCAGGTCCCGTTCACACCCATGCGATAGGCCGGCCTCCGAGGGCTGAGCAGCTCGACCCGAAGAGTTGCACGTATGAACACGCCCGCGGCCCGACGACAGCTTCCGCGGCTACTCCAGGCGCCGCCGCCGCCGTTGCCGTCCCCGTCTCCGCGATGGCGTAGGTCGAACAGTCACCGGGCGGTCTGGACCGGCTCCCGGCCCCTCGTCGAAGACCCGAACGAGAAGAAGACGAAGCAGAACGGGGAAACCCAGCAACCGTCCATCTTCGAAGAGATCTTTCCGGACGAAGATCTCTCCACGTTGCCCTACCGAAGGGACCAGAAACAGCAGCGCGATGACCGAGACCCCTCCTCCTCCTCGTCCTCCTCCTCTAAAGTCCGCATCGTTACATCAACCCACGTCGACAAGTCCGAGATGACGGAGTGGAACGCCATGAGGAATGCCGTCAAGACCGCTAGGCTCGTCGACTACCGGAGGAAAAAGCGAGAGGCGACTTCCACCGTCGCCAACATGCTAGGGCCGAAGCAAGAGCTTGAGCCATGGGGGCCTGTGGGATCCGGTATTCCTACACTCGGTTCGAAGCCTGAGGAAGCTGGCAGCGCAAGCAGCGGGACCGTTGCGAAGACCAAAGAAGCGCCATCGTTGTCCGACGAGCTGTTCAAAAGCGACGACCCTCCTAAGACGAGGACGCCGGCTGTGGAAGACAGACACGTCGACCACGGCGACTTGCAAGCCTGGATCGACTCCCTCCCCCAAGAAGAAGGCCGCGGGCCATCACCGGAAGGCAGGGAGAGGCCGGCGATGCTCATTCTGTCCAACGCGAGCACCAACCTCAGCGAGAGCGACTTCTACCGCGTAGGACCCCAGGGACAACATCTCGACGGCTGGGGAGCCTCGATAAGCAAAGGTACACCTTTCCTCGCGCCCGCCTACTCCCACCATCTTCCCACCCGCTAACAGAATCACCGGTAGTAATGCAAGCCTATGATTACAACACGCTCCAGCCCCTGGGCCGATACTTCATTCTCTTCGATTCCCACGCCGCCGCGGCATCCTACCAAATCGAAGCACAGCGCCGCTACAACCTCGCCCGCCACGCCCTACAATCCCCCGCCGCTCCGCTGGCCGTCAACTCCGAGTCCGTCGCCGCCGCCGACGCCTTCACCCTCGCGCCTCTGTCCAAGGCGCCCCTAAGCCTGCATCTCTACAAGCTCAACAAGGCCAACGAAGCCCGCCTCGAGACCTTCAGCATCCAGGGCCTCTTGAGTATAACCCCGGACCCGCCCCCTCGCGCCTGTTCCCAGGTAATTCTTTCACTCGAGGGCGGCACGCTAGACCAGCGCTCGTTGTCGCAGTTGGTCAAGCGTGACGCGCGCGACAGGGGCCTGGGCTGGCCGGTGCAGCACATGCGCCCCTACTTCCCTCCCAAGGTGTACCGCCGAGGCCTGGCTGATGGTTCGGAGGCGCAAGAGTACGAGTGGGACGAGGACACGGCGCCAAAGATAATCGATCCGGAGAAGGAGGCCAGGAGGCCGATGGACGTGACGGCGCGGTCGGCCTTGTTTGTGCTGTCATTTCCGGACGCCCATGAAGCGCGGAGGTTTACCCGGGCGTGGCATAGAAAAGAGCTTGCGAGGCCACGGGGCCACAGCTTGATTGTGAACGCACACTTCGTATGGTGAACGGATACCTATCTGTACATACTTGTAACAACATCGAATACCCGACATATACGTGTAAACCATCTCGGCATTTCACTCAGGATAGGCAAGGGCCAAGGCGTGAAAAAAGGATGTATTAGAAAAACCCAAAATAGAAAACCGAAACTCCAGACCAGATATTTGCTCTCTATGGATGTGAAAGGCGTTGTCGGCGACCGGAAAAAACGATGTGACAAAAACCACACGGCAATCTCTCCCCGGTGTTTGAAAGAAAGGCAGTAAGGTAGGTTAAGTGTGACGCCGTTTTGCACTCTTCCAGCCTCGAGTCTGCCCCGACGGCCGGTCCCACCGCAGACACCCGTCTTTTATGCTCTCCGGAGCAACCAAGCAAGGGCTTGCACCTTGACATTCCCCCGCCCTTCCAAAGCTTCCTCTCACCTGTGACTCTCGGTCATCATCAAGTCCCTCAAGGCCGTTGCAACAATCAATGCCGGGTTCCCTCTCTCGCATGTCTCCCATGTCCCGTGACTGCACCCGCCCACGGGTTACACCGGCGGCAGCAGCGCGGAACCGACCAAAAACATCAAAATCTTGCTTCAGAAAAACACACGACTCAAGCGCCCATCTAACAGCACTTTCCGCCGGCACCGCCCTGCTCGCCGACATTGACACCCGAGGCAGCAGGCTGCTCGTTCTTCTGGTTGTCGATCAGGCGCTTCTTGATGTCGGCGGCGAGCGAGTAGAAGGCCTTGTCGATGTTGATGTTGCTCTTCGCCGAGACCTCGAGGAAGGGGATGCCAAGCTCGTCGGCGAGCTGCTGGCCTCTCTCGGTAGAGACGACGCGCTTCTCCTCCCAATCACACTTGTTGCCGATGAGGATCTTGTTGACGCCTTCAGTGGCGTGTTGCTCGACGTTTGCGAACCAGGTGCGGATGTCTATAAGGGGTCCTGCATTAGCTTTCACATGCCCACCAAGGTGTGCCCACAAGCTCATGTGGAGATGTATGCGGTGGACGTGATCGCACCGCCGAGTTGCGGTGTAGAGTGCCGGTGGCAAGGGAGGGTCGAACATACTGTTAAAAGACCGCTCGTCGGTAACGTCGTAGACGAGGAGGATGCCCATGGCGCCGCGGTAGTAGGCGGTGGTGATGGTGCGGAAGCGCTCCTGGCCGGCGGTATCCCAGATCTGGAGCTTGACGCGCTTGCCGTCCAACTCGATGGTACGGATCTTGAAGTCGATGCCGATGGTCGTGATGAAGGACGGCGTGAACGAGTCCTCGCTGAAGCGCAACAGACAGCAGGACTTGCCTACGCCCGAGTCGCCGATCAGCAGCAGCTTGATCTGGCGTGCTTGTCAGCCACATGTGAACAGAATGTCATGATTGCCCTCCTTCGCTTCCTCGGTGAAGCCGGAGACGAGATCTCGGGATGTTTGGGGAGAAGGCGGAAGGTGCAAAATAACATCGGAGGAAGGGCGGACGATGTGAGGAGGGACGTGGCATCCGACACGTACAAGGAAGTCGTAGTTGCGGTTACTCGACATTTTGGCGGCGGGTGTCAGGGACTGACTGAACCGAGGGGGCCGATTTGAGGGGGGGAGAGACTGGCTTCTTCTCCGGCGACGAAGGCGGGTTGACGGATCGTGTCTGGGGGCGTGTGCGATGAGGCTGTCGCAATGTGTCGTCGGATCGGGAAAACAGGAAATCGATTGGGAAGAGGTAGGAAATCGGCGGTTGTCTGTCGTGTCGTAGTAGTGTAAGGTAAGGTAATGTAGGTACGAGGCGAGGCACTGTACTGTCCACTCACTGTGAGGACGGGAGGCAGTGGAGGTACGTAGTGTCGAATCGCTAGGCTTGTCTTCGGGGAGAGTGGCGCCTGTCGTCTGGGGTAAGACACTGGGTCCGGCCTCTTGCTTGGCCGACCCGACTCGACTGGATGGAACTGACGGTGCCCTCCACTGCTTGGTGACGGATGGCAGTGGCTGTTGCCGACCGCATACCTCAAAAAAAGACCTCGATGCGTTGGCCTTGCGCTGTTGTGTCACTGGCCAGCCGGTGGCATCTGCTGAGGTGGTGTTCCAGTGCCAGGTAAGCCAAGCAACGAACGTCGGATCAGCGTTAGATGCCAGCTGAAAGGTTAAAAGAAGCAAAACTCGTTGGTCAATCAAAGCGTCTTGCTGCAGAAATGCAATCAACTGTCCAGAGTCGGGAAAAAGCACACTTCTTCATGCATGAAGCTGGCCATTCAGCGCCCGGGAATCGAGCGAGCAACTTGCAGTATCTCTATTGACTCGAAGAACATCCTCTGCCACCCGCGTGTCTCGTCTCCCTCCCGGCCATCCTCAATAGGCCTCACCAACTGCCCTACGTAGGTACGAAGAGGCAACTTCCCTGCTGATGCGTTGTCCGCCCCGTCGCTTCGCCGGTGAGTGCTCGGTTTCCCGCCTCCCCTAGACTCGCAGAGGAGGTTCAAAACCGATGCAAAGTCACACCAACGTCATCGCACTGTCTTCTCTCAGGGTCTAGGTTTCTGGCTGAAGTGATCACGGGTCGCGCTCATGGCTGGTTCGGTGGTCACGAGGCGGAACACACCTACACACCCAACTACTGGGCGGCGTGGCTTCAACGTCACGTTTTCTCGGTTATCTCCCCGTATGCTTCTTCGGACAACGTATGTTCATGCTCAATGATGAAGACAACTTTTGATTAAACCGCCTTCCAAAGACAATGCCGCCTGCTAAGCTCCGGTACCAGTTCGCAATGCTCCCAGACAATTCATGATGCCCCCAGCGAGTGTACAAAATCGACCGGAAGGGCTTATCCGCTGTGCTGTAGTGACCTGAATGCTAAACCCGTAAGACCGTGTATCCATGCGAATCGTTAAAGTTCCTAGGCCTTCGGCCTTTACTGCAGCCATCGGGCATACGCCCAACGAATCCGGTCCAATGCTCTGACCTGCACCTGGATGCCCTTGAGGTTCGCGAGATCGTCGATATCCTCAAGGAACTCCCGCTGTCTGTCGCGAGGCAGCACTCTCTGCATCAGGTTACGCAGTACGTGCACCTCGCACAAAAGCAGACCATGATCCTTGTAGGACAGCAGGTTATTCTGAGATGGCGTCGCCTCCGAGAAGATGCGATCGATGTTGCGAAGCACCCTGATGCTTCTACCAGCCTCGCGGGTGTTTCGCGCTCCTCTGCGGGAGCCAAAGACGCCGCGGAAGTATTGCACAATACCGATCGACACGAGTACGCCGGGAGTCAGTCCAACAAAACCAAAGACAAGCTCCTGGCTCTTCAGCAAGGCGTCAATACCGCTGATGGCCACTTCCAGGTCAACCTTGGTCTTCTGAACCTGAATCAGAAGAGATCGAACGAGGTCGCCCTTGACAGCGCCAACGAACGGCTTTCTGAGGTCTCTTTCGTACGCCTTGAGAACCGGAGTAACATCCCCCTCGCTGACCTTCATTCTGATGTCGGCGATTTGGGCATCTGTCAGCGACGTGCCATCTCCCGCAAAATGGGGCTTGTCCAGAGCAAAGTCCACAACCATGCGTTCCAGGCTCTCGCGGTCGGCCTTCAGGCTGTCCCGGCTCATGATGGCGATCTCGCTATTCGAATCGTGTCTGATAGTCCCGACAATCTTTCGCGTCGGCTCAATGACCCAGTTAAACCAGAAGTCCCGGACCGTGACTCCAATATCCCGAATCCAGCTGATGATCTCGGCGCGTCGATTGGAAAGAACGCGGAGGATCGTCGTTGACGACAGCAGAAGTGCCGTGGCCGGCAGCCAGTACCGAATTAGTCTCGAAGGGCGTCCATTTTCGCGAACAAGCGTCTGCGTAGATACGACGTGGCTGGGAAGTCCGGAATCCAAAATGTTCAAAAGGCGTCTCGCGAGGACGGCGGGCTTCTCCAAAGCGTTCGCATCCTCGATGTGAATCGAAAGTTCGGGGTCCTCCTCAACGCCGGCGAATACCTTGTCCTCGAACTCGGCAACACCAGACTCGAGGGAGAGAACGTCCTTGAGAACCATGTCCATGAGAGCTACGCTTCGTTCCACCACGCCTTTCCAGTCGTGGCTGTTGACTCCAGCCTCGCTCTTGTCATCGTCGTCATCCACACCAAAAGTCAGACCCTCGTCAACAAGAACTCCCAAACCGCTGGCCGTCATTTCCCGTAAACGTTTAAGATGGGCGAGCTTCCGCCTGGCCTCACCTCGGCTGAGAGCAACGGGCGAAAGAACTCGGCGCTGGAGAGTTGTGATCGAAGAATCCCGAATACTGTCTCGGACGATGCCGTAGAATTGCCCCCACTGCTGGGACAGTCCAGTCCGTGTAGACTCCACAAACTCCCCAGGCGCTTGACTTAGATGTTGAAACCGATGCTTGCTTTCGTGATATACGTCCTTGGTCAAGGCCCACAGGCGCAAAGGGGACGTCTGGACAGTGTAAAGACTGCTGTAAGTATAAGAACTCAGGACCTCGTCCCAGTACCAAATATCATCGCTCAGGGGGATGATTTGGTCCAAGAGAGTGTTGAGGATGACTCCGTACGTCTGGACGGTAGCTTTGCTCACAAGCAGCCACTCGATTTCCGACTGGTAGTGATTTCGACCTTCTCCCTCGTTCACCTCTGCCTGGAAGTCCCACTCGGCGAGCTTTGACTGATGCAGAAGGTTGAGGATCTTCTGCGAGGGCAGCAGAGAGAGCGAAGACGAGGTGGTTGACAGGGCCCTCACGATGCGGAGTAGCTCGTCAACCCTCGGCGACGAGAGGGCGTCAGCGGAGGTCGAATTGAAGATGCCATGCTCCTCAGCAGCAAGTTCGTCGTTGTCTTGGGAGATGCTCAGACCCAAGGGAATCCGATCAAGCTGTGCGTCTAAGCGACGAACTTGGCTGCTTCATGTTAGGCCAATGTTTATTTTCTTTGGGATGAGGGGCAAGGAAAGGGAAGGGAAGGGAAGAGAAAGGTGGGACGGGATACTGACTCGGCCACAACAGACATTATTGCTTCTCATTCAGAGAGCACTCCTCCGCCACATTCATGAGTTGATCGTCAACCGATCTGGGAAGTGAGGTTTGCAGTCGCAGTCGCGTGAGTTTGATTCTCGGATGATCGAGTGGGAGTTTAGGTCAGACGTCATGTCGTAGGTAAGCGACTGCCCAGGGCAACACTTGGGCGAGGGTCTGGGCTGGAAAGATGGAATGACGGTGTGGGTGCCCCTCCTTAGTAAGCCGAGTGCGCTGGCGCCACTGACGAAGCCAGATCAATAAAGCGTAGCGCAGCTGTAGCATCCAATGAGAAGGAACGAGGAAAAGGCACGGTTGCGAATGCACCATCACCAGTGAGTGACATGGCTCAAGAGTTGAAGATGATAACCTCAGACTGATGATGCCACGACATTGAATTTTCTGCCCAGTTTCTGACAGACAAGGTTCTGGGAGTCGGTTCATTCGATGCTTGATTGAACCTTGAGCAGCTGAGAAGCTAAGTCAAAAGCACCATACATACATCCTGGGCACAGCCGTGTGGGCTTCGAGATCTCTCATGAACATAGCGCCGCAGAGATGGCCCAAAACATGGGAAATGGCGACGGCGATATCGACAAAACTGGACGGATCTTGCCACCCAAGGCTGTAATGGTCGAGGCAAGTCTTCATCCCAGGCTCCGGGACCACCGCAACGGAACAGGCTCAAGCCGAACACGCCATTTCGACAAATCACCCATGTCGGCGTCAAGAACTTCCACGCAGATGGGCAGCCGTAGCAGTGGATACGTCGTGCTTCTGACAGGTGCGCGGAGGCGGCGCGGCGGAGGTCAGATGGATCTCAATCGGCAATCTGGTGTGGTAGATGAAGCTTGGGGAATGGCAGCGAGATGGCTTCTGAGGCTCTTTTAGCGCCAGTCCGGGCCATTGGTGACAGTGGCCGTGACAGTGACAGACAAAAAGACGGATTCGTCGCGTGTTCAAGGCCAGGACGTGCGACAGCAACATTCCCCCTCCATATTCGTATTCGGGTTGAAAGACGCGGTACGTACCTCCTGCTAGGCACCTCACTCCGTACTAACATCCTGCTTCCATGGCTCACCTAACCCAACACCAATAGAAAGTGCTTCTAGCACGTATCGTCTACGCAAACTGGGAGAGGCGTAGCAACGAATTATCGAGGTGCAAGGTCACCACGTCAGGACTCTGGATTGAGAAAAACCATGCCCCTGCACACCGATAAGATAGGGCTAATCGGTCTCCTCCAAATGCCCGCGATGCGGTGGACACCAACACCGTTATTCTGCCTGGTCCCCTCCCCCTTTTCTGTCCGCTGCCGCCTTCCTGGCCGTCGAAATGTTGTCCATCGTCTTTGGGCACTCGTGTCTGTATCACAATTGAGTGCTGACTGACCCCCATGATAGACCAGAGCTGCGACTTTAGCGTTCCATAGCTTCGCCAGACAGCCGCCACTGGCAGCAACGTTCATCCAGAAACATGGATGACACTGAACAAAAAAAGGAGCTCTGTCCCATATTGGATGCCCCGTGCACGCTTCGGTGTTTGCGGCAGTGACTTCCAGCTGTGATTTGGACTTTTTCAGCGTGTTCCTCCCCTCCACCCCACTGATTAGCACACCTTTTGCCTCCAGACACTCGTGGTAGCTCGCACACCGCCCGACCCAGTCGCCAGGGCACGCCGGCCTCTGACTGGCCGGGTCCGCCACGGAAGACGGAAGGACCCACAGACGCATGGGCTCATGTTCAGGCGCAGCACCCCATTGGCTCCCCGTACAGAAACCCATCAAGAGATGTGCAGGGGCGTTTTCATAGCAAGGAGCACAAACCGAGCTAAGGCATGTATTTTTCTGCTGCTTGCCATTTCCTTTCCCCGTCAACCGAAATGATCCATGGATAAAACCTCAACAAGACCCGGTCCTAGACCCTTTAACCTTCGTCTTCGCCGCTCGCTGTCTGCCTTTTTTCCCCATCGATTCGGCGCATCATCGAAGGGTGACCGCTTTCTTCCGTCCTTCCTTCCTTCCTAGGAGACGTTTCCAAAGTCTTCTTCCTTTTCAGTATCCCATCCTAATAACTCTTCTGCGCATTCTGAAGCAAAAGTCGCGAATCAGCGCTTCTTGCCATCATGGCCGCTTTTGTGTGAGTATCCCCTGCTACTTCGACCTCTTCGACGCCCCTATTCTGGATGACATATCGCGACTTCAGCTCGCTAACATGTGCTTCTCATCTAGCAACTCGACCGTTATCAACACGGCCTTCAACCACACCCAGCCCTACTTCAGCGTCTTCGAAGAGGTCTCCAAGTACAATGTCCAGCTTAACTACGCCGAGCGCCTCTGGACAGTATGTCACCCCAATCCTCCGATATAAATACCCGACGCGACTAACAACCCCTTCTCAGGCTTGGTATCTCTGGATGCAGAATGACATTCTCGCCACCGGTATCATGAGCTTCGTCATGCACGAGACCGTCTACTTCGGTCGCAGTCTGCCCTTCATCATCTTCGACCTCATCCCCTGGTTCCACAAGTACAAGATCCAACCCGTAAGCCTCCGCCTCACTACACGCAGCATACACATATCTAACACGGTACGCAGCAAAAAATGCCGACACTCAAGGAGCAATGGGACTGTGCCATGGTCGTCCTCATCAGCCATTTCACCGTCGAGTTGCCTCAGATCTGGCTCTTCCACCCCCTAGCCACCTGGTGCGGTATGGAGTACGGCGTCCCCTTCCCGCCTCTCTGGAAGATGGCCATGCAAATCTCCATCTTCTTCGTCATGGAGGATACCTGGCACTACTGGTTCCACCGGGCTCTGCACTACGGCCCGCTCTACAAGGCTATCCACAAGCTTCACCACTACTACTCCGCTCCTTTCGGCCTCGCTGCTGAGTATGCCTCGCCCATTGAGGTCATGCTGCTGGGTATTGGTATTGTTGGCTCGCCCATCTTCTGGGTGACCCTGACTGGCGACCTCCACCTCCTGACCATGTACGCCTGGATCGTCCTCCGTCTGTTCCAGGCTATCGACGCCCACAGCGGCTACGACTTCCCCTGGAGCTTGCGCCACTTCCTGCCCTTCTGGGCCGGTGCCGACCACCACGACCTCCACCACGAGAAGTTCATCGGCAACTACGCCTCCTCTTTCCGCTGGTGGGACTACTGCCTTGACACCGAAGCCGGCCTCGAAGCCCACAAGAAGCGCCGCGAGCGCAAGCTCGCTGCCATCAAGGCTCAGAAGGCCCAGTAAATGTTTGAGCAGGGTTGCGAAGTTACAAAGCCTTGTACAAGAGACGGTCCGGACGACAGGGCAGAAAAACGCCTACGAAGACGACGGACGACTCTTTGGATACCTGAAGGGTATCCTTGATACGAATTATAGACGCGGCAAACGGTACCGCAAGGAAGCGAATGACACACAAAGTCACGTTAATCATCATCATTGGAGCGGCGTTCGAAGAGGGAACTGATGGGTGTGCCATATGCTGATGCCAAATTCTGACGTACATATTGGGAAGGCCGCCCTGAAAAAATCGGCATTGTAGTAAAGTACTTAATTAGAGCACAACACTCGTTCCTACTTTCAATCTGAGGAGACAAAGACGCCATATATGATACAGATAGTGTACACAGCCACTCGTCCGAAGCAGTGCCGCGAATCTATGAGGCGACGAGCTGATGTCCTTCAGTTCTTCGACTTCGGCGCGCAGCAGTCCCCGGCCGTGCCGGCTGCCTTGTCGGCCAAGCCCCGGATGCCGCAACTAGTGGCCTCTTCCGTAGCGGCGGGCGGCGCCTCCACCTCGCCAAAGTCCTTGGCCAGGGCGTCGCATATCATCGCGAGCTTCAGGTCCTTGACAGAGAGTCCTTTGGGGCTATGCGTCGTCCAGCGGATGAAGGTCGTGTTGTACACCTGGCGAGTCTTGGTCAGTACCACGGGCAGGGGCAGACAGTCTATCCCGAGACGTACATTGGACCACTCCGGGTGGTGATTGTGGGTTTTACACTGCAGGCTCACGGCCGTCATGAAGTCCTGTACCACAGACATTCAATCCGTCAGCTGAATTCAGAGAGCCACAGAAGCCACCGGTGAAGGCGAATGGTCTCTTAAGACATGAGTATCGGGGAATGAGACTCGACGCACCCACGTCTTTGCAAAGTTCTTGAACTTGAAGCTGCGCTCGACGGCCTCGCCCTCGTTGACGAGCGCCCAGCGGCCCTGACCCAGGAGCGTCTCCAGCGTCGAGTTCATCGCCTCGTCTGAGCCCTGGCTGAAGCGGGCTTGCTGCTGCTGGGGGGCGGTTGTCGTGGACATGTTGCGGGGTCGCAGCGGGATCGAAGACGAAACTTTGAAGAATTGAGATGCTGCTGCGGGGATGGTTCGCGAGGGTGCTGCTGCGAGATTGCGCAGAAAGACGGGGGCGGGGATCATTGCCGGGCGTGTAGGGTGACGTTGAAGTGAGCGGCCGGTGGACGAGGAGCGGTGATGTAAGTCCTCGTTCTCTTTTTTCCCTGGAGGTGTGGTTCAGTTGCGGTTTGGTGATGTTAGGGGGGTACCCCTGTCCCATTCATCGAGCTCAGGTGGGGAAATGGGATTCGATGTTGTTGGATAACAACTCTCATCGTCGGCACCTTTCCTCGTCTTCAGTAGATCAAACAAAGGTGTAGCTGAAATTCCGAGGCTCTCAATATCGGATATTTAATCGGTTCGAATATGACATTTCAATCTGACAAGTCGACTCAGTTGGTCGTCTTCAAAGGCTGGCTAGATCTCTGGGTGGAAGCTTGAGAGCTATGACTTTCAACGGTTCGGTCCGGGGAGCTTGACCTTGGACAGATCACGTCTTTATTTTATTGAACTTTCTTTTCTGCCGTCGAGGGGTTCCTTGATACGACTCGACGTGAGTCTTGGAGATCATCCCGTCGGCAAATGACCCAAGCGCCCTCTGAACCGCTCACCATGTTGATGGATCATCGACGTCAACTCGGTGCTTCACGGCCGACTTCCCAAAAGCATGTAAGCTGGCGGAGAAAACAGCAACATTTCCTCGGTGGGCTGCCGTCTTATTACGGAAGGTGAGTTTCGACAAACGAGCTGCGGCATGCACACCAATCAAACACACACACATGAAGAGCAGGAATCCTTCTCTCACGGCTATGCGGGTGGGTGAGACGCGGGATAGCCAGTAATACCCCGCGCATCCAGCTTTCGATAGTAGATACCGACCTGTCGATCCCTGGTCGTACGGAATATAATCTCCTCAGAACGCCCCCTGGAATAGATTTGCGTTCATCCCATTTACTGCTGCACTTCAGTCCGATTTGACGATTGCCGACTTACCGTACATTTTGAGTTGGCAAGAACCTAGGCTTGCAGCTCAGCGGGCCGATTGGACAAGATACAACACCATGCGTGTGCCTCATCGGGCATTGCCAGTAGAGGCAACACCGACAGTGGTAGTTCAACCCCATACATCACAGTCAATCATCGGCCAGCTTGACGAGATGTCGTCAACTCAGACCTCGGAAGAGTCTACAGCAACAGTCATCGTCGCCGACCTCCTCATACCCGGCCGCGGCGATCCGTTTCAAGATGCCGCTGTCGCAATAGAGGATGATAAGATCACCTTCGTCGGCCCAGCCCAGAACCTCCCGGATAAGTACAACACCGTCAAACCGGTCCGCGTCCCGGTCATAATGCCGGGTCTCTGGGACGTGCATACACACTTTCTCGGCTTCGACGTCGCGACCACCTTCGGGGGCGGTTTGTTCAACTTCCTGCCCGGTTCCAACGCCCTCATCGGGGCCGTCACCGTCCAGGACCTCGAGAGGACGCTGAAGGCAGGGTACACCTCCGTCCGTGAGCTCTGCGGATACGCGGGCGACCTGGTACCGGCCATCGAGATGGGGCGTATCGTCGGGCCGAACGTGTACTCTTCTATCGCGGCCATGTCCATCAGCGGCGGGCACGGTGACGAGCACACGTCTCCCATCGACACGGTGATGAACTTCGCCAGGTGCGGCGGGCCCTGTTCCATTGCAGATGGCGCGGATGACTGCACCAAGCAGGTGAGGTTGCTGGTGCGCCGGGGCGCGCGTTGCATCAAGGTCTGCTCGAGCGGCGGGGTGTTGAGTGTGCTGGATGACCCAGAAGATAGGCAGTTCTCGGACGAGGAGCTTAAGGCCATCGTCGACGAGGCTGCGCGCAGCCGTCGTGCTGTTGCTGCCCACGCCATCGGCAAGGCGGGTATTCTGGCCGCGCTGAGGGCCGGGGTCAAGAGTATTGAGCACGGCATGTACCTCGACGAAGAGGTTGCGGACCTCATGCTAGAGAAGGGGGCCATCTTTGTGGCTACCCAGCACATAGTCAACAGCGTCAGCAAGGACACCTCGAAGTTGCCGCCGTACATTGCGCGCAAGATCGAGAAGCTGGTCCAGAGGGCCGCGGACTCGTACTCGCTGGCCATCAAAAAGGGGCTCAAGATAGCGTTGGGGACGGATACTCTCAGCAGCGATCCCTCCAAGGAAATGGCACACGGAAATAATGCCAAAGAGCTGTACTGGGCTGTCAAGAGAGGCATGACGCCTCTGCAGGCTATCGAAGCCGGCACCGCCAATGCTCCTGAGGTGCTCGGCGGGATGGCACCTCTCAGCGGTCAGCTCAAGGTGGGATACGATGCTGATCTGATTGCCGTTGCCGAGAATCCTCTTGACGACGTTACGATTCTGATGAAGCAGGAGAACGTTACCCACGTCTGGAAAGGAGGGAAACTGTTCAAGTCCCCCTGAATGGCTGTCGCCTTGCGTGTGTACCTCGAGTACTCGTCAAGTAAATATGAGCCAGGAGCAATAAAATTACAGCCCCAAGTATGAAGCTTTCCATCAGCCCAGTAAGCGGTGTTCCGCATGACCTCAGTCAGCAATGGTTCGTTGAGGGGCATGCGTCGAGGCGGTCAGTAAGACTCATACCGCCAGATTCCACGACGTGCTTGCTCCGGCTCGATACGAATCGACAGTCTAGTAAATAGCCAACTGTGAGCTGATGTTGCCAGGTTGTTGTCACATCTTGTTCGACTCTCAACACGCTTGACGTTGGGCAGGGTCCTGCCCAGAGCGGGGCACGCTCGTAGTCGCAACGCTGACTGTACACATTGCAGTGATATCGAAATGGCCCTATTGATGCATTAGCTAGCTGTGAAGAATAGGCTTTGGTCTCGTTATCCTTGGCTTGCTATGCCCTAGACAAAAGAAGACGAGGATGCTAAGCGGCTCGAGGTTGAGCAATCCTCCAACGAAGGCCAGGCGGAATCTCGTCCAACACGAGGATCTCGCAGGGCGTCTTCTCCGACTAATGATGGACGCGAGGAAGGGTACTTTTTTTTCGATACGGTCATGTGTTCATGGTCTTTAGTAATAGTGCCAGAGTCGTTGACCGAAGTGATGACATCCATGGATGCATAACAGAGGAGCAAATGTAACTCGTGCTAAAAGATTTCCTCTGGCGACATCTTTATCGGGGCCAAAATGCTATGTAGTACCTGTAGCATTCTTCTATACGCTAAAAATTTGCGGTTGGTATTGAGTTGGTATTGTTTCTGCAAGGTAATGTGAGTCGCATCAGCAATACGGTGGGAGGAGGGGAGGAGGGCGGCGGCAGCGGCAACAGCAACGAGTCTAAGCTGTGGCTAGATCAAGTCATTGATCTTTTCTTGGTGGTACTTGAAGAAACGCACCTTTTTTGGCTGGCGTCAATAAGCTTCTACGGAGGGCGCTCGCCTCCCATTCGTGTTAATGAGCCGTCGAGCCGCCTCTGATGCCGAAGAGCAAGTTTGCACTAGGTTTGACAACGAACGACGACGTCGATGCCAGCAAATGTCCTGTGTGATATGTTTGGTCACCAGCGGTTGACTGGGGAGAAGGGAAAATTCCATATTGACATGAATCCGTCCTTGAACAGATGTAGGTACAGGCAGTGGCAGGAGTAGGCAGGCCTTGGTGGCGGTACCTAGATAGTTCTCCTACCGGTATTTTGCCTCCTTGCCTGCAAGATCCAGTCCTCTGGGCTTGAAATCGGGTGTGGCGTACTCCTTGATCGTGTCCCACTCACTTCTTTAAGTCTGTGGGCTCTTCGGAAGGGCAAGCTTCCCTAGGTGACCACTATGAGATTCTCAGCGAGAAGTCGGAGTTTTCTCGGGTTGCTTGGGAATGAGTGCAGGCTTCTTGTAGCCTATGCTGCGACTGCTTAACATCAGCATACACCCAAAAAAGATTCAAATGTGTCAACATACCTCTATCCTCGACTGAGAACATCGAGAGCCTTTACTGTGTATGATCACGTAATCGAGTCAATAACATCTCATTGGCCACGCATCGATGCCGGGTTCAACTCCGCCTGGGATTGGAACAGACAGGCCAAGCCTGCAGATTGCTTACGTAAGTCCAATACCGGAAGTCCCGGGATTCGTTGTCCGAAGGGCACATTCAGGTCTCGTCAGTGGTGCGGCTTTTTTGAATGCCTCTGATCTCTCGTCGGGTTCTGTCAAGCAGGAGGGGAGGGAAATGAGTGCAGTAGCGTCAGAAACAATCCAAGGGCGATGTGGCTGGCGGTGACCATGCTTCCCAATGAGGAACGTCTCGGTGAGGTTTCGGTAAATTACTTCAAGGCCCCACCTTCCTCTTGTCCAACCTGGAAGTTCTGCACGTAGTGGTCGCCCTGCCTTGGACGTCCAACAACAAATGGAAAGTCAAGGGCACCGGGGTTGTTGTCGGCTCTTTCGATATGTCCGTCGCCTCGCCTTCCGAATTGCGCTTCGGCTTGAATGAGGTGAGGTGGTGGTGTTGGGTTGGCCCCTGTGGATACCCTTTGGATGAGGTAATTTGGCCCGCTTATTTGTTTTCTCTGACAGGCTCGCGTCTTCATTTTGTGCCGTCACTTTTTGTACCGGGCAGCCAAGAAACCCACTGGCGGGACCAACTTCTTGCTGACAAACCATGTCTGCTTCTGCTGACTACCGTATAATCTGAGTATATGCGTTTTCCACCTTCTGCCACCCACACCCAATTTTCACTATTTCACCCCTATCCTAATTCAGCCTAACTAGTAGGCGGTGAAGCCTCCTCTCTATTATTTTGCCCTTTTTAACGAGCACGCCTACACCCCTCCCCTTGCTGGCCCCTTGCTGACCCTCTTATTACGACCAATAGGCGGCAGTGGGCACTGAGGTGGAAAACGCATATACTCAGATTATACGGTATCAATGTCCGACGGTCACGTCCCCGGTGCATGGTACATTCATGTACCCAGGTACCTCGACCTCGAGAGACCTCGGCGACAGACTGAACGTTGCGTTGCGTCTCTGCTTCCCATGACTACTAGTAGAGAAATGGAAATGCGATTGCGAGAAGCCGAGTCGATGAACAGCTCTCTAAACCAATCGAAGCAGCTGATATCACGTGGCCGAGCTGTGCTGCCTGACACGGCAGCTCCTCTGACAGATTAGGGAGCGCCCAAGGCTACACGGCAGCACAGATACGGCGCATGTGGTGATTACCGCAGGACGCCTGCTTTCAGCTAGATGCGCGGCTCAGCGTATCTAGCTGAAGCTTCTCTGAAGCGCATATGTGAACAGGTAGAGAGACACGTGCAACCTAAAGCGCAGTGCCAATCTATAAGTACCTAGCCTGGAACTCGTTCAGGTAAGCACGAGTTGCCTAACGGGAGTCCCAATACCGATCCATTTCCATCACTCGCTGAGGTTGATTAGTAGATATCTGGGAGCTCACAGAGAATCTGGACAGTCTTCCTCAGCAACCTTGAGCTTTCTGATCCTTCCTTGGAGAGACGTTCATTTTTCTATCTACAGCGGAAGGCAGGCAGAAAGCAGAACTGGCTGACCGTTCGCCGCATTAACTTCACCAACTGGAATACAGATCAGATCGCTTGGGTGGTGCATGACATTGCAGAGGGTCGCGAGTTGCCTGACATCAGGTCGACCTGCGTGCGTGCTTGCCCCGTCGGCTCCGGGAAGGGTTTGTCATTGGTCGAGGTACATGCCGCTACCTGTCTGCATCGAAGGCATCGGGTCGGAGCAGCAGACAGAAGTACCGCCCAAAGACCTGGGCAGGCAGGTCCGGGTAGTAGGTACGTATCCGCTACAAGCATGCGCCCTACCGAGATTCTTCCTCGTCTCGTCGCGTCTTTTCCTGGGCTCTCAGTCAATCATTCAATCCTTCACTCCCAGCCATTCAATTTTCCCCAAGCGAGAAGCAGCCTGATACAGAGTACTATGTGACAATATCTCACCTCAATCTCCAACCCCATCCAGCTGTAGAATCCTGGGAGCCGTGCCGTGCTGGTGCAATAAACAGAAATCAGGACAATACGACACACCCAACGCGTCAAATCGCTCGACAAGCCGCCACCCACCATCCCGCCATTCCCACCCCTTCCATTACCTTAAGCTCCCGTCTGGAAGACTCAAAGCTCATAGCTCCTCCCACACCTGGCGGCACCTGGAGCACTGGCAGCAACTCACCTACCTGGTAGGCATCCGTACCCTGCCTCAAGAGGACAAGAAAAAAAAAAAAAAAAGAGGGACGGGTCGAATGTTACATGGTCCTGCGGATCAGAAAAAGGCCCAAGCTACGGATACCTCTCTGCCTTACCTCACCTTGCTCACCTCTCCCACCACTCAAGTCTCAACCAACCTTCACCCTTACCAAAGCACTCGAAAAGGTGGTCTTCCTTGGTTCTTACCTCACCACAACAGGACAAGACGGAGGTACCTTCGGATACTTCTACCCGTACTCTGTACCGCACCACAACACACGTCTACCTTACCTTACGGATACGTTCCCTGCTTCACCTTACGTTACCGCGCCCACCTGCACCTGCACCTGCACCACGGACACGCTCCAGACAACTACCCACACCCTCGTCAGGTTCCCCTCCTCTACGACGCGCTAAGGTCGCAGACGATTACCTAAACATTCGCTGAACTGCCGCATCGGTCGCCCGTCTCATCCAGTCTTGCCGTCCGGGCCCTCTTTATAAGTCCTGTCGGGTGCCTGTAGTAATCAATCCTCCGTCCACTTCATGCTGAGTCAGAACCGGAGCTTGAAGATGCAGAGCGCTTCACCCTCGTCTTCTGCGTCTGCGAATACCACCACTAATACAGGTGAGTAGTGGTCTGCCTTTCTTGTTTTCCCCTTTCTCTGCTCTCCGATTCCCTTCTCCATCTCCCAATCTGCCCATCCCACCATCCGCCGTCTCGCCCGGCCACCTGGCGCCCTCCCAATTCCCGTCAATCCCGTCCGTCACCTCTGTCGCGCGCTCTCACCCACTCCCCGACTCGACCTTAGCTCCCTCTATCGCCTTACCTCATCATCCTTCACTGCTCCATTGTACCCGGTCGAATCTCATGTACGCTGCGTGAGACGGAACTCTTTTTTCACCTTAAACTACGTTGCAATCAGCAATACCCGTTACATCCTGGGACAGTTCGTGCTCTTCCGTTCCGTCTACCTCTACTGGTACTCGGTGATATGTAATCACTACCCCATCCCTCATCAGTGTCACTTCCTTCGAGATTACGGCTCTTTGCCATCTCAGCTTGTCTCCTTCGCCCAGCGCTTGAAGGCCAAGCGCAAGCTAAAGCTACGAAGCTGTACTTGCGACTTCAGCTTACTCGCTTCCTGTCTTCTCCCACCTTCCTCGTCGCCTCACGGCGCATATTCGGGACCTCTACGTCGGGGTCTTTTGATATTCCCTACGTCTGTCACGCGGCAACCCGTCTTGTTATTTCAAGCCCACAACGTCTCCGAATTTTATTAGCTTTATTCCACATTTAGGACGAATTTTGGCTGCGTTTCGAGCTTTCGACACGTCTTGCTGACATGATATGTGCCTTCTACAGACGCCCACTTGCACGCGCAGCTCGAGCTACTTAGCAAGCACACCACGCCCAACTCGTCTGACAACGCGACAGCCCCATCTCGAGGAGCTCGTTCCCAAGCTCCCAAACCCCAGAGCGCCTCGCCTGCTCATGGCTATAGTAACGGCTCGAACTCGCCACCCTCTGACGTCTTGCCGCCGATAGTCAACAACGAAAACACCACCACTACCGACCCCGAAGCGCATATTCACCCCGATCTCCGAGCTCGCAACATCCACGCGCCAGTCGTGAACATGATGCCCGCTGGCCCCGCTCCGCCCCAGCAAACCGCTCCTCCCGCGACTACCGCCGGCCCTTCCACTGCTCCTCCTGCGAATCTCCCCGCCCCGACAGCTATGGCCCTGGACGACGGGGGCGCGGGTAGCAAGGCGAAGCGCGAACTCTCGCAATCGAAGCGCGCAGCGCAAAATCGAGCTGCTCAGGTACGATAAACCCCGATCGCACATGGTTTGCGCTGGATCAATGGGCGTGTGACTGCGTGGTGCGGGTTACAAAAGCTGTTGCGCTGCTTACGGCGGCGCGTCGACTCTTCGCTGGGCCAGCATGCCGTCTGACTGCGATCCTGTCGATGTAACCCCATCTGACGCGCCTGCCCATCGACCTGCACGTCAATTGAGGGAAACTGTCAAGCTAATGTGTTGGCCTACAGAGAGCTTTCCGTCAGCGAAAGGAGCACTATATTAAGAAGCTGGAGCAACAGGTTCGGGACTACATGGAAATGGAACAGAGCTACAAGACGATGCAATCAGAAAACTACGCCCTCCGCGAATATGTCATCCATCTGCAGTCACGACTTCTGGACGCCCAGGGCGAGATCCCCCAGCCCCCTCCCAACGTCAACCTCGCCAACCCTCCCATGCAACCCCCTCCGCCCCCTGCGAGCGCCCCCGAGGCTGCGCCGCCTAACCCAGCTGCCGGCACGCCCCTCGAGGCCGTCGCGCAGGCCGTCGCAGGCCTTGCCGCGCAGGAGCAGCTCGCTGGCAGACAGCAGTTTTCTCCAGAGCAGGGCAAAGAAGAGGCGCGTCGCGAGGGCGAGGAGATTGATGGCCAACTCCAGCCGGACGGAATTGCTGCCGCGCCGACTGCCTCAATGTGATGCGCTCGAGTAATCTGCGCATCACATGTCATCAATCTGCATGGTTTTCAAGTCGCAGGCGTTGTGGTACAATGGTTTGTCAAGATATTACCAAGGGAAACAGGCGTTACCGGCATGACTTTCGTTCTTTGTTAATTTCTAGCTACCCGCCTCTCCGAGGTAGCTTCTGCTGTGCCTCGTGGCCTCAGCTCTTCATCAAAAGAGACGACGTTGAGTATGATATCGAGGGAGTGTTGTACGGGCTTTGGAGGTGTGTGCATTTCGAGGGGAGAAGACGTGTTTTGTCGGGACGGGGAGCTCATGCCATTTTAGCAGACTCTGACAGACATACAACACTATGCACTCATACTGAGATTCTCACTGTGAACTTTTCTCCCTGTTGGTTTGACAGACTGCGGCGCGGTACGACTACAGGAAAAATGAATTGCCACCATTCCCCCATCCCATCCTGCGAATTCTAACTCGTTTTGTTATGACTGCAAAAAGCGCCCTGGGTGACTGACTTGATCATGCATACGAAGTATTGCCAAGGTCGTGTTCCTATTCCTTATGTTAGCTGATAATGTTCCATGTGGCTTTGTCATGTGTTAACTCACCTTGATATACTCGGACCCCTTCTCCTGGTACTCTTCGCGCGTGATGGTGGCGGTCTTCCAGGCATCGGTGCCCGCCCATCCGGCGGCGCCCTTCCACGCGTCCAGCAGAGCGTCCTGGGCGCGGCGGATGTTCAGGGGCGACTCGGCGGGGAGCAGCGGCGTCAGGCCGGCGCGCAGGCGCTCGTCGAAGCCCCGGAACATGGTGTTGCCGCCCGTGAGGAAGACGTCGCGGAGGAAGTCGTCGCGGTTGGGCACGGCGCCGAGGCGCTGGTTGAGGATATCGCCGATGATGTCGACGAGGCCGGACTGGTCGACGCCGGCGATGGAGGGCTGGAAGACGACCTCGGGGACGCGGATGCGTTCGACGTTGAGGTGGATCTGGCTCAGCTCGGCCTGGGAGCCGGCGTCGAAGGGGCGGGGGCCGCGGGCGAAGGCGTGCAGCATCGATTTCGACCAGTCCGTCTGGGCCTCGTGGGTGTCCTCGTACGTAAAGGCGGGGTCGTAGCGGAGGAGGTCCTGTTCGTAGTTTTTCAGGTTGGCGTTCAGGTCCTCCTCCTCCTGCTCGTCGTCGCTGTTGTCGCCGACGGCGATCTGGCGGTATACGCCCCAGTCGTCATCGTTGGCGCCGAAGTTGTCGTCGTCTCCGCCGCGGCGGCGCTTCTTGGTGGGTTGGTCCGAAGCGAGGTTGGCGATGCTCTTCATGCGGATCTGTGACGCGAGGGATTTGCGGTTTCCGAGGTCCTGCTTGAGGCGTTCCCGCTCCTTCATCTTCTGGAGCGTGAGGTTGCGGGCCTGGCGCCTCTCCTCGAGCCAGCCCTCAAGGTCGTTCTCTCGACGCTCCTGGTCGAGGCGTTTCGCCTCCTCGACGCGTGCCTTTTCGGCTTGCTTCTCTGCCTTTGCGCGGGCGCGGGCGTCGTGGTTGGACTTCATGAGCTTTTGCTGGCGCTTGGCCTTGATGCCGGCGTCGTCGAGCTCTTCGTCGGGTACGTCGAGAAGGTCGAAGACGGGCTCTTTCTGGTCCTCTTCGGGGTCACCTCCGACGTCCTTTGTTCGAGCCTTCTTGACGGCTTTGTCGAGGACGTCGATGGCCTTCTCGAGGGCAGCCTCGTCCTTGAGATCGTTACTGTCCAAGAGGCGCCGGACCTCCTTCTTGTTCGTCTGTTGTTCGATCTTGGCTTGGAGCTTCTTGTAGTGCTCGAGTTCGTTTTCCTTACGCATGAGCTTTTCCAACCTCATCTTTGCAGCTTGCTCTTGTAACCGCCTGCCGCTCTCCTTCTTCCGCTCGGCGATGCGGGCCAGTTCCTCCTCCGTCTTTTGGATGACGACCTCCTCCGTGAATGGGTATTGCATGACGATGTCCCGGTCTTCGAGACCGGTCCAGTCTAGGTAGCCACGAAGCTCGTTGTCGTAATCATTTGAGACGTAAGCGTGGTCGCGTAGCATGTGCTCTGCCTGTGACACGTTCATCTTTCCCGTGAAGGAGGGGTATTTGAGTCGGATGAGCTTCAGCAGGTATTCCGCCGCGTGCCAGCCGCCCCAGTTCAGTCTTGTGGCTTGGCTCAGCATCGCCTTGTGGTTGTAGACCGGTATTACGTGTGTGGATGTGTAGGACGACGAGACTACTATGCCCGTGTTTCCTTTGTTGTGTCGGTAGGAGAAGAGGGAGTCGATGCCGTATGCCAGCGATGGCGCGCCGTAGCATTCGAAGACGATCTCGGTCATCGCTGTTCAGCGTCAGAGGTTTGCTGCAGGAAGGCCTTGGGAAGGCAAGCTTACACTTCCGTGAATACGGCAGATTGGCCACGGTCTCTGTCATGACGATTGGCATGTCAATGGACGCATCGTCGCCATTCAACCCGAGCTTCAGAAAGACGTAGTCGAGAACATGCTCCATAACATCCCAATTGCTGACGATACCTGTCCCTTGTTCGAAAGCGTATCGGATATGGCTTCTAGCTGTCGTATCAGCGTAGCAATCGCTGCCAGCGAAGGAGTATGTCTTTCCGGCTTTACGGTCGCGGTACTTGGACATGATCGGGGGGATGTTCAGTCTCGGCTTGTCCTCGAACGACCATCCGGCGCGTACTGCCGAAGAGCCTGCGGATGTCAGCGAAATGGCACCTGCGATGGATAGCTGTGGCTGTCAGAGCATACCATTGTCGATGACAATGGCCGCACCTGGGTGCGCCGATGCCTTCTCTCTTCCATCCTGCTGTACTGGAATAGGTTTTTCGAATCTTGCTTCCTTCACGGGGAATATCTTCGCTGGCGGATAGCTTCTCTCGGGAGGTCCAGGCAGAGGAGGGAGGTCGTCTGTTGCTGAGGGCGCCATTGCGACGGCGAGGGTTCGTGGAAGGTCTAGGATGTCGCGGTGCGACGGACCATACTTCGGTGGCCTAAGATTCCGTGTTGTATTGGGAGCGGAAGGGGATGGTTTGTCTGGCTCGTCGTAGGTAATCAAGGAGGGTTCGTGTCACGTGCGTCTCGTTCAATGCTTCTGTTCGGTCATGGTGTTGAAGTCGCGATGCGCCGTGTTGCGAGGCTACCTGCTTGCGAGGCTGTAAAGTTTAGTGGGTCTTCGGAGTGTAGGTAGCTGTTAGCGCTCGGATGCATCATGAGTATGCGCTCAGAGGTTCACCAGGGCGATTTCTGGTGAAGACATTCAAGAACAGTTTGAGGGCGATAACTCAATTGCAAACGGATCTTAATTCACTTTGGAAAAGCACACTTGGCATTTGACAGTTTCTTATTGGGGTATTTTCCTAACTTAGTGCCTCACGACACCGGCGGAGTTCATGTATCTCATTGCTCATCCTTAACCTGACCCAAACCGAACACACCAGGAATCTCATGACGGGGGCTTCAAGTTATCCGTTGCTATTTCAGATCAGCATCGCGTTCCAAAGGGTAAAATCAATTCCTCGCACCTTCCAGGTGGAACAGAACATTGGACTGGTAGTTCTTGAACATTTGGGCGACGAGCTCAACGTTCATGTTCTGAATATTGATCTCCTGCAAATGAAGGTCAAATATGCACTCATTCTTGGAATACAGGTTCCTAACCTGCAGGGATCTGTTCATGGCCACAACGGCTTCATTGAGTTTATCCTGCATCATGTAAGTCGTGACGCAGAGCGCTCAATCATCGAGGGGCCATACCACGTTGGTGATGATGCGGGAAAGCAGCAGGTTCTGCTGGTGCTCATGGGGACTCTCCTGTTCAATAGATCAACACTAGACCATTCAGAAGACCGAAAAAGCTTGTGCAGCGTACCATCTTGTCGTTGTCGCTGCGTTGGGTAGGGTGTAGGTCGTTTGTTTACTTTACGGAACAGTCCCCGTTCGGTCGCTGCGGGAGATGTACCTAGTCACACCGACCACACCGACCGAAGCGGTAACCCGCGGCAAAATAAGCTCCCCTGACACTGCAACAACCACCAGCATCACCGTCTGTTCGTAAGGTACCTAATTCGCCCAACTACGCCACCGAGGCTCTGCGCGAAACGCTCAACAAACACTCCGCTGCGAAATCATCAATATGGCGGCCCCGAAAGAACAAACAGAGGCGCAAATAGCCCACCAAGCCCTCCTCGACGAGCTCGACATCCACTCAATCCACAAGAGCTTCCGCAACCCGTCCTGGCGCCCCAACCAGCGTCGCAACAAGAACATCAAGACTATCCTCGGTGACGCCTCTCGACGCGAGGCCTCGGCCATGGCCACCCCTCAACAAGACGACAGCGGCGCGGGCACCCCAGCGGCCGGTCAGCAGGACGATGGACTCTCTACGAGCGGTACATCGACGCCTGCGAACGGCAAGGATGCCAACACATCAGGCCTGCCGCCGAATCTGGCCCAGGCCTCGCGCAGCCTGTCGAAACTCGTCCTCGAAAAGAGTTTGCGTCCCAACGGAGGAGCTTCGGCGCCCAGTGTCACATACACCAACATCGAGTCGGCACCGTCGCTGGCACACGGCAAGCGGTACTGCGATATCACGGGCCTGCCTGCGCCGTACCTCGACCCCAAGACGCGCCTGCGATATCACGACAAGGAGGTGTTTGGGCTCATTCGAAGCCTGCCTCAGGGCGCGGCAGAGCAATACCTGGAAGCCCGAGGAGCGCATACCGTCCTCAAGTAAGGGCGATATCATCATGATTTCATGATTTACTGGCATGGCGGCGTCAGGGTCAAAGGCGTTGGAGGATCACATTATCGACACAGGCAGCAATGCGCTCACGGAGGACATCGTTTGTATTCAAGAAGTCACTACTACTATAGTAGTTGGGAGATATGTACGACCAACAAAGTCAAATCTCAACTATACAGCCCTGCGCCTCTCGGCACAGGGTGCTAGATGACACTCCGGCTTAATCGTGATCAGAGAATTGTTCTCCGCCTGTGAATCGACAGATTACCGAGAACGTATGGAAGACGATACTCAGTTGCCGTAGCTCAAGGCTACAGCCGCCGCGGCGAAACTGCATGCAGTTTGTGTATAACTTACGGTTCAGGAGTTCGCTTCATCTGGTAGCCTAGGGGAGTTGGGCCAAGATTTTCCTTGGCGAGATCACACCAAGATCTCCATCATCTGCATTAGACGAGGAGAGGACGACGTCGTCAACTCATGTACGCCAAAACGAGCTCAAAGTCCTTAAAAGAATACTACCAGGCGCGCCAGGCATGAGCCGAATGTAAACAAACAGCGATAACGACGTGGCAGTAATGCATGAACTGCAATTTTGCCAGTTGGCGATTCATGCAGAACTCGTCGACAGAAGCTCCTCCACAAGCATCATGAAGATGTAAAAGTTAGCGTCTGAATTTTTTTCGAGTTGAAATCGAGTTAAATCCTCTTCGGAGCCCACCACAGCAGCAGTCCCTGGCCCGTCATTGGCCCAAAAACGCCGTGAACCCTCCAGCCCGGGCTCATTGTTAGCGCTTGTCCCATCCCCCTAGAACGACCTGAAATCCGTGACAGCGCGGGCGGCAGCATTGCAGCAGCAGTCAACACCCCTGTCGCGTGCCAGAAATGTTGCTCCTCCCCCCTGGTGATCTGTTCTTTGTTTAATCAAATAATCAGTTGACGGCGCGCTGCACCCAACAATAAGTTGCGACACCAACGTTTTCCTGAATCTGCAGTTTGTCCGCGCCTCCGAAACTTTACGACGAGAACTGCATCCAGTCTTCCAGCGAACGCACCCTCAACCCCTCGATTTGAACCGACTTCCGGGAGAGACAATCAGTACAAGATGGCGTCAATGTGGATGTCCGATTCTCAGAGTACGTCAGCCCGCGAAGCTTCTCGCCGGCCGCACGACGCCAATGTCGAATCCCCGTTGCTGGTTCCCGATGGTCGCTGACAAGTTCTATAGAAATCGGGGTCGTCTTCTGCTCTGGCGGTAAGTTTGCGCTTCTTCGAAGCTCTGGCGCAAAAGGGGATAATGAACCGGAGCTGACGCCGGTTCTCGCGCGTGACAGGAGGCTTCTTCCTTATCGGAGGAGTAATGCTGTTTTTTGACCGGGCCATGTACGTTTTCTTTTCTTCCCTACCATCGGAGCCGGACGTTCGAAGACAAAAACTAACCGTTCGTCGTAGGCTTGCCATGGGAAACGTACGAACACCCCCTTGAAACCTGTGACATTGACGTCCCCACGAAACGCCGACTGACCTTCGCGACGGCAAATATAGATTCTCTTCTTGATCGGCCTCACAATAATCATCGGTCCCCAAAAGACGCTCTTGTTCTTCGCGCGGAAACAAAAGGCAAAGGGCACGGCGGCTTTCTTTGGCGGTCTTGCTCTGATCCTGCTGCGGTGGCCACTGATCGGTTTCTGCGTCGAGCTCTACGGAATCATGGTCCTATTTGGCGATTTCCTGGGAACGATTGCCGCCTTTGCACGAAACATCCCGGTCATCGGCCCATACATCGGGGTCGCGGTTGATCGGTCTGGTGTCGGTCGACGGAACGCTGAGCTGCCTGTCTAATGCCCTCTGGAAGGATTATCACGGGACAGACCAAATATGATGTTACGGCGCATAAAGGGACTTTGGGCGCTAGATTCGGAATGGGACAGCGTATAGACGGTGTGTATACCACAAAACGGCGCAGCTGGATTCACGAGCTTGGGTTGAGCGTGTTCATCTCTCCAGAGATTGTGTAACATATGCGAAAGTGCGTTCGATGATGGGCCAAAAGACTGCCCCATGGCAGAGGTACCAGGGTTGATCGAAATAATGACTGTACGAAAGCAGTAGCACTTATAATTCATGCTTGGATCACGTCGAGCACTGAATGATTCAGAGACACTTGCATGATTCAGGATCTCTCTTCCGGGCGTAGCCGTGGCTAAGCAAAGATTCCGCCATTGGTAAGTCTTGCTATTCTAGTATTCGTCGATTCGTATGTCAAATCCTCGTCGTGTGTTTGTGTGGGAGCGAGATGCCCAGCCTGCCTCGCACACGGTAAAACTCCTGGGGCACCTGGAGATGGAGCCCCGTCCCGCCCTGCGCCATTTCCACGTTCACACTCTTAGTAGTTGACACCGACCAAGTAGTCTGCGAGCTTCTGCACCGCCTGGTTGGCGTTGCCGCCCTGCTGGTTCTCGTTGTGATGACCGACGAGGATGGCCTGGTTGGTCTTGGCGATGGCGATGCCATCACGTCCCTAGACGATGTTAGCCTGAATTTCCTTGGTCTGTGTTCACAATCGAGTCGGAAGCCAACCTTTCGTGCGTAGATGGTGCCATCCTCCGCGCGGGCCATGACGAATCTGTCTCCGGCGATGTACAGACCATCAGCGAAGGCCTTGTCCTTGGCACTGGCATCTCCCTTAACAATGTCGGAGATGGCCTTCATCTCGTTGGCGGCAAGCTGAGTAGATAACGAGAGGCGATCAGTACAAGACAACCAATGCAACTCGCGTTAGAGGCCGACATACCGTGAAGCCAGCGGTCGACGCCCACGTGCTGTCGCCAGCGATGCTGATAATGGCGGCCTTGTCAATGTGACCGGTGCCAACGAGGCTGCGAAACGCATGTCAGTCTCTTGTGTATGTCTGTGTACCTCCTACACCACTCGTAACGGGACGGTCGTGGGATGGAAGAAGGTCTGGTGCGCGGCTACCTGGTGTCAACATAAGCTGTGACGAGACTCAACGATTAGCTCTCTGTTTCCGCCAAGGTGGGGTTTTTCGGGGATGGGCTCTTTCGATAGCTGCTGTTGCTGCCGCCACCGCCAGAGCCAGAGTATGATGACTGCTTACCTTGCCACGACATGGTGAAGGAGTGGAAAGAGACTTGGGTGCTCGCTGATGCAAATACGGAACGAAAAAAAGAGACAAGAAGCTTCTGTCGAAGGATGCGGTGCCCAAGCTTTGACGCGGTGTGGGATATGGAGGGGGTTTGTGTGAATGTTGCAAGTTTGATCTTTCTGTTTCCCCTTCCAACTTCGTGCCTGACATGCCCCTCAGGTCCAGCGGGCCGGGCGGGGTACACCGCTATGAATTGAGGGGTACGTTCTTCAGCGCGATTTTGCTAGGCGAGTACAAGTCTTTCTATCCCCTTCCACTCCCGGCGCCGCTGCTTTGTCCCTGGATTCATGCGCCTGGATACATTATGAGCAAGCGGCTAGCCGGCGCGCGGGCTTGTACCTGATCCGATCATATTTTGGCATATGTGTTTTATACCATAGGGCCGGGTCGACCATTATCCTCATTGTCATCATCGTCATCATCAGCCTCGCTACCGAGCAGAGGTGCTGATGCTGTTCACCGACCTTCCGTTCTTCCCCTTGGGAAATCCACTCGCGAGAAGCTCGGTCGGTCTCCATGATCAGCCGGGTCTTCCCATCACCGCCTTTGGGGCCAATATCTTACCGCAACACGGTTCCCTGCTTTACGTTAGCAGAACTGCTATGCCGTGGTAATTAGCGGACGCTAGGAGATGGACGGCCCTCACCCTCATTCAACTTCCGGAACTTGCCCCGCCAGAAAATCCCATCACGTGATGGCGGGGTGACTGTGTGAACGAGGCCATTGCGACACAGTGCAGCACTGCAGGCGGTGACGGCAGTTTCCTCGCCGATTCCACGATCCCGGCCCAGACGACGGCACCTAGGCATGAATCTGAGCCACAGCCGGATCCCCAGCACACCAGCCACGCCGAGCAGCCAGACGGGCAATCACTGCCAAGACATTCGAACTGCCGGCCGAGCCTGCAATGTGCAAAATAAACTCACAATTGGGTTCGATGTTGCTGCACGCAGCCTGCATCGAGCATTATCAGAACACCGACGACGGAGGTCCGCTCCCAGCACAAATCGCCCTCCGTTGGATGTCATGTCTTCATTCCAGCTTGGTCCCGGCCTGCCCTTCCTCCAACCAGCCGGATCTTTTTAGACGCTCTTCATCCCCGCAACCCGCTGGGTTCTGGGCTGCAGCGACAGAGTGTTTCCGGAAGGCCTAAACCATTTCCTCTTCAGACGCTTGCCACCTTGTCCGAGCGGCCGGACAGCCTGTTTCTTCTTATTGATTACCAGAAATAGGTAATCAACGGGATGCAACACTGTCAACAATGGATCCTCGGCTAGGGCTGCTTTACGCTTATTCCGCAACAACGCTCCTTACCTCATCCAACATGATCCTCTTGTCATCCCATCAGGCCCCGGACCTGCCTTTGACTTCCAGCTTGTTTGGTTACCAGTGTTTGCTGTGGTAAGCATAGCAACGACTATGAATCCGACGACAATACCGCGGTAACAGGGACGAGGGCAATGACAAGCACCACGACGCAAGCACCAACACATTGTCAACAACAACATTAGTGATCGCAAAGACGACCACGGTGAGGAGATCGATAGCAACAATAATCACAATACATACAGATTCTTCTACTTTGACATTGACTGGAGGTCTCTGCGAGGGTGCTGGATGACTTGCTGAGAAACGGGTGGAAGTACGGTGAAGCACGTTGGCGGAGGTACGCAGCATCTCGGACGGAACCCTGGCTTCGACGTTCAGCTGCAAGCGAGCGGCTTCGATGCGTGCGGCGGCGAGAACATGGGCATAACCACATCGACAGCCAAAGCGACAACCGAGTGACCACTTCAGACGAACCTAGGGAACACAAGTTGCGGTTCTGGTTCACCGTCAAACAAGTTTGGCTTTCTTGTGTTCCTCGACCTCCTGGCCGACCAGGGACGCGACCTCCCTAGGCCAGGGCATGTTTGGCCAGGGCGCCTTCAGGGGCAATTGACACCCTCATCGACCTGATAAACGATATCGGAAGCGACTGGAACGTCGGAGCTTTTCCTTATCAACAATCTGCAGGGCTGCTTCTACGCTCTGGCCACATCAGATCCCGTGGATTTGCAATCTTGAGACGATCAGTCGGCTGTCGACCCCAGACGAGACAGATGAAACCACGTCGCTGGATAGCCTCGCCGCATCATCCAACTCCCTACGACTCCTAGTTCCTTCAGAACCCGTCAGCCTTGTCACGTAGTGTCCTCAGATGCACAGCGATCCATTGATGTCATTTCAGGGCCTACAGATGATGCGACTATGGGTCTATGGTGGACTGAGGGAATAAGGAAGTGCTTGTCAGCAGTGACGGGCCCGAGCGTACAGCACCGCTGAAAGAGACCGAGAACAACCTCACCCAATATTCGGCGTCCATGGCAATAACACTTCGTTTACCGGGAACTATGTTTCAATACGATACCTTCTTAATGCACGCAGTCGGATTGTGCTTATTTTGGGACGGTTTGCCTGTCAACTCCTCGCATACGAGACGAGGGCACAAAGGGCCGTATGTCCACAGGTCGTTGGGATGCTGACGGCAGCTTTTCATCGGACTCACTCAGCGGTTCCTGACGACGCGAGTATGTCCACCCACCGTGGCGTACGTGGCATCGCGAATCGGTCGCATTATCGCTGTTCATTTGATGTTGTCCTCATTGAGTGAATGGCGGCGCCAGACACAATGGGGGAATCACGCCCGTCCAGCGAGACCAAGGCAGCTGCAAGCATGCACGGCAATGGATCCAACATGACAACAACACACAACAAGCGGTGGAAGTCTCCAAGAATTGAGAAATTACACAGCACAACGCTGGCGTCACGCTGGGCAGGTTGAGCTTGTCTGAGAAGGTTATTTCCCTGATTGTGCCCCGTGGTTGGTGGGAAGCCGGTTGAACAACGATGTCTCTGATCCTTTCATTTTAAACCAGAGACCCGTTTGATGTCAGAGTGGGGGATCGGAGTATGCGCGGGCAGGGCGTCATTAACGAGTTTTGGCGCGGGAGAGGATCCGCGACTGCAACGTCGTGTTGCTCTAATTCGCTGGCTGCATCGGCTGTGAAATTGAACTTCAAATGAAGCAATTTTCAGCCTGGTGAAGAACGTTGGGCGACGCAGCGTGGACCGGACGACGGACGATACGGACTTCTTGCCTACCAGGTCATCTTCGGATCCCGGATGCTTAAATTTGCCATGGAGACGAGTAAGTCGACGTCAACGGTCGGCCGTCGCAAAGCTGTGGCGCCCCATTGCGGATCGATTGCATCGAGGCTTGGGCTTGAGCTTGAGCGGTAGCGGTCGAGGCGTAACCGCGGCGAGAGGACGTGCGGTCTGACAGGGACGACCCTGAGGCTTGTTCCCCGGGCCGGGGTAACCCAACCTTCCAAGGATGTCCCGCAGACCGAGCACGGATGCGACCCTCCTCTTCTTCCATCCTTCTCGAATCCCTCACTTTCTAGCGGCATGGTACGGCACGATACGACAAGGACACCGTCAGGATGTGGGCGTCGTCAATTTGAACTCAAATTGCCTGTGATGAGGTTCATGACGAGAGACCCAGAACGACATTGTCGACTTGCCGGCAGCCGCCGTGGCGATGGAGACGGGAGATGACAAGAACATGCCGCGATGCGGAGGCTGTTCAACCAGAGCCACCCCGAGCTCTGCCGCCAACTTGCTGCTTCCACTCCCAAGCCTCTTTCGGCCAGCCTTGGGCGCACGGCAGTGTCAAAACAAATCAGACTGTCTGGAGTTTCTGGACCTCTCGGCCGCCCATGCCATGCAATGGCCATGCAGCTGACGACTCCGTTAATCATGCTTCGCCGCCGTCTTCCCTACAGTTCTCGCTAGTCTGACACACGAAACCGCACAACCTCCACTCGACCGCAGAAGATACGCGACTTATCGTTCACAAACGACCGGGACCCTTGATCCACAGACCACCCCATGAACAGGATGGGAGGTTCGCCATCCTTGTGTTGATCAGCCCCCCCTAGAATATCCGTCCTATCAATCTCAAACAGGCGACAAAGTTGCGAGTCGCGTGCTGGGGGTGGGAGAAAACAGCTTCTGGGCTCTGGCCGCTGTGCCCGCTGGGTCGGGCGGCCGTGAAAGAGGCGACTCTGCGAAGTGAATGATATCAAAGTAAAGTTAAGTCGAAGGGGCCCCCAGTCTGGATCATCTCCTGTTCATTGCATACACTTTATGGGTACAGCATTGGGGGGGGTTCGGGTCTCTTCTCTTCGTCGGGTCTTCGGTCTTTTCGTTTAATTACCTTTTCTACCAACCAATTCTCTTCTTTTCTTATTCATTTTTGCGACGACGAAGACCAACAAACCGCAGACCAAGACTCCCGCCCGCTAGTTCTGCAAAGCGCTTCTCATCATCTCCTTTTTCGAAACCTCACACCCCGCTCCACGTTCTGGGCAGCCAGCCCGGCTACTTGCTTTCTAGCCCTGTCAACAAGGATCGGCCAGGCGCTAGCATTGCGAAGTCCTTCTACGCACCATTAGAGGAGCATGTTCAAATTGGTCAACCGTTCCAGATCTATGAAGAGCATGAGGACTGGTGGAGGGGCCCCCGGTGCGCAGACGCACGGCCCAGAGTCCCCCGTCCTGGGGGAGCCGGGTCTTGTGTCAAGTTTCCAACTGATCAAGGAAGACTCGAGCCTCTCACAAAACGAGAGCGTGCCCTCCTTCTCCTCAGAAGGTGCTGCCGCCGCCGCCGCCGTTGCTGCCGTCGAAGCTCGCAACACGTACCGCCATCGTCCGTTACCTACTCCTCCTCGCTCCAAGGCATCGTCAACAATGGCCGAGCGGCCGAGCACTAGCGGAGGTCTCTCCCCTCATAACGCCAGCACCGCCAGCTTCAGATCGTTTGCAGACAGACGAATTTCCAAGGATGATATGTACATCAGGCCTCACTCGTCGGCCCGCGGAGGTTACAAATCATATCACATCCCGATACGGGACAACCCAGCATCCCCGGTAGAGAGTCCCGGCGACTTTTCCCCGGCGCGGACATTTACAGTCAGGACGCAAACACCGGACTCGATGGACAGTAACATGGGAACGATTGCGATTGGCATGGCTATTGGAAGTCCTACTCATCCTCCGCCCGAATTCTCATCGCCGCCACCCGCCCCGAGAAACGATTGGCAACCACAGGCGTCGAATATGAGTACCAGCATGATTAGAGCGTCACCAGAACCAACTCAGCAGGAGGTCGCGGAACCTGTGCCGGCGCCGAAGCAAAAGTCAGGAAGATGGAAGCTGTTCGGGCGTTCAAAGAGCAAGAGACTTGCATCGTCACCCATCGCCATCTCACAGCCGATGAATCTCCAACAACCCGCAGCCAGCAGAACAGATTTCGAAAACACGTCGCCGAATAGCCAAGCGACCGACTTGGGAAGACGGAACACCGAACGAAGGCCAGGGGAAAACAAGCCTCCCATAGTACGCTCACAGACAGCAGGGCCGATGGCGGTTCCGCCAGCACCTCCAAGCCCGAAAGAGTCGAAGCCTCCAAAGCTGCTCAGCAGAATGGCATCAACGCGATCGACCCGTGGGGAGAGGGTGAAGAAGTCGGACATCTCGGCGCCTGTGCATGTGTCTATGCACGTACCCGCGTTACCCACCAAGCCGGCAGGGAACTTCTTGGACGTTGAGATCCCGAGCATCAAGATGGAGCGGTATAGCGTCATGTTCGGTAATGTCCTGGGGCAACCGCAGGGATCGCAAGGGCCAAACGGACAGCAGCAACAACAGCAAGGGTCATCTGCCCTTTTGGCAAGGCGGCAGGCTACGCTGGACAGACTGAAGACGATAAACGACCAGGTCATGAAGGAAGAGGAGGAGAAGGAGCGCGTGAGAGGCAGAAGAGCGACATCGCCGCAACCCGCCCGATCACCAGCGTTTTCACTGTCACTATTTCCGGCGACGCCTTCGGAGACGGCCAATAACCCGCCTCAGTCACCCCGTCACCGCTCGCACACGTCCCCTTCTCAATTCCCTTCCCCATCGCGGTCCGGTTTTGAACCTCCCCGGCCCCGTTATTACCTCGAGGCTGCTCGAGCTGATGCCGCGACTCCGGACTCAACGATGGCACCTCAAGACGTTCCGATCGGGTTCGCCTTCGGCCCCGAGCAGTCCGGCCTCTTCCTCGACTCTCCCACCGATGACCGGGAATCTGAAGAGATTCACCTGACGGAGCAGCTGAAGCCGACCATCTACGAGCCTGAGTGGAAGATGATTACATCCTCCGACTCGACCGCTCCCTCAAGCGCCGCCCCGAGCGCGAAGGATCGCTCGCCCGCATCCGTGTCCTCGGGACACACGCACGTTACCAAGCCGTCCTTTGACGGGTCAGAGCCCGACGATGCCCTCCGCGCGGCAGTGGAAATTTCCATCGCGCGTCAGATCAGCATCTCCAGGCAGCAACGCCGGATGCTGCGACCGCTCAAGACCCAGGTGAACCGCACTGGCGGCAGCCCCGGCGTCAGGAGCCCGGTCAACGTCAACACGGTCACCATCGGTAGGAACGAGCGCTTGTCCTCGACCAAGAGCTCCACGCCAACCCTCATCAGTCCCGGTGAGACGTTCGAGCAGCAGATTGCGCAGAACCGCAAGAGCGAACGCATCATTGTCGAAGGGGAATGATACCCTACTCCGCCTTCGTCCTCACGTTTACGTCCTTTATGTGACACTACATTTACGACCTTCTTGGATCTTCTTCCCATGGACATTTTTACCACACATTTCCCTTCGTCCACTCGTTGGATGGCGCCTAGGCCCGTCGTCTTATTGAACAAACCCCTTTTTCAACTCTTCCATTCTCGAAACCCTATTACTCTGGAGGACCACTTTTTTTTGCGTCGAGGTCGTTATGCTTGGAGCTTTCACCGTGTTTCATTTGTGTCATCTACCGGAGCTGGAGCGGTTCGCGCGGGTCTCTTTGTTTTCGCCAAAAGAAAAACTCACCGATCCACGAATGCGACTTTTGGACAAATCGCTGGTGGAATCGCTGTTCACTGTCCCGTTTACTGCACCTAGAGAGTGTTGCTGCGTCGATACCACTATGGAAAGGGGGGGAACGAAGCTTGCTCTGTACTTTTTTTTCTTCCTTGGGGGGGCGTGGGCGTGCATAATGGATGGGAAATCTGATTTGTCCGATATCTTTTTCGAGTATCCATGAATGGAAGAAGCTTTTGGGAGTAGGTAATCCTAAAGCCTAAATTCTTATACGAACACCATCTCTCTCCACGAACCGTGCCCAGAGTTTGAGTGATGCTTTTCGGGCGTGACTCAGCAAACAGATGAGGTGTTGAACCACACTCATGAGTTAAAGTTGGGTTGTTCGCGACGGAGGCGGCTGGCTTACCACACATGGGCTGGGATGGCCTCAGCAAGCCGCCCCTTAGTCAGCGTCATCAACGGTGCTATTCCGCACGTCGAGTCCATCGTTGACATGCCCGATTGCTACATGGAATCTTGTTGTTAGGAAGCCCATGAGGTTTGCCTGCCTAGGAAGTGATCAGACCTTACTTTGTGGCCATTGGTCTTCTAAGTAGTGTAAGATCCCATGATATCACAACTATCGTGCTACCGGCTTCTACAACATGACTTCCTACTATGTAAGTGAACATGTGTGATGAGAGCTCCTGTATTAGGCCCACGCGTTTGTAAACTAGGAGCACTCGTGTGATGGGGACGCCTACGCAGCGTATCTACCCTCACAACGAGAGCGTCGTAGCGGCAGGGCTCCGGTATAGCCACAAGACCAAAGAAGCGGCCCCCTCCTAGGCATTTACACAAAACTTCTATTATTCCTGAACTATGGTTCATGTTCACTACATAACCGTTGCGGAAGATATGAACACGGGCTTTTCCTTCAACCGAGGATGAATGGTTCCAGAAAAGAGGAAAGCCCAACTGTGCAGAATAGATGCCGTTCTGCCTTTACGAACCTAGCGAGCGTGACCGGAGCGAGCGTTTATGCTGAAAAGGAGTCCAAACGTGCCAACGCCAGACATGAAACGACCAAAATTGAGGAGGATGAGGACGAGGTGGTGCGGTTTGGGATGATGAGAAGCGAGCGTTAGTTACATGACGACGCAGCACGAGTTTTGCTTCTTTGCCTGTTCTGTGAGGGTGTCAGCACCTTTGACCATCACCGAGTGAAGATGAGGGGCGGGCTCACGGTAAAACATCTTGCTCTGAGAGCTCAGGCCGTCACTCTTGGCGACCAAGTCGTCGATCTTCTCGCCGCGCTCCAGCACACTCTGGATGGTCTTGTGCAGGACGATCTTGGTCTCGTCGAGTTCCTTCTGGATCTTGAGGATGGAATCGGCCTGCTGGGGGTCTTGGTACTTGGTGAGGTACTCCTTGAGCTCGGGGAGAGCGAGCTTGGGTTCGCCGGTGGCCCACGTGGAGCGGGGGTGCTTGGTGAGGAACTCGTCGACGCTGGTACTGGTGTTAACATCGTCGCGTCGCATGAGGATCAGAGGCGGGCGCTTGGCACGTACATCTTGGAGAGAAGCTGGTGGGCTACTAGACTGGGGTATTGGTGGTCGGAGATGATACTGCCGCGATGATCAGCACGACACTTTTCCCCAGAAGACCGGCAGAGACGGAACGCCTCAAACAAGACACTGCCGGCATGGCCGGTTCCTCTTACACGCCACAGATACCCTCGCTCCTTCCGACGCAGTGAAACGTGTTGTCGCCCTCCTCAATGTCCTGTCTCTGGCCGGGACGGGTGGACTCGGCGACCTTCTTGGAGAAAAGGGACATGAACTCGGCGTAGCTATCTATCGCGGGGGGCGCAAGACCGTCAGCTGTTGCACTCGTCTGTCTCCTGATGTTTGTCTGCGGGCTGTGTTTGAGGCGATGTCGTTTCTTTTGTGCTTGTATTCGTTTCGCAGGGAAAAGGACGCACTTCTTGTGAACCTTGAGTAAGCCGACAACTCCATCTCGCTGCACAGCTCGACGGCCGGCTTGGTGTCGTTGCGGAGGATCTATACGAGAGCGCATGGCGTCAGCGGTTTGCGTCGGAAGGCGTGGCGCATCGTCAGGGGAACGTCGCGATATAGATCATCTGTCTGGAAACCGAGATAAAACGTACGCCGATGTAGTGAAGCTTCATTTTCTGGACGGGTGGAAGTGTTAGTATATCGTCGTCTCGATCGTTTCGGCGGTCTAGGCGGGGATGGTCCGGCTGGACTTACGGCGGTTTTTCAGGAGGGGGAGGGGAGACAAGAAATCTTTCGGTGTGTGTTGATTGCTTGTTTGGAGCAATTCGAGGCGGCGGCGTTACAAAGAAGCGTAAGGAGCGATATCGAGGACGCAGAGGTTGGTGTTCGAGTGAATTGATACGGGTGATGGAGAAAGGGGACTATCCGAGTTGGAGGAAGATGGAGAACGTCTCCGCGACGTCAAGATTTACAGTGGGATTGGCTGCGAGACGGCAGCGATACATCACATGCCCACCCACTAAGGTAGGAGAACTTGGCTTGGATCAGTGGGCAGCCCCTCCAGGCTGCAGAATAATTAGGAGGGCGGGAGGGAGCTAAAGTGCACTTCTTTGAGTTCGCTACAGGGGGGGGCGGTGCCTAGACTTGCGGCATAAGGTACTGGACCTTACCTCACCCAGCATCACAAAGGCTGGGCGATGCACACTGCAATGCGCATAGCGGCTGCCCTCCATGGTCCCGTCTGTAGCGGCACCGGAGGCTCGGGGTCCTTCTCCGCCCTCAGCAGCGTGGCGGTCAAGCGCTCCGGATGGTGGGCTGCCCGATGTCCATATCACCTAAGCTCGCGTCCGTTTCCGTACTTTCATTCTTGTCTTAATTAGGTATGCTGTGATGTACGGAGCAAGTCTGAAGTGCCTGGCGGGGGAGCGAGAACCCCCGCCCATGAAAAGGACCCGACGTCATTGGATTGGATCACATCCTCAGGCTGATGTTAGCCACTTTGCTGACCGACATCACCTGCAGAAGATGAGGAACGGAACCTTAAGGTTACCTAAGGCACATGCCAGCACTGCACTGCTCATTTGAACCCACTTTTTCACGGCGGCGGTTCGGTGAATGACTCTTCGAGGCTTCAGTGCATCGCTGGTGGGATTGATAGGTATTTCACACCCAGTTCGCCAGTGACCCCCGAGGGATTCATTGACTTGAACAAACCTGTACTCTATTTTTGATCCTCCGCTTCCTACCACCACTATGGCGCCCGCAGATCTCGACAGCGCAGAAGCCCAATGGCGGGCTCAATTTGAAGCCATGAAGACGGCCCTTGCCGGCCTCAAGCTTCCCTCCGCTCCTCCGTCCGATGTTGACTTTGACGACGATTACGAGGGGTACTCTTCAGGCAGCGGTGCACAGGATGTCTGGGACTTCATCGAGGATGACGATGATGATGACTACAGCAGCGACCAGCTCGACGGACAGGAGGCCCTCAACGGAGATGACGCGTATGGTGCTGCCTGGTTTGCGAGCAAATGCTCCGGCATTGCAGCAAAGAACGGTTTGGCCGACGACGTTTTCCAAAGCCAGGTCCTGAGTATTCTTACCTCGGGCCGGGGTGATGAGGAGCTTCAGTCTCAGCTGGCTGACCTGATCGGTTTTGACGATTTCGACTTCATTATTGAGCTGCTCGGTCATCGCGATCAGATTGTGTCTGCTGTGTCTTCCCAGGGCGCACAGGAGCCTTCAGGCCGACTATTGTCCAAATCTCAGCGTGAAGACGCCTTGAGACGAAAGGATTACGAACACAAAAATGCGGCTCTCGCCCCGGCCATGACCAAGGAGATTCAATATCCCCACGTTTACAAGGCTTACAATGCTGGAAACTCACTCAGTCACTCCGGAAAGAAGTACGCTCTGCCTCAGGGCAGCGAGAGGCTTCAGTTCGACAAGTACGAAGAGTACGCCATTCCGGCAGGAAAGAAGGGCGTTCTGGGTCCCGGTCAAAAACTGGTCAAGATATCCGACATGGATGGCCTCTGTCGCGGCACTTTTCAGGGGTACAAGGCACTCAACCGTATGCAGAGTCTTGTTCATCCGGTAGCTTACAGAACGAACGAGAACATGCTCATTTGTGCTCCAACTGGTGCCGTAAGTTGCCTGCCTTGTAAGATACCCGGGAAGAAACTGACATCTTGCAGGGTAAAACGGACGCGGCCATGCTCACTATCTTGCAAACTATTGGACATTACTGTACTCCCAACCCTATCGAGGACACCGTTGCCACGGATTTCGCAGTTGATGCTCAAAACTTCAAGATTGTCTACGTCGCCCCGATGAAAGCCCTTGCGGCTGAAGTCACGGAGAAGCTTGGCAAGCGACTGGCATGGCTCGGAATCAAGTGCCGCGAATTCACCGGAGATATGCATCTGACCAAGGCCGAGATCGTCCAGACACAAATCATCGTCACGACCCCTGAGAAGTGGGACGTTGTGACAAGAAAGGGCACTGGCGACACCGAGTTGGTTCAAAAGGTTCGCTTGCTGATCATTGACGAGGTTCACATGCTCCACGATGAACGTGGTGCTGTCTTGGAGTCTCTCGTTGCCAGAACTGAACGTCAAGTCGAGAGCACACAGTCTCTGATTCGCATCGTGGGCCTCAGTGCCACGCTTCCCAACTACATCGATGTTGCCGACTTCCTCAAGGTCAACCGATACCAGGGCCTGTTCTACTTCGATGCCTCATTCCGCCCTGTGCCACTGGAACAGCACTTTATTGGGGTCAAGGGCAAGGCTGGTTCGAAGCAATCCAAGGAAAACCTGGATCAAGTCGCCTTCGAAAAGGTCAGAGACATGCTCCAGAGAGACCACCAAGTCATGGTCTTTGTCCACTCGCGCAGAGACACCCTTCTTACGGCCAAGATGCTCCATGAGAAGGCTGTCGAGGATTTCTGCGTAGACCTTTTGGACCCCACTGGCCATCCCAACTACGAAAACGCGGTGCGGGATATGAAGCAATCCAAGGCGCGAGACCTTCGAGAGCTGATTCCTAAGGGCCTTGGAGTCCACCATGCCGGTATGGCTCGCTCCGACAGGAACTTGATGGAAAGACTTTTCGCGGAGGGTGTCTTGAAAGTTCTCTGCTGTACGGCAACTCTCGCATGGGGTGTGAACTTGCCTGCTGCCGCAGTCGTCATCAAGGGCACTCAGGTTTACAGCGCCCAAGAGGGTAAGTTTGTTGACCTAGGTGTTCTTGATGTTCTCCAGATCTTCGGTCGTGCTGGTCGTCCTCAGTTTGAAGACACGGGTATTGGTATGATCTGCACTACGCAGGACAGGCTTCATCATTACTTGACTACCGTCACGGAGCAACAGCCGATCGAGTCCAAATTCTCAACCAAACTTGTCGACAATCTCAACGCTGAGATTGCGCTTGGGACAGTGACGTCCATTCCCGAAGCTGTTCAGTGGATCGGATACTCCTACCTTTTCGTCCGCATGCAGCGGAACCCAATGAGCTACGGCATCGAATGGGCCGAGATCAGAGATGACCCTTCTCTCGTTCAAAGACGTCGCCAGTTGGCCATCCAGGCAGCCAGAACCCTCCAGCAGTGTCAGATGATCATATTCAACGAGGTGACGGAGGAACTTCGCAGCAAGGATATTGGTCGCATTGCAAGCCAGTATTACATTCTGCACACCAGTATTCAGATCTTCAACACCATGATGCGTCCCCAAGCAACCGAGGCCGATATCCTCAAGATGATCAGTATGAGTGGAGAGTTCGACAACATCCAGTCCAGAGATTCAGAAGAGAAGGAGCTGTCGCGGCTTAGACACGACGTCGTGCCCTGCGATGTTGATGGTGGCATTGACACGCCGCAGGCTAAAACCAATATCCTGCTTCAGGCGTACATCTCTAGGGCTCAGCCAGAGGATTTCGCTCTTGGCAACGATTTGAACTATGTTGCTCAGCAAGCCGGTCGTATCTGCAGAGCCCTGTTCATGATTGCCCTGAACAGGAGATGGGGACATCAGTGTTTGGTTCTCCTTACCCTTGCCAAGTCCATCGAGAAGCGCATTTGGCCGTTCCAGCATCCTTTGCACCAATTCGACTTCCCCAAGTCCGTGTTCAACCAGCTCGACGCCAAGGACAATCTTTCCGTGGAAGCCATGAGAGACATGGATGCCGCGGAAATCGGTGCTCTCGTTCACAACCAGAGCGCCGGTAAGAAGATCGCCTACATTCTCAATAACTTCCCGACGGTCAGCGTCGAAGCCGAGATCGCCCCTCTCAACCGTGATGTTCTTCGAATCAAGCTGTTCATCTACCCCGACTTCAGGTGGAACGACCACACTCACGGGACGTCAGAGTCTTACTACATCTGGGTTGAGAACTCGGAGACTTCGGAGATCTACCACCACGAATTCTTCATCCTCAACAGAAGAAAGATCCACGACGACCACGAGCTCAACTTCACCATTCCCCTCTCAGATCCTCTGCCGACCCAGATATACGTGCGAGCAGTTTCTGACCGATGGCTGGGTGCCGAGACGGTCCACCCGGTGTCCTTTCAGCATCTCATCCGACCTGATACCGAGAGCGTGTATACCGACCTTTTGAACTTACAGCCGCTGCCGATCAGCGCCCTCAAGAACCCGGCTCTCGAAGACATTTATGCTCAGCGATTTCAATTCTTCAACCCTATGCAGACGCAAATCTTCCACACGCTCTATCACACACCTGCGAACGTCCTTCTTGGCTCGCCGACGGGTAGTGGCAAGACCGTCGCTGCAGAGTTGGCAATGTGGTGGGCTTTCAAGGAGCGCCCTGGGTCCAAGGTCGTCTACATCGCTCCCATGAAGGCTCTTGTTCGCGAGCGTGTAAAGGACTGGGGAGCACGACTCGCGCGACCTCTTGGTCTGAAGCTTGTTGAGCTGACTGGTGATAACACTCCAGATACCCGCACGATCAAGGACGCGGATGTAATCATCACTACCCCTGAAAAGTGGGACGGTATCTCTCGTAGCTGGCAGACAAGAGGCTACGTCCGGCAAGTCAGCCTCGTCATCATTGATGAGATTCACTTGCTTGCTGGCGACCGTGGTCCTATTCTGGAAATCATCGTTTCTCGTATGAACTACATCGCGGCATCCATCAAGAACTCTGTTCGCCTGCTTGGCATGTCAACAGCCTGCGCCAACGCTACAGACCTGGGCAACTGGCTTGGCGTTAAGGAAGGTCTGTTCAACTTCAGACACTCGGTCCGCCCTGTTCCTTTGGAGCTCTACATCGATGGCTTCCCCGAAACACGAGGTTTCTGCCCGTTGATGCAGTCAATGAACCGCCCGACATTCCTGGCCGTGAAGACACACAGCCCCGACAAGCCCGTCATCGTCTTTGTTCCATCCCGAAGACAGACTCGCCTGACCGCGAAGGATCTCATCAACTACTGCGGCATGGAGGACAACCCTCGACGATTTCTTCACATGGAGGAAGACGACTTGCAGCTCAACCTCGCTAGAGTCAAGGATGATGCTCTGAAGGAAGCCATCAGCTTCGGCATTGGTCTTCACCACGCCGGTCTCGTCGAGTCTGACCGCCAACTTGCCGAGGAACTCTTCCTCAACAACAAGATCCAGATCCTCGTGGCCACCAGTACCCTTGCCTGGGGTGTTAACCTGCCCGCCCACCTGGTCGTTGTCAAAGGCACGCAGTTCTATGACGCCAAGATCGAAGGCTACAAGAACATGGACCTGACCGACGTCCTGCAGATGCTGGGACGAGCCGGCCGTCCGCAGTTTGACAATTCCGGTGTCGCCCGCATCTTCACTCAGGACGCCAAGAAGGACTTCTACAAGCACTTCCTCCACACCGGCTTCCCCGTCGAATCCTCCCTGCACACCGTCCTCGACAACCATTTGTGCGCCGAAGTCTCCGCCGAGACCATCGTGACGAAGCAGGACGCTCTGGACTACCTCACGTGGACCTTCTTCTTCCGCCGCCTGCACAAGAACCCGTCCTACTACGGCCTCGAGATCTCCGCCGAGGAGCACACCAGCATCGCGGCGCAGACGATGGCCAACGACTTCATGATCGACATGATCGATAAGTCTCTGAACGAGCTCGCAAAGTCCAGCTGCGTCGAGGTCTTCCCCAACGGCGACGTCGACCCGACACCCTTCGGCAAGATCATGAGTTACTACTACCTCTCGCACATCACAATCCGCCACCTCGTCAAGCACGCCAAGCCCCAGGCCTCCTTCCTCGACGTCCTCTCCTGGATGTCCCGCGCCACGGAGTACGACGAGCTCCCCGTCCGCCACAACGAGGACCTCATCAACGACGAGCTCTCCCGCAACCTCCTGTTCCCCGGCAGCTCCTTCGGCCTCCCCATGTGGGACCCCCACGTCAAGGCCTTCCTCCTGCTCCAGGCGCACATGTCGCGCATCTCCCTCCCCATCACCGATTACGTCGGCGACCAGACCAGCGTGCTCGACCAGGCCATCCGTATCATCCAGGCCTCCATTGATGTCCTGACCGAACTCGGCCACCTCTCCAGCTGCCTCGAGTTCATCAAGCTCCTGCAGTGCATCAAGTCCGCCCGCTGGCCCGACGACCACCCGGCGTCCATCCTCCCGGGCGTCGGCGTCGACACCCTCAAAAACGACACCTCCAACCTCTCCCTCGCCAAGATCAGCGCCCTCGGCTCCCCCGCAAAGGTCACCCAGCTCGCCAAGAAGCTCTCCGTCCCGCCCCACCAGCAGCCGCGCTTCGCAAAGGCCGTCGCCCAGCTCCCCAACCTGGCCGTTGCCGTCCCGGAGACGACCGCCCTGTCCCTCGCCGTCGACCTCCGCCGCCTGAACCCCCTCACGGAGCGCGACGCCCACGTCTACGCCCCGCGCTTCCCCAAGCCCCAGAACGAGGGCTGGTTCGTCGTCCTCGCCGACCCCGCCCGCGACGAGGTCCTCGCCGTCAAGCGCGCCGGCTGGTCCCAGGGCCCCGGGCGCAGCGTCGCCGTCGGCTCCAGGCCGTCCGCCCGCGCTAACTTCAAGATCCCCGAGGCCGCGCAGGGCAGGAAGCTCGACGTCCTCGTCGTGAGCGACGCTTACGTCGGGCTCGAGTACAAGATCGCCGGGGTCGACATCCCCACCGCGCCGGTGGTCGACGACGACGTGGACAAGTCCAAGAAGGCGCAGGCGCAGGCGCAGCAGACGAGCGGTGGCGGTGGTGGTGCGTCCAGAGCATGAGAACGCGTAGGTGATATGATGGGTTCATGACTTGGTGGTATTAGATGGAGCTATCAGATGCTATGACGCCGATGAATGAATCCCGCGCTCCTGAATGTGTCGGCCATAAAGATATAGACAAGAATGGAAAAAGAAACCCCCCGGCCATGAAGGAAAAGGCAAAAACAACAGTATTCCTCCCAGTCAAATAAGACAAGACAATGCCTTCTCGCGAGAGACGCTCTCTCTGTAACAACCGATCCAAAAACGCAACCGGCGATGCGCATCATGCAGTACGAGAATCACTGCTTCATGGGAAAAAGAGACAAACCAAGCCCAAGAAGAAGAAAAAAGCCCAGAATCCTTTCCGTGTACCGTGATCCCGTCCATATGAAATCCAATCCCAAAATTCCCGATAGTCGTGCCGTAAACGCCTCGCACCATGCTTATTCCCAATGATGTGGTTTGGTTGGTCGTGTTCGTATGCTGTTTCGCTGCGTGGTGTTGTGCAGCACGTCCGGATCGAATGCTCGCGTCGCCCGTCACGGGCGTCTCTGATGCGCTGATGCCGAAAACTAGAGTAATGCGCGCGTCGTCATCGTCGTTGTTGGGTATCCCATGGTTCGTTCCGTCTCGTCGTATCAAAAACCCCAATGTCTCCTGGAATTCGTCATCTCATATCTCGCCGTTCTCACGCCGCCCTACGCTCCAATACCCGTTTCCAGAGCACCGGCTCAGCAGCACTTCCTCCTCGCCTTGGCCGCGGCCTCGTCGGTATTCTGCTCGGTCCCCGCCTGCTCGACCGTGACGGCGGGCGAGAAGCCCGGCGAGAAGAGCCAGCTGCGCCGGTCCCGGCCGACGCGAAAGCTGCCGCGCGGGTTCATGCCGTCAAAGTACCCGCCGTCCATGCCAGTCTCGTAGCCCGGGGTGCCGGGGGTGGCGGTGGCCATGAGCAGCGCCTGCTGCATCTTGCGGTTCTGCTCGACCAGCTTGCGCGTGACGACGCGGAAGACCTCCTCGACGCCCTCGCCGCTCTCGGCGCTAATCTCGTGGCAGGCGTCCCAGCCCACCTCCTGGCCCCAGAAGCCGGAGCTGCGCTTCGAGGACGGGCTCCGCGGCTCGCCGCCGCCGAACTGGCTCTGCACCTGCGACGAGGACTGCCGCGGGTCGGACGAGGACAGCATGGAGGGCATGCCGCCGGGGGTGGCTGTCGGGGGCGGGGTGGAGGCCAGGCCCGGGGCGAGGTTCTCGGCGACGTATGCTATGCAGCGCTCGAAGGGGACCTCGCGGCGGGAGGGGTCGCGGGCGACGATGTCCGCCTTTGTGCCGACGACGTGGAGGACGACGTCGCCGGGGAGGTTGCGTCGGAGCTCGGTTAGCCAGATGCCCATCTCGGTGAAGGACTGGGCGTCGGTGATGGAGTAGCAGAGGATGCAGGCGTTGGCGCCGCGGTAGTAGAGGCGGGAGATGGAGCGGAAGCGTTCCTGGCCGGCTGTTTACCAGGGAGGTTAGTCGCCGTTCGGTAGGATCGCATGAGAGGATTGGCTTATCGCAGAAAGGCAGAGGACGTACCTGTATCCCAGATCTGTAACCGTACGACGGTATCCGTGTCGCTGTCGACGACGCGCTTGGTCATGAAGCTCGCGCCGACGGTCGATGTCGTCTGTGCCGGGTTGAAAGAGCCTTTGCAATAGCGCATGACGAGGCTCGTTTTCCCGACATTCTGTGAGCCGAGGACGACGATCTTGGCCTCGAGGGACGACATGTTTTCGACGACGACGACGGGGAGGGAGGGAGGAGGAGCGCGGGCGCGCTGGAGGTTTGGATCGGATCGGATCGGTTTTCGGTCAGTCTGTGATGGTGACTGAGGGATGCTTCTGAAAAAAAAAGGGGGGGGGGGACGTATAATTCGGGGGGAATGTTGTTGAAGAGTTTCGCGGGTCGGTCGTTGGAGAAGATGGGTGTTGCGGGTGTGGCTGCGGTGCTAGTCTGCGTGCGGTTGGATTGGTGGGTGGGTGGTTTTGGTGATAATGTGGTCCGAGGTAATGTACTTTGGAGAGGCACTCGATACGATACCTACGATACGGGTGGTCGCAGCAGGGCAAGATAGGTAAGGTATTCGCGCTTGTGGCTTCTACTGTCGTAACACGGGGGAAAAGGGCGGCTTTTCACAGGAGGCACTCGAAGCACGTCTTCAGGTACCGAATCGGCTGGACCTAAAGATAGTCACGCCGCGCCAAGTTTGGTATAGGCAACCACGAGGTCAGTGATCGGCCGATGAGGCGCGTGGCCTTCGGAAGCTGGCGGATGGGATGGAGCGAGAAGACGGCTTGGGAGAGGGAGAGGGAGAGGGTATGGCTTTGGAATGTTCTGCTGAATCCGACTAGAAAAGTGAAAGAAAGTAGCGGAATGGGGACGGTAGGGTAAATAAGGACGGGTGTGGGTTGTTGTTTGTTTTTTGGTGTTGTTGTTTTATTTTATTTTTCTCGGTGTCGTCCAAGGTACGTAGGTAACATGGGGGGGATGGATCGGTGATGAACAGGCTAGGGAGATGGGGGTTTAAGAGACCCGTGGACGTATATGGGCTTTATTTTGCGGGGCGAACGGCCGATTCGACAAAAGGAGCACAGAATACAATATAGATACTGCGTAAAGTGAACGAACGATAGACATTAAGGGGGGAGATTGGAGTTGCGCCGTCGTTCGTTTCTTGTTTCTTCTTGAGACTGCGCCGGAGGTATGGGATTTAGTGGTCAGCGCGGGGAGGCTGAAGTGGATGGGATCATGCTGTTTTCCACGTCCTCCTACACCGAGTCCTTCTCAGCTGACGGACAGTGCGGCATGCCGAGGTGTTTGTGCTGAAAACTTATGGTCAATTGTGTCTGATGCAGAAAGCGGTAGTGCTGAGAAGAACACCATATAGCAGCGCATCTGTCCAATGGGTAGAATGGAATGATCCCACGAGAAGGTTTCTGCAAGTAAACCCTCGGTGAGTTCGCTGACTGACCTGAGGTCTGTGAACGCGGAGGTGGCACGGCGCCGTCGACCGCTGAAACAGGCGCTGTATCTCCGGCGAGACGCCGCTAAGGGGGAAGGTCGCGTGGTGAGTCGGTCCCCACCGTTCGCTTTGTAAAGGCGGGTCCGACGGACGCACCATGGCGTCATCGTTCATGAGTGACTCCAGCAGGTCGGTCAACCTAACAACAACATCCAGCACCTCGGTGAGAAGTGAGCATGCCGCCATTCAGAGTACATTTTCCTCGTAAGACTAGCCGACACGGCATCCATCCCATAGCTTTGCTGACCATTACGACCAGCGATGGCCGGTTGAGACAGACAGCTGCTAGTGGCCGCCTTTCAGTACCCCCACGTCGCCATCTTCTCTGCAAGATACAAGCAGACACTGGTCTAGTCTGTCGGTGTGCTAGGTTGAGTCTACTTTAGTCTCATCAGTCACTTACCGACTTCAAACCCACCGGACTGCGGCTTCCGGGGTCTCGATTCCCTTTTCACAGATACATTGGAGGCTCTTTTGCTCTCCTAAACTTAGACTCTCAACCCCAGAATTTACTTTCCGCATGGCCCCCATTGCAACGGCTTGGCCCAATGTCACCATATCTCACACCAAAGCTCAAGGCACAATAATGTACTAAACTTAGGTTCATTCTTCATTAACGTCGTCACAGAAGCTATGGTATGTGGTTGCGATCTCTTAATTATACATTAGGCTTTTTAGTCCTGAAGATCACGCTTTTGTCTATCCCGTATCCAATTTTCTTTCTAAGAATCCCGAAAATAACACGCTTACAAGACGACGTGCACAGTCTTGGCAATGCTGGGCGTGCCCGCCGGAGTCGAGACGAACAGGTAGTAGAAGCCGGGGAGGAGAATGCCGTAGTCCTCGGGCAGCTTGGCGGAGTACTCCTGGCCGTTGACCTGGACGTCGTCGAGAGGGATGCGGCGCTGGTCGCTGTTGACCGAGTGGGTGACGGTGCCGATGCGGATCAGAGTGACCTTGCCCTGGCCCTCGAGGCCCTCGACCGTGAACGTGATGGTGCCGCCGGCCTTGACGGCGTCAGTGCCAATGGCGGAGATGACGGGACGGGCGGCGAGAGTGCCGTCGGCGTTGAAGAGGTAAGGGGGTTGGAAGATCTCTCCGTCGGCGTGGTCGACGGTCTTGTCACAGTTGTCGCTGGAGGCGCCGATGGTCTGGATGTAGCAGAGACCACCGCCGCCAGTGAAGACGGTAGCGTCGGGCATGAGGATGGAGACGGAGTGGTAGTTGCGGGGAACGGCCATGGGAGCCATCTGCTTCCACTCCTTGGTCTCAGGGTTGAACAGCTCGGGGATGAGGATACCGTCAGTGTTGGTAAAGACGAGAGACTTGCGCTGGCCACCGGTCACGAGGACCTGGCCGTCAGGGAGGACGACGGCGTTGGCGAAGCCACGCTGGAAGCTCATGTCCGCGACACGCTCCACCTCGGAAGGGGTGTTGGGGTCGCCGATGGTGGTGATGTGGGCGTGCTTGTTGGCGTCGCTGTTGGTGTAGTCGGGGCTGCCGCCTGCGGAAAGGATCTTGCCGGCGATGGCATCGTACATGACCCAGATACCGCACATGGCATCGTCATCGTCACGGGTGGCCGCCTTCATAATGGAACCTTCACCATCGGTGCCGAACCAGTGCTGGTCCTTTCCGGGGCCCGCCTGGAAGACGCTGCCGTTCTTCCAGCCGAACAGCCAGGCGTGGTTGTCCTCGCGCCAGATACCCTCGTGGTCGGTCGTGAGGATGGGCTTGACGTCGGCGCCGTTGAGCAGGGTCCACTCGTTGGCGACGGGGTCATAGATCTCGCCGTTCTTGCCCTCGCGGGGCCCGGAGTACGCACCACCGATGGTGAAGACCTTGCCGTTGGAGAGGGTGGCTGAGGTCTGGTAGCCACGAGCAATCTTCATGTCGGGGCCGCGGGTGAACTCGTTGGTGGCCGGGTCGTAGATGCTCACGGCCTCGGCGTCGGAACCACCCTGGACGATGATGCGACCATCCTCAAGCTGGCTCAGACCCGGGCAGAACATGTCGTGGTGGGTGTTGGTGACGGTGCGGTTGGAGATCTCACCGGTGGCAAAGTTGTAGTCGCCGTACTGAGTCTTGCCGGAAGCACCACCAAAGGCATCCTTGCCCCAAGAGGAGAAGAACAACAGTCTGTCAGGCTGGGGGTACGCAGGGACGATGTAAGCCGCGACGGGGATCACGGGAAGACGGATGAGGTCTCCCCACTTGCCCTCGACGGCTGGCTGGTAGGCGTCAGGGACGTGAATGGTTGTGAACTGCTTGTTCTGGACCCAGAAGAGCGAGTTGTCGGGCTCGGCGCCCTTGATGTGGCAGACGTTGTTGATGTGGTCGAAAACGGACTTGTTGCAGCCCTGGGTGTTGGAGCAGAGTTCGGCACAGGCTTGGATCGTGGTGACATCCTTGACCTGCTTGGCGCTGTTACCAGTGTAGTCGGTGTTGAGGCAGACCCGGTACTCGGCGTTGGTGTTGGGGACCTTGTAAGGCTCTTCGTCGAAGGGGCAGGTTGCGATGAAGGTGCCCTCGGGCATGTCGTTGGTCATGCGGATGGAGTCGAATCGGTCGTCGGTAGCCCAGTTCATCTCGTTCTTGTTATCCTTGACGTGACAGAGTTTGTCCTTCTTGTCGTAGACGGCCCGGTAGCAGCGAGCGTCCGTGTCGCAGATCTGGACGCACTCCTTGGTCGTGTTGACGTCCTTGACCAGTTGCAGACTGTTGCCGCCATACTGGAAGTCTGAGCCGGGGCAGACGGTGTATTTGACGCCGATGGGAGTGATCCAGACGACCTCCTCGTTAGGGCAAGCGGTGATGGCGGCGGAGGAGAGTTGTGAAAAGAGAGTGGCGGCAGCAAGTGCCGTGTATGTGGTTGAACGAACCATGGTGATCTAAGTTGTTTGTATTTTGAGCTGAATAAGCTCGTAAATAAAGAATGTGGTACTCGATAAGAGTGTATTGGTGAGTGAGTGGCTGTGATTAACACGCAAAACGAGGGAAGAGTGAGTGTCTGTAATTAGATTAACACATTGAAAAGAGAGATTTGGAGAAAGAACAAGAGGCTACTCTTGGAAATCCGTGAGAGCGACGTTGAGGAGAGAAAGAAGCAAGATCCGAGCCAAAGGAAGAGATTCGACGATATGTATATACAACTCCCTCACAAGACGCCGAGAGTCTCTCCTCCACAGCGGCACTTCCGCCAGGAGAGAAAAGTCCAACGAGATCCATCGTCAAGGTGGAAATCTTGGAGCCCCGCTGGGCTGCGCCCTCCCGCGGGTGCGGTGTGGCCCGATAGAGTCTGCCAGGGGATCCGAAGGCATCGTAGACGCCGAGACGGCATTGGCGAATGGGAACGAGAGTTGAGCAATACGATCCCCATTCGAAAAGGGAGAAGGTGGAAACCGCGCGCGCCCTGGTGCTAAATCTGTTAGTTGGACGGGCGGAGGTCAAAGCTGAGGTGACCGTGATGTGGGATTTGATTGATCAAGAACAACAGAAACTTGCGGGTGCTTTACCGCCCGCCTGGCCAAGGTCCCACGGCCACCAACAACAAGTTGTCTGTCTTGTCTTGTGAAGAGACGTTGACGGTCGGGCACTCTGCGGTCAACCTGAACCCCCGAACCTCCCCCTTGATCTCCCCCAGCACAGACCCGCAGGTAGCCCCATCGGCTTGGTTGCCGGGATCTCTCTCGGGCTCTTGCGGTTTCGCCGCATGACAGATCGTCGACACGGCCATCGAGAAGAACTCTAGCGGGTCAGATTTTCGTCTGAACTTCATGCCAACAAGCTTCTTTGCCTTGAAGGCTGTCAAATAGAGTTCCCGTCGTCTGTTGTTTCAGAGGATCAGTTGACGTCCCATGGGTTAAACAACCTGAGCGACTGTCAGCATCATCCTGTCAACATTTGCTCGAGTCAACACCTCTGGCCCTGCCACGACCCTTGACAGGCGAGAAAGTGCTTCCTCCACGGCCAAGAGGTGAGGTCTACGGAGAACACCGAGCAATTCACCGACGACTGAATGGAGGTGATCGTGCACAAAGTTGTCTCTAACCGCATTCAATCTTCATCTAGTGAAGCAATCTCTCCATCTCGTAACGAAGTCCGCCACGCGCATCCGAAGTTCGACATAGCTCTGAATCGCGTCCTCGTATCAAGATAGCCTTTCGACGAGCAGTACGGGGAGATGAGACCGAGAAAGCTACGTTGTCGGCTCTGTCGGACGCTTACGCATGAACCTTGGGAAAAGCAGAAATGCTGCCAATCGCGACCGACCCAGCCCTACGACGGCATGAGGCCGGTAATCTGCGTCGGAACATGGTTGAACGCTGGCTTTATCTTTGTGCGGATGGATACCGACTCCTGAGAAAACTTGTGCAACGAAAATAGAAGCCGGGGAGGCAAGGAAGAGTGGGAGAGATGGACAAAACCTCCCCGTTGGTGCCAACTGAACCCAAACTTCCCAGGGCCAGAGATCTGGAGGAAAGAAGCAAGGCAAGGGTACCCGACTTGCCGTCGACCGGATTCTGAAACAAGGAATACATTGTGTCGATCTTTTCGAGCTTGGTCTGCATCCCCATGCCTAAACAAGCATGCCGCTAAGCCGGATACGGCTGACAGCCAAGATATCGTGGAGAGCCCCAGTTCCCCTTTTTCCAAATCGCAATGTCTTTCTGATTGACGTCGGCGCTGTTATGACTCGTATTCATGTCACTTCACGCAGGCCGAATCATTCATACAATACCCCCCTTAAATGATTATAACAGCTCTACTAACCTACATCCCCTACCACCTTGCCTAATTAGGCTAAGTAGCCTTTTTTTACCCCCCTCTACCCCTCTCCTATATAGTTAAAAAAGTAATTATTCTTTACTACTATATTATTAAATTGCTTCCTACTTAAACTTATTATTAAAAATACTATTATAACTACTATTTTTTATTTATATAATTATAAGGGCTTTATTATATAACTCTTAGGGTTATTTTATTATTATTTTAGTATATAAAAACCCTAAAATAATAAAAATATAAATTTTCTAGATTTTTTACTATTATTACTACTACCTCTAAAATAATTTAGATCCTACTATAAGAGTAGTTTAACCTATATTATATAGTTAGCCTACTACTTATTAAGTAGCTTACTACTAATTTATCCTTCTCTATTATAAATAACTCTTTTTTAGTACTTATTAATAATCTTAATATTAACCTATTATTTATTAATAATAATATTATTATTATCTCTAATACCCTATTAAAGAGATAGCTCTCCCCTACCTCTACCTAATAGTTACTTATTAACTAGGGCTATCTCTAGCTACTCTATAAGCTAGTATAGGCCTAGCTAGCTTATCCCTCTAAAGTTAATAACTTTAAGATATTAACTATTATTCTTATTACCCTTTATTCTACTTAGTAAATAAGTAAATATCTTAATATAACTTTAGTTATCTTTTTTTTATTTCTAACTACTTAAATAGAGATTAATAATCTTATAAACCTATATAACTCTAATAGGATTATAGAGTTTAACTTAAATAATAAGGAAGTTAACCTTAAAGAGTATTATAACTTAGAGTATTTACTCCTACCTACCCTTAATAACTTTAACCCTCTATAAGACCTTTTTAACCCCTTAAGTACGCTATAATAAGGCTAGTTTATATATACTTAATATAAAAAGGTTTACTCTACTTTATATAAAGAGTATCTTAAGATCTAGACCCTCTACTAAATAGCTAGCTTTTCTATCTAGAAGATCTCTAGGCTTATAGGCCTTACTATATAATAAGTCTATTATAATACTACTTATAATACCTAGCTATAGTTTTACTAAAGTAGTAGGTACTTAATTATATATATACTATAGAAGAACCTTCTTAAGGAGTTTTTAGCCTTTATACCTTATAATAGATATATCCTATATAATTAATTAAGTAACTACCTATCTATCCTCTATATTTATTTTACTATAGCTCTCTATTATACTATAGTTAGCCTAAATATTTAATAGGTACTTTAACCCCTTCTTATCTAACTTCCTAACTATATATAGTAAGCCTACTTTAAGTTTACTCTTTATTAGGGTTACTTAATAGCTAAAGAGTAGAAGTAATATATTTTTAATAATAAGACTTAATCTAATAGCCTTATTACTACCTATAAATATATTACCCTTCTATTTAGTAAGGATTTAAAAGACTTTACTAAAGTAAGAGCTAAGCTATATAGATAGATATTTTAAAGCTATATTATAGGTAGTATTAAGGGGCTTAATATTATATAGGATAAGTCCTAGAGAAAAATAGACTTAACCTCTTATTATTACTATATATTACCTATCTTCTTTAACTTTTAGTAGTCTACTAATTTATTTAAAGTATAATAAGATAATATACCTTATTATAGCTTATATATTATAAAAGCTTAAATTAAAGAGCACTTTAATACTAGCTATCTTATTAACTAGTCTATTTAGTTACTTAACTTTAACCCTATTAAATATATATAGCTATAGATAAAGAGATAGATTAATTATATATACTTAGTTAAGCTAATAGGCCTATAGTTATATAAAGCTATTTAGGCAGCTTAATAAGCTATACCTAAAGAGTATTTACTAAAGTTAGTATACTTTATACCTTAATAACTAGCTAAAGTAGTAGCTACTTAAGGGGGTTATATTAGATATTAAGCTATATTATAAGGGTTAAATTTAAGTAGTAATATTATATAAATATATAGCTACCACTTACTTAGGCCTACTATTTAGGCTACTCTCTTATATAAATGTAAGTTACTATTAGCTATACTTAGGCCCTAAGATGCCGCTTATGAGCCTGAAGTACCGCGCTAACAATTATTTAAGGGGGGTATTGTACGATGGTACAGTTATGCATGTCGTTCGTGGGCTGTGCAGTGGGTGTTCGTACATAACCATCGTACCCGCCTATTCTCTAGAGGAAATTTCCCGTTCATAATGCGTTATGTTCTGCCTCTTTTTTTGTACCCTTTTTTGACGTCACGCTGCCGACGGGTCCGAGCAAATCGGGTCTGGAAATCGGTGCAGCACTCCGATCGCCGGGGCCAACGGAGGCTCTGCCGCACCCCGATCGTCCCTCCGTGCAGACCCTCGTCTAGTGAGGCCGCTTTTGGTAGGTATTTGCGCATCTATCGGTCGCCCATCTGGATTTGTTTGCCGTTGAACTACGGATATCCGTATTGATTCATCCTCATCGTGGATGCGACCAAAGCCACTTTCATAGCTACGCGTTCCTTCGCACCTCATATGCTTTGTCTGTTGCATTTGGCACTCGATTATCGGGGTACCGTTACGACGAGGGCATGTTACGAGTCAAGTTGGCAGACACATTCATCTCGCATGTCGGTGCGGCTCTGCTTCTGAGTCGATCGCGCGTGGGACTTGCGCAACAGCATCCACTGCCTCATTCGGGTCTGATCAACAAGACGTCAACAACCGCGATCTGCCGTGGATCTCTGGGACGTCGCCGATGGGTGTGGTTGCGAAGTCGCAACTGCAACCCGTAACGCTTTTGGGTGTAGTCGCCGGAGTGACTAGTCTCGATGCAGACTGCGCCTAGCCGAACGGTGGTGTCTTCCTCTGCAGGGGCGCTGAAAAGAGTATCGACTTCGCGAATCGAAACAATGCGAATCCGAAGATGGAAAACGAGCCTTGGTTAAGGTAGCATTCTACATTTCCCCTCGTGAGGTTAGCTGAAACACTCAATATCGCTGTCGGTTCCAAAGCCAAAGTTCGGAAACACAATGGCGACCTAGAGTGACGCCAAGTTTGCCGTGCAAAGTGGCGTCGAAAATCCGCCAAACGTAATCAACGTGGAGTGCGTAGAAAATCACTTGTTCGGATCGTTAAGAAAGTTTTCTTGCGAACCTTCATATTCTAGTAGAGGAAAGAAAGACCAGGTCCAGTGACAGTGGTGTTTTCAATTTGCTCTCATCCTGGTCTAGCTAGCTAGTCAATCTGCATCCATCAACCTCAACAACATTGCCACAAACTCCCCTGATCTCTTCATACCATTCTCATAGCTGCCTCAAGTACATCCGGAAAGCCTGCGCCTTTCCTCAAGCAACAACAAATATCATGAGCTGACAACTTCTCAGTAGCTCCCGCAACTCACTTCATCACATCCACCCATCGCAGCGTTGTCGCAAATCAAGTATTCAGACCTGTGCCTTCGACACAGCGCCAGCCTTCCAGGGGGCCTCGCAGATGGGACACTTGGTTCCCCAGCCTGCAGTCTCCATCTTAAAGATACGGAAGCACTGGGAGTGAACGTGGTGGCCGCAAGTACCGCAGCAGACGGTCTCCTTGTCCTCGAAGTTCTTGTAGCACACAGGGCAGGCCTTTCCATCCTTGGACTTCGGGACTCCGTCCTTGAGCGCGGGGTCGGCGTCGATCTCATCCTGCGTGAAACGGGCCTTGGGGGCGAGGGCGAACAGCTTGACGAGCTCCTCGGTGAAGAAGGTCTTCTGGGGAAGCAGCTCAGCCGGGGCGTGCAGCATGTACAAGAGAACATCTGCGTTGAGGTCAGCCGCGTCCTCCGTTTGTCATAAATGATACTCACAAATGACGTGCTTGCAGTTGGTGCTCTTGTTGTACATCTATAGACAGATTAGCAAGATGCGTTTACACTTCGCAGTCAGGTTGCTTACAGCAGCCTGGCAGTCGCATGAAGTCTTCCTGCCAATGGTGATGTTGTAGGTCGAGCCAGACGAGAGGGTGATGTTCAATATGTTCTCGTCGCCGAAACCAGGGGATTGCTTGATGATCCACATGGTCTCGCTCATGGCCTTCTTCGCGGCGCTGACATATCTCTTGTCGTCGATGGGAACCATGAAGCGCGTCTCCCTGGGGTTCGCGGTGGACTTGGTCGAGGCGATAGGCCCAAAGGCTTCGGAGTTGGCGGAGGGGCCGACATCGACGGTCTCATGCTGGTACGTCTTCCAGTTCTCGAGGCGCTCGATGAGGTCTTTCTTCTTGCCCACGGCATTGACGTCGCGCATGGCAAGCTGTTCCTTGAGAATGGGGGCGGGGAGCTTGGACCAATCGGTTCCATCGGGAAGGGGACCGGTCTTGACTCCGTAGGTGCACTTTCCGAACTTGGTAAGACGAGTCAACTCGGGAGGGTATTCGAGAGCCTTGTACGGAGCCTTGCGGTACTAAGGCGCCTTGGAGGGGGTGTCTTGCTCCATGTAGCTCATCGAAGAGGAAGGCATCGTGGGGGTGGAAGGAGAATCCATGTCCATGTCCAAAGGCATCTGGGCGAATAGATGTGGGTGTTTCCGGAAGTAGGTGAGTGATGATGTTGCGATGGCAGGCCGGGTCGACACAGATCTGGGTGCTGGTTGCTGTTCGCGAACTGCAAAGGAATTTTTCGATTGGTAAGAGTGAAAGCGAAATTTTGTAGAGTGATAAGAAGGAAGTCGCGTCAAAAGCTGAGCAATACCAGTGGGAGCCAGTCTGGTCGGTGGTCGTTCTTTCATTCTGGAAGGTGCAGGGTTGTCAGGCAGGAGCACCTTCCCTTTCAGCAGGTATCTTACGTTTCAAGGCAGAAACCATGAGGCTCAGGTGCCTCAAAGGCAACAACCGAAACGAGTTATCTGATTTCTTGACTGCCTTACACTCGATCAGTCGATGAAAAGAAAATGGTAACAGTGATGGAGTAGATTTCATACCTAATTACTCCAACCCCGCTCCCCATTCCGCGGAGTACGTTATCGTCTCATATATGACCAATGAACTTACCTTGTCCATCTCACACTCAAAATTACTCGAGCTTCAGCTGATGCTTCATAGCTAGATGTCTTCCAAGGCATTGAAGGGAATCGTTATAGTCGTGACAGGGGTGTCACGTGGTTCTTACGGCTCCAAGGCATGGGGAGAATATCTGTAAATACGGGTTATTTCGACATCGAATTTGAGTTCCGCCCAGACTAAGCTAGAACATATCTCATTTTTTACATTTCTTGTAATTATAAATTTTACTACTGTTCCGAGCATATGAAACGGACTCATTGCAGTGTTGCTCCGCTGCTGCTGTCAACTCCAACAGCTTGGGCGATCGTCCCAATCTGGCATGTCAGGGTCTTGATATTGACCCCTGATTGGCTTCGCCAAGCCACCCTGTCTGATTCCCGTCGACCCCTGCGCGAACGGCAGTGACTCAACGTCAGCTTGACCTCTTCATTTCCTGTTTTCTTCTCCTCCGTCTAGATCCTTCTGACGCATAATACATCTGGGAAGCTTGAAAATCCGGCTGAACAATTTGTATCGCCCTCTTTGTTAGACGCACACTCTCCATCACCATGGCTAGACGAAACATCAGCTCAGGCTCTGCCTTCGAGGCACAAATCGGCTACTCCCGGGCGGTAGTCTCGGGCGATTTCATCTTTGTGTCCGGAACGACAGGGTATTTATGCGTCGCTTCTAGAATCTACAGGCCAAGACAAGAAACTGACAAAGCAAAGGTACAATTATGAGACGGGCGTCATATCCCCCGACATCGTCGAACAGACCCAGCAGACCATGGAGAACATCGCCGCGGCCCTCGCGGAGGCCGGTGCCGGAATGAAGGACGTCGTCCGCGTCCGTTACATCCTGCCGAATCGAAACGACTTTCAAAAGACCTGGCCTGTGCTTCAGAAATGGCTCGGCGATGTGAGGCCGGCTGCCACGATGGTTCAGGCGGGGTTGATGGAGGAAGCGATGAAGATTGAGATCGAAGTCACTGCCAAGAAAGAGGGCTAATCATTTCGCGGGGAGGCGATGAATATCAGACGAATCTGCTGGCCGGATCAAGGACACCATCGGAAATACAAAACATGCCGTCATTGGTTCACCCATGGGATGGCGTTACCCATGCCAGATATCCGGTATGAACTGTGTAATACGAGCTTGCAACGGTCAGCCACAAGACGGACGAGATCTCAATCTTCGGATCCGACGCCATGTGCACCTGATATTGGCTGCTTTTGGACGAACATGAGACCGGCGTTTAGCACGATCGGCGACCAGGCGTACGCCCGACCCATCCGGAGCAATCGGTTGGCTAGGTGGACACGATGATGGCATGGTCGCCGACCTCTAGCCGAACCAGGTACATGTCCCAGACTCTCAACACGATGAAATCAACGCAAGTTCTCCGACAGTATACGTCAGCGACCGAAACAAACACAATTCTTGATACATGCCACGAAGAGATTCAAGAAACGTCGCTAATCATGTCGCTATGCATACAACGGTGACTACGATATGTCGCTAGTGGAAATAAGGAGCAACAAGAGCTCCCGCGCCGAACATGGAGGCGATGGTGACGAAACTGGCCGTCGAGAAGATGGACACCCCGCTAAGGCCGTGTCCGGAAGTGCAGCCCCCGCCGATCCTAGACCCGATGCCGATCAGCAACCCGCCCGCGGCAGCCAGCTCCGGCGAGACGGCCGTATCCGCTGCGCCGAGCGCGAAAGCAGGGTACGTCGTCGCGAGAGCCCACGCGCCCGCAGCCACGCCGAAGGAGAAGAGGATGTTGCTGTACGAAGCCGGCTTGCCCTTCTCGCCGCCACCCTTGACCGCCCACCAAAAGTACCGCCCGATCTCGTCGTACGACGTAGACACGCCCAGCATCGACTTGCGCGCGAGCAGAGAGAAGAGCTGCGCGAGGCCGATGAAGAGGCCGCCGACGACGGGCGCGACCACGGCGTAGGGGCTGGCCGGGGTGTACTTCATCGCGGCGTAGATGACGCCGGCGAAGACGGCCTCGACGCCGACGAAGGAGACGGCCCTGCTGAGCCCGGCGCGCTCGTAGACGGTGAGCTTCGGGTTTTCGGGCGCCGCGTGGGCGGCGTTGGCGGTGATGGCCTTCTGGAGGAACCCGGTCCAGGCGATGCCTGCCAGGACGGCGCCGCCGAGGACGTAGAGGCCGGATTTCGTGCCGACGGCGATCTGCGCGAGGACGGTTCCCGGGCACGAGCCGGAGAGGGCCATGCCGGCGCCGAGGAGGGCGCCGCCGAGGATGTTGCCGTCATACTCGGAGAAGAGGCCGAGGCGGGAGGGGCTGCGGGGTTTAGGGCGGACGTAGCCGAGCTTGTCTAGGGCGAGGACGATACACCTGGTTTGTTGCGTTGGTGATTTGCATGATCATGTGAAAAGGGAAAAGACTCGTAGACGTACGTGCTGCTGGCCGCTGCTGCCAGGAAGGCTTGGATCATGTGCCAGTTCTCGAGCTTGAGCTGGGCGATGATGACGGAGGGCTGGTAGACGCCGGCTCCTACCAAAGCGGCACCGAAGGCGGCGCCTGAAAGAGCCGTTGTTGCCATAATTCCGGTTTTATTCTGGCTCGTGGAGGGTTCGTGAGTTGCTGAGACGAACGGGCGCAGTGCCAACTAAGTAGTGAGGGACTTGGTATTTAAGGTCCCCGAGATGCAGAATGGTGATGCGCGGGCAGAGTCTGTATACTTGTCTTCGACTCTTTTTGGCTTGTCGGATGAACTTATACAGATTCCCTTCGAACAGAGGACAACATGGACGGGGGGGTGGACTGAACGCCGGACAAGAGAAGTGTCCGTTGATTACTGAATCAAGCCCGAGAGTTCATGGCGTCTTCGGGGACTCGACGAAAAGACGGGAAAATTGTGGTGGTTCCGGTAGCGGGGCTCCAGTTATTAATCCCCGTGGTTCAAAGACCGCACCTTTTTCCTCCTCTCCAGACGGAGATACCCCTGCCAGTGGCGCGTCCTCCATCGACAACGTTCCCGTCCGCATGTGCGTTGTGGCAACGAGCAGCCTTGGTTCGACTCGAATTGGGTGTAGTTCAGGTGCGAAGAGATAGGTGGCGTCGACTAATTCCCTTCTCGGCCAGCACGCCTTCACTTACGGCATGGCGTTAGAGCAGCCGCAGTCAGTGCTTTAGTAGTGAAGCTGTTCTCTTATCTTCCCGCAGAAGCTTTGGTTTCCCGGTAAGTAATGGGAGTCTCAAGTTGGCGAGGGAGGTCAACAATTACCAAAAGGAGACCGGTCAGCAACACTCGATTGGTACGCCAGCTTCTCTGGGGGATCAATAAGGTTGCATCAATGGGAAGCCTTGCCGCGCCGGGATGGACCCAGAGAAAACGTGCTTCTCCAGAAAGTGACGTCCCCGAGACTCAGGGAGCCCCGGCGACCGTCCCTTTTCGAGGTCGCCGACGTCGGGGAACAGGCCGCGAGCACGGGCGTCGCCGGGATGTCGTCTCCAGGGATGAACGCCGCCGGACGTCTGTCTGCTCGGTGACCACTTTGACCGAGGAACGACGTTCGACCCTCAGATGATGAATGAGACTGACTGAACGGCGAAGCTTGTGTGAGATGCTTCGCGACGGTGGTATAAGACTCAGGAGGGAACTCCACGACGAAAGTATGCTTCATTCGCCCAGCATAGACAACTTTCCATGAAACGTGTGCATACACTATCAAAGCATTTTCAAGCGCCTCTACAAGTTGAATTAAACATGACACCGGAACCAGTTATCCACGAGGTCTTCGAGCCGGCGACGAGCACGTGGCAATACATAGTCGCGGACCCCTCCACGAAAGCAGCCGTCATCATCGACTCAGTCTTAGACTTCGACCCAGCAAAAAGCGCCGTCTCGACACAGACGGCCGACAAACTGCTAGAGCTCGTCCGAGAGAAGGGATACAAAATCGTCAAGATCCTCGAGACCCACGTCCACGCCGACCACCTGACGGCGGCCAAGTACCTCCAGTCGCGACTGCGGACGGCGCAGGACGGCGCGGCGCCCGAGATATGCATCGGCTGGCGCATCGGGGTGGTGCAGGAGAGGTTTGCGAGGAAATACGGCATCCCCGAGGCGGAGTACGTCCAGGCCTTCGACCGGCTCCTCGAGCAGGACGAGGAGTTCCAGATCGGGGCGTTGAAGGCCAAGGCGATTCACCTACCGGGCCATACTCCGGACCACATGGGATACATGGTGGGAGGTCGGTCGACTCATGTCCCCTTTCACGCTCTCAGTACACGGGTTCAAGCTAACATACCCCCAGCCAACGTCTTCGCGGGAGACTCCCTCTTCAACCACGACGTCGGCTCCGCCCGCTGCGACTTCCCCGGCGGCGACGCCCGCGACCTGTACGCGTCGGTGCGGAAGCTTCTGGACCTGCCGGAGGACACCAAGGTGTGGACGGGACACGACTACCCACCAGACGGCCGGGCCCCGGTCGCGGCGACGGCGGTCGGCAAGCAAAAGGCCGACAACAAGCACCTCGGGAACGGGGTCAAGGAGGACGAGTTCGTCAAGTGGCGCGAGGAGAGGGACGCGGGGCTCGGCGAACCCAGGTTGATGCACTGGGCGCTCCAGGTCAATGTGAGGGCCGGGAACATGCCTAGCCCGACCAAGGACGGAGATCGGCTGCTGCATGTGCCGGTTAAGATGCAGGGCGTAACTTGGTGATTTCACAGTTGCGATTGTTCGTGGTGATTGTTGAGCGGTAGTGTTGAAGCTTGTTCCTCCAGAAAATACAATGTCGTCACAAACTGAATGTGAATTTGGTGGGATCTATACCTACACATTTGGGGTAGTATCATACAAAACGCCAGCTCTTCCCCCTCTTCACTGGGTTGAGCCCAGTCTCGTGCCCGGGTTCTCTCTTGCAACTTAAACCGCTGCTGGATATGACCAAGATGAGGCAAGTCAGAACCCCGATGACGACGATGACGGCGGCGACCACATGTCTACATAGGTACTCATTAAGCAAACGAAGCCGAAAAAAAGGTAGAAAAAAAGAAGTGTCCCACGCCTCACACCCCGGGTTTTTGATATGTCCGTAACTCCAGAACGCGTTAAGCCCACGTCTCCGTGCCTCATTCGAGGCAATGCGAGAGAGCATAGGCCAGAAAATGCCCAGTCGTTGCCGCGCTTCGTCTCCAATTCGTTCAAATCCCACGCCTGCGCTGCCGGCTGCCATGACAAGAAAGCAATGATCAACAACCCCTTACTTCAGCAGAGAGTGAGTCCTGATACCCTTAGGACCGATTTCGCTGCGAAAAACTGTTAGCTTCTCATATCCTGAACCTGGCGTTTGAAGAGGGGGGGACTTACTTGTAGTCAACTCTGCTGAGACTAGCCAAACGCTGCGCCTCGAGGCCAGCCATGTCGAGGTTGTGCTGGCAAAAGGCGATGCGAGCGGCGACCTGAGCGCCGAGGAACATGGCCTCCTCGAAGCCGTTCTTGTTCCACTCGCTCAGGTAAGTGGGGAGCGCAGCCTGCTTGATGGTCGTAGGCGTCTGGCTATGGAAGTGATGAGGACCGGGAGTGCCGTTAGCCTCGCCGCTGGGTCCGGGGGTGCCCTGTTGCTGCGCAGAGGCCGTCGTAGCGGCCTGAAGGAGAGGGTTCACGCCCGAACTGTTGGGCGGCAGCTGGTGCGGGGCGCCGGTGAAAGAGCCGGTTGGGGTTTGGGCGCCAGTTCCCGTTGGAGTTGCGATGTTGGAGGGGAGCTCCGAGGTGAACATCGTGGCCGTACTGGGCGAGATGAGGTGGCGAGCCGTCAGGGTCTGGATGATGTTGTCCTTCAGCCCACGCAGGCGAGAGCCGTTGCCGACGAACACAATGTTCTCCCAACATTGCGGGCGCATGTACATGTCCTCGATGCCCTGGACAGTGCGGTAGATGGTGCTGACAATGCGATCGATCTCGGCGCGGTCGGCAAAGGTGAAGCGCTCAAGGCCGACCTCGATGTCGCGGCGCACCCGCTTAGCCTGCCTCTCGGGGACGGGCGGTACACCGTTGGTAGCGGCGGGAGCTTCTGCAGGCGCAACGACGGGCTGGCCCGTGGTTCCGTTTGTCTCCGAAGTCCCGGCTGGCGCAGCAGCGTCTGTAGTGGCCGCTGGCTCTGTCGGCTTCGTCTCGCCCTCGGTTGGCGCGTCGACTGGCTTAGAGCTGTCGGTCATCTCAACATCCTTGGACTCGGCGACGGTACCAGACTCCTCCTTCTTGGGCTCTTCCTTGGTCTCCGGCTTAGGCTCTTCCTTCTTGGGCGGCTGTACCTCCTCTTGAATGACCTCCTCGAAGTGAAAGGTGTTATGTGTGCGCTTTGCGTTGGGCAATCGAACAGGTTTCGCAGCCTCGGCCTCCTGGGCCGCCTTGCCCTTTCTACCTCCCTTGCCCTTCTCCGCTTTCTCCTTCTCCTTCTTGGCGAGAAAATCGCGCGCATTACCTGCGGTAACAATGCTAGCCACATCGAGAACTCCTTCGTCGCCCTTAGGTTCCTCGGGCTCATCGTCAGCAGCTGGAGCGCGCACCGCAGGCTCGCTGGCCTGGGGCGCCTCAGGGGCGGGTGCGCTAATAGGAGCAGCGCCGACAGTCGATGTCGTTGGCAGTTCCATCAGGTTCTTGGCGGTGGGCGCATACGGGAGCACTTCACAGATGTGGCTCTTCTTCAGCTGCTCCGCCATGTCGTATGTGAAGTCCTTGCTCTTGAGCTTCTCGACAAGTTTGCGCGTGAAGATCTCACCACCAGAAATGAAGCGCTCGGGGTTGGGAGCACCCAGTTCAGAGTGACTGACCACGCGACCATCGTGTATGCAAGTCACGTCCACCTTCTCGTAGCCAATGTCCACTACCGTCACGTTGGGCCACTTGATGCCGTACTGAGTAGCGATGCCGCTGTGAATCATGCAGAGGGCAGGAGTACGCGTCTTTTCGAAGATGTAGCGCGCGATCGTTTCGTTATCGGGACGTGTCCATTGGGGCGACGCCATGAGCATGATCGGGGTGTTGTGGTAGGTGGTGGTGAGCATGCTGTGAACGTGGTCGAGAAAGGCCAGGAATGCCTCCATATTGGCGATGCGACCGCCTTTAAATCACCCAATTAGCACGTAAAACACGTCAAACTGTCATCGCGAACACTCAATCGCACCTTGAAGAGGGTAGACGGCGCCCTCGCTTGAGTCTGTGTCTTCCACCCACTCATATTCGTCGTCGTCAGGGCGCGGCCCGTCGATCGCAAGCGCGCCATTGAGGCCCTGCTTCTTGCGCTTGAACGTGTGATAAGGGCGCCACTCATCCGTCTCTTCATCCTTGAACATGCGCGTCGGCAGGCGATGGACCGGCGGGGTCAGCTCGCCGCATCCCAGCTGGGCCATAGTCGTCTGGCTGCCAGGACAGATGATGAGGACCTGGTCCTCGCGGAACTTGCCCGTCTGAGTCGACATCTTGCCGGCGCCGGGGGTTTCTGGGGCGCAAACAGAGTCTGTGGTCTCGGTGGTGGTAGGAAGCTTTCCCTTCGTAGGAGATTGATGGAGACGCGGTCGAAGGTTGTATTTCGAGGCAGAGACCTCAGAGATGCTGCTGTTGCTGCTGGTACCAGCTGTACTGCCACTGCTGGGATTGGGGGCAGGATGGTTCTGTATGGTCCGTGCGGCCAACATCATCGCCTGAATGTTTTTCCGAGCCATACAGCCATTGCAGACACAGCAAGGCATGAGTTCTTGTAAAGCAATCATGATGCTGAAGCTGTTGTTTGTTGTGGTGTGATGGCAAAGGTTATATTCACATGGTGAACGCAGAAGTCGAAAGGGAAATATTCACAATCTAAATTTCCACTTTGTTGATTTTTCAAAACAAGACGGGCAAGGCACTCGATCAGCAGGATCAAGCTGATAGCCCACGTTAGAGACCAAGAGCGTGCACTTCATAATGGGCTCATTCCGGTCATGATCTGAAAGATTGAACATTATCTTTATGCAGTACGTCGTAAGACTAGACTACCATTACCGGATGGCCTTGTCAGGTCGCCCCTATCAGTCATTTGACTGTTGGGTCACCCAAGTAATGCCCTTGCAGCTGCTCAAGCTGCTTGACCAATGCTCAACTTCTAAGATGTACAGGCCCGCCCCAAATCCTGTTGACAATTCCAATGCCCATAGGTACAGACTGTGTACCTGTTTGTCGCCCTGTGTGGTGTTGTGGTGCCCTCCTTTGCCTGGTCTTTTGTGTCCTGTATCCCTAAACGCCTGAAAAAACATCATCAAGTTGTTCGTCATTGCAAGTAATTGCCAAGCATCCTGCTCCGAGGATGCAGACATAAATCCCCCAACGCCTGGCAACCAAAATCTCGAGCTGAAAGATGGGACAGACAGCTGCTTCCAAATTCCCACCCTAACCGTTAAAAAAGCAAAAGAAAGTGAATGGTATCATGCAACATCAACCGCTTTCTGGGCAACATGCCTCGAATCACTGCTGGGAACTTCCTTCAAAGGACTACCCAAAGGAGTCATGAAGTCAGTGGTCTCATCCGGGAAAGCACCCGGAGCCAAGGGTGTGGCCTTGTCTGACTCTTGTAACGTGGGCGTCTTGAGTACAGACTTGTCCAATTGCGGCTTGGCAACTTGGACGGACTCAGTCTCCTTCATACTCTCGTCATCCGATGCATCCTCTGCTGACGTCTCCTTGATGGATGGAATCTTGCTCGACTCGCTTCTGATCGAGTTGGAATCGATAGACTGGCGAGGAGATGTGGTGAAGGAAGACTGAAGAGGGCTGTGAAGCTGGCTGACATCTCCGATTTCGCTCTTACTCGCGCGAGAACCTCGTGCTGGGCTTCTTGCGGGGAGCGGCGGCGGAATCCTCTTAGGAATCGTAACCAGGGCGCCCTTGGCATGGATCGGAGCAGCCATGACTGCACGGCGAGCGGGTTGGACCTCAGCGACCTCGAAAATTACAGGTTCCTCTTCGTCATCTTCATCGTCCTCGTCGTCGACGTCTTCATCCTGGTCCTCCTCTTGTACCTCGGGCCTCTCGTCATCCTTGGTACATATACTAGATGCCTTGGTAGCCGCGTCGTCAATGGTGCTAACATCGGTACGCAGGTGGTCGTCGCTCTCAGTCATGATGGTTCCCTCAATGGAGTGGCTACCGCTGATTTGTCTCAGAGGAGTGAAATCGATCTTAGTGTAGTCAACCTCCTCGGGCTCCTTCAGCGCCGGCAAGCTGTGGATAGACGCTCCATCTTCACTCTGGCTTTGACTTTGGCTTGGCGAAGTGTCAGGCGTGGTAGTCGTCGTGTTCGTGTGCGTGAAGGCCTCAGATAGCTTGGTACGGGTCGTCCTGTTTGACGTGACGCTGCCCCGGTTGCTCCTTGTCGTGGTTGTCTCGACGCTCTGCCTGCTAAACTTGGAAAAGGCAGGGCTTGAAGGTGTAGGGTTGAACTCGAATTGGTGACTTGTTGGGCGCTGGTGTGTACCGGCTTCGCGGATTTCTAGTCCTGCCATCTCGAGAGCCAAAACACCGAATGGGTCGGGATCGCCAGCGTTCGGGATGCCGAACTTGATTGCTGTCTTCGGTGAGGCGGGTGAGCTTCTGGGCGTCTCGATCATGGCATCTCCTGGTGCAGGTAGTGCAGAGAGCTTCTTGAGAACAGCCTGGTCTGCGTCGATTCTTCCCTCGGCTTCTTTGATGACCTCGAACATTGGGAGAGTCTCAACCACGTTCCTCGACACGTTGCCCGCGCAAATATCCAGACTGGTGACATTGCAGCCGTAGAATCTCTCATTCTCATTCCCACGCTCTTTCAGGATGCAGCCAGTCAAGTTGACGTTTTGGGACTGTCCTCTTGCCTTCATGTACGACAAAACAGTGTTGTCCAATTCCCTCCACTTGTTGTCCACCTCTGTTGATTCCAGAGCCACTAGAGGGCCATTTGTGAGGCCAATATCTTCTCCCAGTGTAATAGTAGGTTTAGTGATTAGTTGCTCGAGAGCGGCGATATTGTTAATAACCAGGACGCAGTCGTAAATGTCAACGCCCATGACAAAGCTCAGAGAAGGGGTGTGTAAAACGATGCCCGAAGGAGGTGACCAGGTGCCGTCGGCTTTGCGGGCGATCAAAATGCCTGAGCCGCCAGATCCGGTCATCCACAAGCCCGACCGCATGCAAGTGAAAATGGCGATACCAGCAGCGTTCTGAATGATTCGGGAGGGAATCTTCTTGAAAATTCGAATTGGTGTTTGCGGCTCGGTGGATGCTGAGGAGCGATCCGGGAGGTCGTGCAGGGGCGCAAGGAAGCCATCAGCTACAAGCGAAGTGGTGTTAGTGACTGCGTGCGATGTGCAATGATGGCATGAGAACACAGAGATGCAACAACTTACAGCAAAACGATTTCAGAATTCGGGCGGCGCGATCGCATTCAGCATCGAGGGTAGCCGGCCAGAAGGCCTCACGATCAATGCGTGAAGCAGCTGTTGCGAGAGCAGTTGTGTTTAGAGACGCGGGTTTGCTAGACCAGCGGAAAACCTTGTCGAGGGGAGATTTGGTGGTTGCGGTGATGATGCTGCTTCGGCCATTGCTCGTAGTACTAGCATTACTTCTTCTCCTCGCCTCCCATGAGGGAAGGAAGCTTGATACCCGTTGCATGGTTCGGTTCGGTTCAGTTCGTTTTCGTTTCGTTTGGCGGTTGGCGGGTGACGGATCATCGGCGAGGACGCTGATGATGTCTTCTGGGCCCCGTTCGTGGATGAAGACGGGGGTATGAAGCCAGCGACATTCGTCGGTCGTAGGTGTGGTGTTGCACGCTCACCCACAACGCCGAACAACAAGCAGCCAGTTTGTTTTCTCTACAGTCCCGTCGATATGGGAGAGGTTGAAGAAGAGAAGGCGGAAAAAGTAGCTGGGAGAATTTGGGGGACGAATTGGGCTTTGTTAGACAGGATCATTCAGGTCCACTGGGGGTGAACTCAGCCTCCTCCACTTTACTCTTGGGCTCGGTAGCAGCAAGGTGCAGCGCTGCAGCAGCAAGTACAAGACAGCGGCAGGCTCACGGATCACCACGCAGAGAGCGAAGTACTGAAGTGAGTGCTGGGTAGCGTCAGGTTGCGCAGGCAGCGGGAAGGGTGTATGGGCCAAGCGGGGACACTGGAGGAGTGGGTGTGTTTGTCCGGTCTTGGGGGTGTGTGCGGTGTATGATTTGGTGGTGTGGCCGGGTGGGCGTGTGGTCGAGTGGGCGTGTGGGCGAACAAGGGAGGAAAGAAAAGGAAAGGTTGAAGTGGTTGCGCGCAGGTGACGTGGGCGACGAGGATGTGAGGAGAGAGGCGATCCCTGTCCCTGGTCGTTGACGGCGCCGGCCCAGAATCCAGATGGACCAGGCCAGGTGAGGAATAAGCACGACGCCAGCGAGCAGGCGGAAGAGACCAGAAGAGACGAGTTGACGATAGGTGAGCAACGGCGCGAGGAGGAAGGAATGTGGCCGTGGCCGTGGCTGGCGGGTGGTGGTTGTGAAGCAGCAGCGTGGCAAGGCACGATGCGTAGTGTTGCGTGCCCGTTTTGTTGTGTTGCTGGCAAGATTTGGCAATGGAAGAGCAATGTCTGAGATATCGAAGCCGGTGGTGACTGTGAATCCCACCTGAAGTGTCCGTACCGTAAGGTAGTTAGGTAAAGAGGGGAGCGGGAGGCAAGGAAGGAAGGCGCAGGCAGGGGCAACGCTCTTTCCGAGGCTTGTACCCAAGCAGCTCAGGAACCGTACCGTATGGACTCTGGCTCTGAACGAATTCATCACCCATTTCACTTGTAAGCTAACGTATTCGAGCCCAGACTTGACTCGGAATTGCTTTGTGCTTGTGAAAGGGAAAAAAAAAAAAAAAAAAAAAAAAAATTATTGAGACCAGCGCCAGGAACCATGACGGCAAATGTTCAGGTAAGGTATCCGTACTCTTCAGTGAGGAATTTGTCCAGTCATTCCGCGTGTTATCCAAGCTACCTAATACGAGTGACTTTGCGAGACCCAAACGCAGATGACGGCTTCAAATCAGGCAAGCCCGCGAAAGCGAGATCGAGGTGGCTGGCCCGATTGAGGTTGGCTGGTTGTCGACTTGTCGCCTCTTCTGGCGTGCCGGGGCACGTAAACTTGAGGCGGAGCCAAACTCTCTCGGTTGAGGTATCGAGGTACAGATATCTTCTCAATCTCACCTACCTATTCGTTTTCCTTTTACAAGACTTGATGTCTTTCTTTCTTTTCCATTGATGACATTTCTAATGCAGTCTGGCCTCACGGCGAAACCAGACTGCAACAGAGCCGACCGAAGCGCATGCACTGTCGGTGTCAAAGGTCAAGAGCCTGCTTGAGCGAAGCTGTGAGGCAACTGTCATTGACAAACCACAGCTGTAGCGCTGCAGATGCTGCATTAGTGGGTGACGATTCGGTGGACTGTGGTCTGACTGTGCGTTGCTGCTACTTACTGCTGCTGCCACTCTGTACTTGATGGCGCATTCGCTTTCTTGAGCTTCCATGCGTGCGGTGAGACTGAGGATGCCATGAATGTGAATGTACAGCGACGTGCACTCATTCCCACGGAACCTCTCGGCAAGAAGTACTGCGTACTACCTTGGATAACCTGGCGATGGGTTTCTTCCTTACTGCGAAGTACCTCGGGACTTTATGCTTGGGTAGCCTTCCTTCTAATCCTTACCCAACGAGACCACGAAAGGTTACGCCGGCAACAGCTCACATCAGACTCCAAAACAACACCTCATCTCGTCTTATTACTCATACTCACCCAGACTCGCAGATCCGAGGCAGCAAACCACTAGCATGCGCAAGGGAGAGATGGGGGAAAAGAATCAGAAACACCGAAAAAGAAAGCATTGCGGGAAAAAACAAAACAAGCATCCATGGGATATGATATGCCTGCATATGCAGGCACTTTGCGCAAATACTTGTCTTCAGTCCAGAACCCATTCACGCCGTCTGCCGTCCTCATTGGCGACGCCATCGTGGGCCAACAGTAAGCAAGGGATGGAGAGTTCGCACACTTAAGCCACAATAGTAGATGAGATGAAACCTTGTCATTTCGTTGCGAGCCAGTTGCCGGTGACCCCTACTTCTTTTCGACCTTTCAGCACCCATCATCCACTCTTTTGCCATGCATCGTCCAAGACAGGTTTGAGTCTCAAGTCTCGAGAACAAAAAAAAAAGGTCTGGGCGCGGACGGGACACGGACGGCCTTGACGATCCTTCGGATACTCGTCTTGACTCGTCCTGACATGCAGCCCAATCCATGCATGGGGCGAACATGATGTGCCGTGCGCATACAAAGTGCTCTGTCCCGGCTGGAGAGTGGCCGCATATATCCGTAATACAAATCGATATTTGAGAGCCCAAGCATCGGGATATGTTAGTATTAGAAAGACACTTCGAGGAGGTGATCAGGAAAGGAGTCATCTAGACAAAAGCCGAGTGCCGTCTTGTCCCATTTGGATTTACACACAGGGAAAAAAAGAAAAGATTAAATAACTCGGAAGGAAGGAGAGATTGAATCAGCCTCCATTATCGTGCATGCCAAACGTGAAGTGCGACTTCCCGTCACAGCGTTAGGTTACCTACCTAGGTTCTGGCTTGAGAGGACGGGAGTGGATCCTCCCAATCGAGTGGCTGAAAAAGTGTTTCTCTTTCGGGCTCTTTCTCGCCTTCTCCAATGAAGTCGGGGATTTGTCTCACGCTTGTCTCTCGTGTCACTTTCTCATCGTCGGTAAAAGTTGAGTTAATTACCTTTTACTCCAACAAATCGTCTGCCCGACTTCGCACCCGCCAACGCAACGCAGCACAAGCACAGCACAGCATCGACTGGCTTGCCGCGCCTGAGCTGCATTTCACTGCAGACCTTGCTGCACCCAACGCCAACAATTGTCCGAAGGAATGGGTCGGTTTGTTGTCCGGCCCCATCAACCACAACCACACGCACACTGGACACATCTGCACTCGTCGTCACAGGCACACACTTTAAACTATCGACACCTGACATTCTAAAGAGAAGTACCTACGCATACAGCCATTTTGAGGCACGTCCCAGTCTCTCCCAGTCTCTCCCAGCCGTCCCCGCCCGCCTCCAACGATGCCGAGCCTGACACCCCGTCGTGACGACCACCCTCGTTGGAGAGGGTGTCGTCCTCTACTCGGTGTTCCTGGCTAACGCACCACATATCGACGCACCCAAACCGTCAATTTCTCGTACTCAAGTATGTACTATACGAAGTACTCAAGCCGTCTGTTGGCCCCGTATCGTCGTATCGTCGTCCGTCCCCTCTTTGGCCGCATCTGGTCAGTTCGTCTCTTTTTGGTCGTCAGCCCATGCGACCCCGCTGTCATCCGTCATCGCTATCCTCTCTTTGCAGGTCGGGAGGGGCAGCCTACTGCATGGTCATCACGGCTGCATCTGCTTGTGAAAACCATAAGCACAAGCATCTCGACATTGAGTTGAAAGCCCTCTGAAGCAAATGGGCTCAAGCCTCCGTCAGGGGAACATGGAACGAAAAGCAAAGACTCCGACGATGTACCACCTCGAGCAATCCGGGAACTGTTTCATTCCACCCGGTCTGGTCGATCGTCGCCGCTGCCGCCCCCGACCCTACCACCCTCAAAGGAACCTGAAAACCTCTGAACCTCTGCTCAGGCGCGCCGCTCCATTCGCCCATTGCAGAGTACACATGAAAACTTACTCATCGGCAAGCCGAGCGCCCGAAGATTATCGCCCCGGCCAACTGACACTGGCATCTGACGCTATCACACCAATGTCTCAAGCCTGCCCCCTCCTCGGCCCCGGAAGCTGCATCCTGCTGCAGAGCATTCTTCTGCTACACTCGTTGTTGAGACGCCTTTTCCTGCAGTTCGGCTCCGGCCTATGGACTTCAGTACCTTTGCTTTCAGAACCTCCAACAATAGCTTCATGGCACTGTCTTGATCTCGTTCTCATGAGGACTGCCGGCTGGTTGCCTCACATGCCTGTACATGTCTCAAGATTGTTCCAAGAGAACTGCGACCAACCAACGTTGGTCTGGTGAACAATCAACCGACGAGGAAACGTCGTCACCCGGGCTGCTCATGCGATGAGCCGTTTCCCCCCCTCTTCATCTCCTCCTTGCGCGGGGACTGGAGGTGGGGTAGCACGGTACGCAGGAAGAGCCATATTGCGCCGGGTGCTGTGGGCAGCCCGTTTTGCAGCTAGCTTTGGTCTCTTTGCCATCAGTGTGTTAGGCCGTGAGCCGGACCCTTCGCCGACATCAGATTCCAGCTCGTCAGCCCAGCATTACCGTCGGCAGTCCGGTTTACGTCCGGATTCTTCGACAGCGGGGCGCACCAAGGTTGGGACCGTCAGACCAGACACGCGTGTGGCCGGGGCCGATCAAATGCCAGCGCGATTGATCTGTCAATTACCACACCACGTTGTCGCCAAGAGCTTGCGAATTCCACTCGTGTCTATGTCTGCTGCTTTTCCCGAAAGAGAAGAGCTTTGAAAGAGTTGTCTCTGCCGATGGCCTGATGAGGCTATCACTTCGCCTACGACAACAAGACCCGGAACTGAAGAAGCGGATACGGACGACTGGTCCCAGCCACCTGGAAACTTCACTTCAACCCCGGAATGCAGACAAGGCAGGTCCACTCTGAGCCTAGCGCTGCCAATCACAGACGGCCCGTGGGCCATGCTGCTCTCCCGTTCTCGATCGTTACGCACAACGTTCTTCAGTCGTTGATATCCAACCATGTTTTCAGAAGCCAAGCTGGCAACGAACCAGTCAAACCGGGTAGCAGCCCGCTCAAACGCTTCTCTGAGGAAGTCATTCCACGTCTCACATCCTTCGGCTGATTCCAATGCCGCAATTTCAACCCATAAGAGGCCAGATAAGCTGAGGATTGTGCCAGTTTTTCAACCCCAGGTGGAAGGAAGCGTTCCCAGAATTCAGGCCAATTCCATGTTCGGCAGTCCCCTCGTATGCTGCTGTCAACAATCTGCAAACAAACCTTGGCCGCCGTTGCTATTTTGACGAACACATAGCCTTCAGCGCGGCTTAAAATAGCAGGATCAACCTTGAACTCTGTTCTGGATGGGAAATGAAATTCTCCGCTCCTTCAAGCAAGTTCCGCGATGAGTGGAGCAAGAAAACTTCAAAGTTGAGTCCCCTCGAAGATCCAAGCCACATCGGACGACCCATCGCTGTGGTCGGTAAGCAGGGGTTTTCGTTTTTTGTTTTCTTCCTGACTCAGATTAGAGGCCGCTCGCAGAACTCCAGCTGGCCTTCAGCATCACAACTCCACGCTCCTCAGGATGAGTTGATGGATTTTCAGACAAGTCAAGCAACAGCGCGACATACGGCCATTGGATTAAGGGGTTGTAGCTGCATACAATGTCTGCATTGGGCGATGACCAGGCCCCGTCCGAGTTTCGAGCGCAGATGAGCAGTGTGCCGAATATAATATCCTTCGGGGCTCCGCCTCGGTGAGGCCTGTACTGAAGTAGGTCAACACTCGACTCCTGACTCCGACTTTTGAGTCCTGGACAGGGCCAATCTGGGCGGACGCAGCCGGTCAATCCGTCTGTGCAACCCATGGCCACCTCCCAGAACGAGTCGGATTCACCGGGGGATGATGACTGATTGAAAACGTTGACCGTGGGACTTCCGCAAGTACCGAGTCCTCGACTCCTCGTGGCAACCAGAGGGTACAAATGAGAGATTTGAGCAAAAGAGAGGGGTTTTGACACTCCCCAGCGGGATCACAAGCTGGTCCCAAGGACTCCAAGCCTCCAAACTGGAACCCCAATGTCCAATTGGCGTTCTCGACACCTAACTCTTGAGGTGAAGGGTGACAGTGAATTGGAAAAACAGGACGGTGACAGTGGAGGCAGAGCCCGAGCTCGCCGCCGATCGTCACAGGTTCAGATTCACGGTTGCACGGAGCCTGGACCACCTGAGCCCTGCAACTTCGCACCCGTCCACTAAGGCAAGGCGAGGCATGGCGTCGCCCTGCCGTGAGGCGTGCCCTGTCGTTCTGTTGACTTCCGCCAAATGGAAGTGCAATTGCCAAGTGCTGGGGTATTCTTGAGCTGCGTGGTCCAGGGTCCTGGCCTGCTTCAAGAGCCATGAGGTCATCAAAACCCATGCTCTCCTTAATCTCTCCGCAACAGGTTCTCCCTGGTAAGCAAGTTGGTCGAAACACTTCTTTTCTTCTTCTCCGGGCTCCTCAACCGCCCCCATCTTCAATGTCAAGTGGTTCACCGATTGAGGAACATTTGCGCTTGGGCGAAATTACAGCTGACAAACACGTTTTTTTCGTTACCCTCTAGCGCCGAGAAATGTTCGAGAATAGACCGAGAAAAACTGGCAAGAAAAAAAAAACGCCGGCCCAAGTCTGTTTCCCACGCCAATAACGCTCAACGTCCATTCCTTAATGCCACACGCTCATAACCTTGACTTTCATCATTCCGGTCGTTCGCGCTGTCGATCCTGCAGCAGATGCTGGACGACCCCGACTAATAAGCTTCACTCAACGTCGAGGATTGAGATTAAATCTGCTTCTTCAGCCCTCCAAACGATCCAATGCCGTCCGCGACGTCTGCCGCCTGCTTGTTTCCCTTGAGCTGGTCTGCGTGGGGCCATTGTTAGTGCAATTCTCGGGATATTTGGCATGCCAGGGCTGATATTCAGCTCACCATCAACAAAGTCCTGGCCGGCCTTTTGTCCCTGGGCCTGGAGTTTCTTCTTCTCTGCCTCGGCCTTTGCCTTGAACATCATGATGCTGCCAGCCGACGAGTGTTAGCTATTGTTGCAAGGGCGGCCACATCGCAAACGCGCTGCTTCTTTTGTTCGAGTTCAACTCACCCAATCTGCTCGATGATGGGGTCCATCATTCCCTGCTGGTAGGCGAAGAAACCTCCAGCAAGCACGGCGAGTACAATCGCCAGGGAAACGAGAAGGGATTGCGTAGTTGCGGTCTCCATGGTTACTGATCTGTGTTTTGCAGCTCGAAATTTTGAGAGGAAAAGTTGGACGAATTTGTGAGGATGTGGAAAGCTGTCTGCTTGTCTTCTTCGTCGTCGTCGATCACAAGTGTTCGATGCTCAAACTATTCTTTTTCTTCCTTTACCAGGCCGTCGCCGTCTCGATTTATATCTTCTTCAAAAGAAATCCAAGAAATCCCAAAAACTTGCTCGCGGGCAGCCTCTCCTCGTGGTGTAACCCCGCGGGAGTCGCAGATCGGCAATGACGTCCCCATCTCCATCAATCCGCCTAACCTGCTTGCGTGGGGGGAACATGGGTGAGCAAAATCAGGGTCCTCGATCGCATTTGCCCTGCTGGAAAACCAAGATTTGGGATCCGACCGCGTCAGCGGGCAGCGAGAACAACATCATTTCTCTTTCACAGGATGGCTAACTTGCCGTTCCTTCTTTTCTTCTTTTCCCCGGTACTCATGCAGCTATCCTACTGAGGTTTCCCACTTTGACCTCTCTGGCTGACGAAGGATCTCACCAGACACACCCTTCCTTCCATCTCTCCCTCCCCCACCTGCTGGCGGTTATCGGCATGATGACTTCACGGACTTGGCACGAGGACCGTTGCGGGTGGGCTGGGAGGCGAGGACGAGGGGCTGGGTGGAGGGGTCTGGACCCTGTCTGTAGCGATCTCATCGTGCAGACTGACGGCTGGCTCGAGGGAGGGGGAAGTCGGTGTCCATGTTGCGCCTCTGGTATTGGCTGGTTTCCTCAAGTTCGTTATCGCCCTTGCCCAAGGTCGGCAGTTGGAGGTTTGCTATTACGGCACCGAGTGACTGGTTTGACGGTCGGATATGTTGGTTTGGTTGGTCGATGTTAAGAACAGCCTGCCAGCCGAGGCGCTGATTTGACATCGATCGGTTTCGAGACTTGTGCCTCAATGCTGTAGGCTGTTGGCAAGTGCCACCTGCTGGTCTGCGAGTGCTGACTGACAGCCTCCGGTCCGATCTGAGGTGCGATGAGGCGTGCATGGATATCATACGACCGGATCTTGTCGTTGGTTTCCTGTGTAACAGATCTGCGGAGTCCCAACTGATGTCATCACGGCGGATTCAGTCAAGATGACTTATCGGTTCCTTTATGGCTCAATATACCAGCGAACTCCTTATTGTAAAAGGACCCGGTTCAAAGTACACTATGCCACTTACTACCTGTCCAGGCAACACGCTCCGGGGAAAGCGAATCTTCAGCGACAATGATTTGGTCACACCATCCAACCCTGCTCTCTTTCCAGAACCCTAGGGGTCTTGAGATAAGAAACACATCTCATCTCTGCCATGGATGAACGAACATCTGCCAGATATTCAGATCTTGCAGACGGTTGCAGGCGGTACTCACATTAGACGCGTTACCGGTAGCGTGGACGCAGAAGGAGAGGGCTTCATATCCGCTGACGGAAAGCAAATCCTCATGAGTTAGGAAGTCGAGCCGTTTGAGGCCAAGGAGCGAGGGGAAAATTCCGATTCCAAGGTCAGGACCAGCGGATGTCGCAACTTTCGATTTCGTTCAGTTAATCCCAAGCAGCACATTCTGGATCTTTGGACAGCGGGAATCGTACGGGCATCGTGACTGCTCCCACGTCGCACGCAATTTCAAACATTACGCCTGCAAGGACGTTGAGGACGAGTCGGGTCGGGATACCCAGCAAACGTCACAACACGCCACGGACTAACATCTGTTTAGTCCATGTTCGTCCTGTTTTGCTACGGAGGCATAGAGCGTCCATGGCGTGTTCGCCAACACGATTGCAAGTTGCTTTCATGGCGAACTTTCGGCAATGCACCTTGTGTCCGCTTCCACGACCTGCTTCGGGAATCGAATGAATGACGCACGTGTTCTGGTGTTCTGCCTTTTGCACCTCGGGCGATCATTAGCAGGCCAACGGCAAGTTAAGTAAGTTTTCCGAGAGAGCACCTGCAGAAGCATTACACGGAACATGGATATCTTGACGTCTGCCAGTTGGACACAGCTCTCCTCTTTGGTGACTTGAGAGCTCGCCGTCTCCTGGACCGCATGGGAAATCACTACAGAGCAGCAGAAGCTGGAAGAGTATCAGCCCTGTATGCCGTCCGTCTGCAAAAACTAAACGTCAAAGAAGAAGAATGTGTTGGGTCTTTCTGGGATTTTGTCTAACGACCTCACTTAGAACCTTTGGAGGGCCGAAAACCCGATGTGTGCATACGTGCAGCATTTTACGCGACGTATTTGAACGTTTCCATAGATATATGGACAAAAGTGAGCTTAAGCTGGAGAGGCAAGCTATCGACTCCATGACGATCAAGATACTCCGGTAACAATGAAGGGGCATCCAGCACACACAAAAGAGAAAACGTGTAGATGAAACATCTCCCGGCCGAGGGAGGTCAACCAAAGAACAGTAGGGTTTGCGTGTTATTATTGTTTCTCCGGCCAAGATCGTTCTGAGGCTGATCCTCTCCGCTCTAACGCGTGGTCTTCATTCGAATGAAGTGGCCGGGTAACTTATGACCATGGAAGCAGCGCCCACCGAGATGCGATGACTGACATCGACTCCTTGCAGCAGCCGAACTTTTGAAGACGCCACAGCCCGCCGCCAAGATCCCGGATCGGCTCAGAGAGCCTATCATTCGGTCTCCGGCACCACGGCATTCCCGATTGATCGTCCCGTCTGACCGAGAGCTCCGCCAAGCCGTTCGCGGACGCTCCCGTCGATGCGATATCATTTCGCGGCCCGAGATCCCGGACGTATATCCTACCGAGAGGACATCTCTGTCCAGCGGCCTTACAACTCCCTCCAAGCATCTGCGGGGCATTGGCAAGCTGCGAGCTTGAGACATCAGATGACTTGGAGGACACAATAGACAGTGGTATACAGAGCAATTTCCTATGAACGGTTATTTCCTACCGCTACCGCTACGTAGCACGACATCGCCGTGCTTTCCAATCTCTGCAGGGCAAGAATAGTTACGGAAATTGGGAAATTTGCTCAAGTCCTGCAGTAGACGAGCGCTTTTTGCTTGTCAACAGAACCCTCCTCGACGATTCTCCGTGGGACACAATCACGACGGACAGTAACACCAGGTTGCGGGGAATACATACCAATGTCGTGCAGTCACGGATCAATCCCGAACGTTGTGGCCCCAACGTATGTCCCGGGCCCTGAACGTACGACATGGGCATATCGCCAATGCATCCATCGGATCTCCATTGCCGCTCGCTTCCTGTGCCTGTCCCGTTTTATTACCTCGCGGCTCGGCTCGTCCTACAGATCCGTGCTAGTCCAAGAGGCGAGAGACATGTGTCTCAACGCACCAAAGCGGACCTCGCCTCGAACAAGTCAAGAGCGTTCGTCCTTGGCGCGGTTTCTGTTTACTTTCTCCGTAACATGGTAAACACCTCTGCTCCATCTCATGGCTTCAAACCCCACGAGAAAGGGCCTGCTATGAACTGCGGCTAAGTCATGCCATTAGTCAAGAGAAGCATCCTGTCGTCGAAGCGGTGTGCAAGCGATATTCCCCCGCACTGAACACGAGGTTGTTATTCCCGCGGGTCTCAGTTCAAATCCACTTCCAGACGTGGGATATGCATCAACTAATGGGGCATAGCAAAACATGCTTGATATCAGAAGGCAAGTCATGAGTCGGTGCTCCCGCTGGCCAGAAACAAGTGCCTCGGTCAAAGGAGTTGAACGGCTCTTTCGAATTTGAGCCCCGCAAAACGGATTAAGGCTTCAGCTGTGTCTCAGTAGCGGTCTGCCGTCGGACGCTGCAAGTATGTATCTCGAGCAGACTGCATACTGCGGGATGCCTAATGCTCGGTGGTGGGCATCGGCCCATGTTCCACGCATTCCAAAGACTGCCGCCTCTGGAAATAATAGGACACAGGTGATGTTGTCCGGGATTCCTCTTTGAGCAAGGGAGATACATATATATATATCTCATGGCTTCGACCCCGACATGGAAGCTCATCTCATCCATTCCTCAACCATTCGCCTCTCTGTCGCCCACCCTGGGCCCCCATTCCCAAGATGCATTTCTCCAATGTTCTGGTGGCGTTTGCTTTCACTGCCTCATCGGTGGCCGGCCCGCTTCCCGAGTCGGATGGTGGCCTTTGGAAATGGGACAGCAACGTCCCCGAGTGGGACAGTAGTCTCCCCGTGAAGCGCGGAGGCAGCAGCATCACGGAGAGCGGCGAGGCCCTTCTCAAGAGATGGGAGGCCATGGCCGAGGACAACCCCGCCGTGATACGACACAAGCGCCTCAGGGAGATGCTGGTCGACAGCGAGAAACTCGAACGCCAAGGTTGGAAACCCCTTCACAAAATCACGCATCCGCGAGCCCATTGCTGATCATTGCCCTACAGACGCCAGGTTCAGGGGAAACCTATCCGACACTTGCGCGGAGGCAGATGTCATCGTCCAGAATGTACGGCAGGCCGAGTTCGCCAAGTTCTGGCGGGAGGGCGAGCGGTTCCCGGGCCAGATGTTCGCCCTGGCGCGCGACCAAATCGTCCGAACGGAGCTCTGGAAGATTGTCCAGCAGATGCCGAAAGGCGCGCTGCTACACGCCCACCTCTCGGCCATGTTGCCGTACGGAAAACTCTTGGACATCGTCTTGAACACCCCTGGCATGGTGTTCAAGGCCTCGCAGAGCCTGAACACGACGGCTTCTCGGGACGCGGCGACGATCGAGTTTGCGTACAGCAGCGAGGCCGTCGCCGAAGGCGTCAGCGTCTACTCGCCCGACTACAACGGCCAACTGACGCCCGTTTCAGCGGCGGCCGATGGCTTCCCGGCCGTCGCCGAGAATCACTCCAACGGGACCTGGAAGACCGTAGAGGGGAGGGAAGGCTTTAAGAAGTTCGTCAAGAGCAAGATGGTGATCACGGACGAGGAAGCCATACACCACGAGCTGGGAGTCGACCAGATCTGGCAGCGCTTCCAGGGCCTCTTCGACCCCGCGGGCGGCCTGTTCACCTACGAACTCGTCGTGCGCCAGTTCTGGAGGGAACTCTTCGGAGACCTCGCCGCGGACGGCATCAGCTGGGTCGAGATCCGCGCCGGAGGGTCTGCGGACAAAATGGCGCCCGCGGAGGGGTCGACGCAGGACAGGACGGATCCCGACTTTTGGTGGACTGTGATGTGGGAGGAGCTCAATGACTTCAAGAACCAAACCGCCGCCAACACCACCCACCCCTTCCACGGCGCCCGTGTCATCTGGTCCGACTACCGAGGCCGGCCCAAGGACAAGATTCTGCAAAGTAAGTCCGACTAACGTGATTGTCCGTGGACGCTCTGAAAACTCGTGAAAACTGATCTTCTGTGTTCGTGCAGGTATGCAAAGCGCGCTTTTGAGAAAACAGAACCCCGTGATCGGCGAGCTATTCAGCGGCTACGACCTCGTCGGGCAGGAGGACATATCGACACTCGAGAGCTGGGTGCCGCTTCTGTACGCGTTCCAAGAAGAGGCCAAGAACAAGAACGTCACCATGCCCTTCTTCTTTCACGCGGGAGAGACCGTCGGCGATGGCAACACGACGGACTCCAATCTTTTCGACGCCATCGAGCTGGGCACGAGGAGGATCGGCCACGGATTCTCCCTGTACAAGCACCCCAAGCTGGTTCGGGAGGTCAAGGAAAAGAACATCCTGGTCGAGGTGTGTCCCATCTCGAACGAGGTCCTGCGGCTGGCGACGGATATCCTCCATCACCCTCTTCCGGCCATGATCGCACACGGCGTTCCCACGGCCATCAGCAATGACGATCCGGCCATGATGGGCCAGGACACTGCTGGTCTGAGCTTCGACTTCTACCAAGTCATCCAAGGTTTTGACAATGTAGGACTCGCCGGATTGGTATGCATCTCTTCCCTTTCTCCATGTGGGTGAAATCGGCTTTTCTGACACGGTGTGACAGGGCGCTCTGGCACAGAACAGTCTGCGTTGGTCCAACTTCGAGGATCAAGACGACGTTACTTGGCATCAGGACGTTGAGCTGGGTCAAGATGGAACCGGTATCAAGGCGGACCGGATCCAACAGTGGAACGAGCAATGGGAGCAGTACTGCGGATGGGTCAAGGAGAAGTACGGTCCCCTGTACACGGCGACGCCTTAGTAGAGACGGGAGTTCATCCGACCCCTTCGCCGTTGTCGGGATATAATGAATGCGAAAAGAGATGCTCGTCACCGCAAAGCCCGAATCAATACACCCGAAAGTGTAAGTGTAGGGACGTAAACTTGAAGAACGCTGCATGTTTGACGCGACGGGACTTGAAGTCACGGAGATCCACTATAGCACCCACTCAACCAATCAGACCACTTCAATTCTCCAACACCAGCATCTCCTCCCGTGAGCCCACCCTCACGAAAACTCTCCCTCGACCACCGGTCGACTGAGTTCTAAGCCCAATCCACGCTCAGCCTGGCAAGCTCTCATCAGTAAGATCCACTTGCCTTTCAATTCATCCCCGACCAAGAAACATACAAATTGACATTCTCACCCAGAGCCGCCAGGGATGCGACTCCCCTCTTCTCCGACGTAACTCAGTCCAGTCCACCAAGCCACCCCCCCCCATTGCGTCCATCTCCAGGAGACCAGATGTTGAAGTAAGCTTAAAACCATCTGCCTCCCCTCCCTCCCAGATCTCTCTCCACCACCTCGTCTCTTGGCAAATCCTGCTTTGTTCCCACCCAGTGACCTTCACTATGCTGACGCCTCCCCAGAGCCTACAAGAACCTCTCCCCCAAGACCCGCCTGGGCGTTGGCGTGGCCGTGTTGGCCTGGGGCGGAGTTGGTCTCTACTTCTCCGACCAGGCTGAGGAGAAGTACAAGCCGACCGCCGAGGAAAAGGCCGTCGTCGACAAGTACGTGCCCAAGGTCCACGTCGTCGACAAGTCTTGAAGCAGGCCGCGCTCGTCGTGATGGGAGGAAGGAGCCGGTGGTTATCAGCGTCACTAGGCAGGTCGCTGGCCATGTAATTATTCGCACCATAGTATCAAACCACGCGGCATAAGTTTGTTGCTTTGTACAGTCGAATCAATTTTGCAATGTCTAATCTCTAAAATGCATGCCGACTTCGAAAGGGCACTGAAAATCCGTGCTGACGGCCGAGGGAAATGCTGCCGCAGACCGGCTTTTCTGTTTTCGCAATACAAATATCAAGAGTACCACCCATTTTGAGACATCTAGCATTAGACCAGACCAGCCTAGCCGTGCGCAACCGCTACAACGAAATCATTATGAGCGAAAAGCCATGAATATCGTGACAACCTCACCGGGCCCGCCTATGGCGACCATCGAGAGCCTCCCAAGTTCTATCTGATCGCAGTCTAATGCAGTGCCAACTCCACCTCCCCCCGTCTATCATTGCGTGAAACCACCCGCCACAAGATGCATATCAGAACTAACCACCGTGAATCCGGCTGTGATGCAGTAGGGAATCGAGGTTGCTTTTCGGCAACAAAACATATGAGTTGATGAAAACGAATCCGTGAGGAGACAACATGAAAAAAGAAAAGAAAACAATAAACGCCACCAAATGCAGATGAGTTTTTTTGGGTGTCAGTGTGTGCCGCCGGCCACTGTACTGATATCCGTCTGAACAGAAGGTATTCCTGGGTCTTCCACCACCGCCGAAAGAGGTTTAAAAAGTCGTGCCATGTCGAGTGTCAGGTTCGTCGCCCCAAATTCCTTGTCGATTTCTCCAACCGATCCCAATTCCTCGCCCCGTGAGGCTCCATCCGTCATTACCCACGTTTTTACCGATTTGAGAAGCTGCATCACCTGCATGAACCGACGATCCGAGTCCATTTGCAGATCCGGTGCCCGAGTGTGCTTCAACAGGTATATCGCCAACCAGTAAAAGTGAATTCCGTCCCTGGAGAAACCGTACCTCCTCGCATTCTTGGCCATGCCTGGAGGGAATTGGTTGACCATGTCGGAATCCCAATTGGCCTTGAACTTGTGCAGCGCAATCCGGAAAGATTCGAGGACATGAGCAGGCATGGCCTGCGTGGCGGTATCAACTGGCGTAGCCCTGCCACTGTTCGTGCCATGCCCGTCTGATCCACCACTGACCATCCAATCGCTCAAAGGCGGCGTCGCGTAACCTTTCATTACAGCGTTGCCATCCAGTTGAGCGCGGCGGATCAAGGAGAGAAGGGCGTGGATCAGAATGAACTTGCCGTACAGGTTTGTGCTGCCCGGTTGAATTTCATACTGGCCGTGTAACAACGCCCTGAGGGCAAGATCCATCTCGGGCTGTTTGCTGCGCTGGGTTCCGTTCGGATTCTTTTGTCGTACCAAATCCTCCCCATGCAAGCCAAGCGCATCCTCGCAATCCTTCTTCGTCCGTGCATCCCATGCAGCGTCGTCCGAGGGAAGCGGTATCCGCATCTCGAAGCTGTCAAGTTGACAGGTGGCGTTGAAATAGAGTTCCATGGCGGAGTTGCAGAGGAAGATGATGTGCATGAGGCGTATCCGCTTTTCTTGTTCAACCCACACACCCCAATCGAATGTGGAGACGTCGAAGTTCTGAGGGGTAAAGTTGTTCTGGTGTAGCGGACTGAGAAGCGGCGGCGTGGTGGAGACTTCTGTCAGACGGAGCTTGCGAGACTGCTCCGCCATGGCTGGGAAAATCTCACGGGCGCTTTCACGGTGTTGAGGAGTGCCATTCCACAAAAGCAAAATTTGGAGCAGCATAACAGCTTGAAGTTCCTCGAGGTCTCGATGTGAATTACTCGGGGAGCTGTCAGCGTTTTCATTTTGCTGCTTGCCGACCGTGTTTGCTAAGAAGCGCACGTCGCGAACCAACGCCGCCCGAAGGAAGTTCATCATGTCGCGCACGTGATCTGGAGAAAGACGATCAGAGTAGCAGGCGCCCATGCAACACATGCCTGCGAGTAAGCCAGTATACGAGTCCAGGATGCGGAACGTGGGTGTATGAAGGATGGGGAAGTGCACATGGAAGTGCGTGTACTTCTCCAAGAAATCGCGAATGTTTTCAGCCGAGAAATAGAGATTGAAGCCGGCGCTTTCGTTGGTAATCGGGGAACCTGGGGGATAGAAAAAGTTGAGAATTTGGTTGGAGATATGGGTATACGGGTCCTGAATCGATGGCGGCACGCCCCAGGTCGAGAAAAATAAGGAATCGGAGTGGCGGTTAGGGCCAGGAAGACCATCTGTTCTTTCGGTGCCAGTACTAGGCTCTTTGTTGGTTGCGATCTGCGTCTGTCCAAGATTAGGAGGAGTTGCGAAGGTATTTGCGTAGGTTTGTTGCGCACCAGCCTGGAACATTTGAGACCAATCAAGGCCCGATTGTTGGTTCGAGTTCGACCCGCCATACATGGACATTCCATTTTGACCCGGGGGCATATTGTAGTTTTGCATCTGTTGATTCATATTGGGCGTCATGGAGCTAGGGACATCGCCGTTGTATGCCTGCTCGAACTGGCCACCACGACCTTGAGCATCCATGACAGATCCTGTCAAACCCCGCCTGTCTTGGTTACTGCCATTATCAATTCTGGTCAAGCTGCTGGAGCGCGACAGCTGGCTCTGATCGTTCGCCAGGTTGCCCATTCCGTCCGACACAGGCATCATACCGAAAGGCTGAACCATGCCATCCCCAGGGATGTTACTTAGACCATTGAGGTGGTTCAGTCCGCCATCCTGACCAAGAGCAGCCTTCTGAGCAGCAGCGTTCTTCTTGACATGAGCCTGAGGGTGAGACAAGTGGCTAGCACCAGTCGGGTTGCCTCGGCGAATGGAGCACTTCTGGAAGTGGCGCTTGAGAATGTCACTGCGCGAGAAGGTGTCGCGGCAGAGAACGCACATGTAGGGGCGATCACCCGTGTCTGCGAAGGACTGTTGTCAGCCAAGTCGACACCATTGGGGGCATTGGGGGGATACTCACGGCGCAGAAGGTGACGCTTCAAGTGCTTGGCGTGGAGGTACGTCTTGGTGCAGTGAGGGCAAGGGAACTTGCCGTCAGCGTCCTTGACGGGGATAACAGTGCTCTTCGCGTTGCCGGGGCCAGCAGGAGTGGCGGCAGGGCGACCAGGAGCACTGGGAAGGATACCGCGACGACCTTGGGAGCCTACAACGTGAGTAGGCTGGTCGGCATCACCAAGACCTCCCTGGAGAACGGAGCCGGGTCCGTAGGGCGAGTTCATACCAGGCTGGGGCATGACGCCACCAGCAGGCATGGGACGAAGGACGGGAGGGACGCGACCAGAGCTAGGCGCGGGCGCAATGGGCTGAGGGTGCGACGAGGCCATCGTGGTCTGGGGCAGCATCGACTGAGTACCGTAGCCCTGGGGCGGGGGAGGGTACTGGCCCATCTGCTGGTAGGGACCGCCGCGTCCAGCCTGAGGAGGCTGCTGAGGGTAGGCGGGCATGTTGTTGGCGGAACCCGGGGTGTTGGGAGTCGCGGGAGTGCGAGGAGTGTGAGGGTTGCTGCCGTACATCTGGTTCATGGCGGCGGAGGTCTGCGGCTGGAGAGGCGGCAGAGTCTGGTGAGGGAGGGGAGAATTGGTGTGCTGGAGCTGGTGAGGCGTGATGGCGGGCGGCGACGGGTATGAGGCCGAGGTCGTGTTTATACCATTGGTAGGGTACTGAGAAGCGTCCATGCTATCCGCGATCGAGTCTGAAGGCCTTTTGTCGAGACAAAGGCGCACAGAGCTTGAGAAGGTGCGAGGTGTCGAGACGCGTTCCTACGTCTGTACGGGGTGGACTCGTCGACGGCCTCGTGAGAAAAATTTTGTGGGACAAGGACAATGAAGTCGTCGACCCAGCCGGAAGTGAGTTTTTTTTTCTGCGCCTTGAGGAGAAGAAAATACTCGAGGTAGAATGCAGAATGGAAGACGAGTCCTCGATATTCCACCAGTAAAAGGATGATGAGAGTCGCGAACCCAAGAAAAGAGACAACACGCGAAGAGGTGTTGTTTTGTGAGAAGGTGGGTTTTGTGGTGGGATGAGGCTCCAGTTGATCCCGTTTGGAGGTGGTTTTGGGGAGGGAAGGGAGTGGAGTAGATGGGGCTCGATCCTTTTTATTTTTTTTTTCTCGCGCGTTGCTCCTTCGGCAAGAGGGAAAAAAAAAAAAGGGAAGGGCTTGTCAGGTACCTGGCGGCGCCGAGAGGGGGTCAGAGGAAAATAAAAGTGGTCTTGCCGGGGTGGGTGCCGAGGGTGTGCAAAGCAGGAACCGTTGAGCAATGGTCACTCCGTCCAAAGGGTGGAGGAAAAAAGGGAAGAAGTGGGTTTGGACGTCGCCCCTTCTGGGAGGAGTGGATCCTGTCTGCTCTTTATGAAGGGCCTTTTTCGGAGAAAGTGTGGGAGGTTGGACCGTTGGTTGATGAAAAAAAGTGAATGGTGTGGATGGAAGCTTCGGTATGTGAGGAAGGCAAGTGGGAAAACTTGCTTGACTTTTGTGGTAGGCGCGAAGGGTACCTGAAATAGGTTCTTCGGTCTGACGGGTAAGTTTTGTGAATTTGTAGGGAAGGAAGGTACAGACTGACTGACTGAAGACAACCTGGAATTGAGTGAGTACAGTGCCGCTGTTGATGTCGTTACGGCTGCGCGTCTGTTGTAGATGGGCGACCTGAACAAGAAAGTTGGAGACCACGGTACAAGTTCAAAGCACCAGTGGATGACGCCAGGCTGTAAATTTTTTGGGGGGGTGTGGGAGGTGGACGAGGAAGGGGAAGAGGACCCGTTTTCCCTTTTTTTTTTTTTTTCCTCCTCCTCAAGGGCTGCCCACTTTTTGGCCTAAGTGATAAATATCAAAGATTGGCCGACTACCTTTTGCGACGACTACAGTTCTCGTTGGAATTCAACTGCATCGGCAGCGCAAAGAGACGAGGGCAAGGAGGCAAAATAGTCGAGGATGAGGACTGAGATGGAAGGTGAAGGAAGCTCGCATGGAGAAGGAAAAATCAAATCAACCAAGAAGGAAGGATAAATTGGCAGGTAGACACGGGCAGGCAGTAAAGGTACAAGCCGCGAAGTACCTTCCGCCTTTTCCTGGGAAGACGAGAAAATTTCAAAGGGAAAGCGCTTCCAGGTTGCCAATGCCTGCCAATGCTAGCACACGCCTGCCTCGGAGATGGTTGTATACAGCACGGGCACTGTGAGCGGCGACTGTACTAATGACCAGACACAGTTCCGTACCAGCACAGCAGCAGCGTGATTCAAGAGACGGTGGTGTGTACTGCGGAAAGAAGCACCAGAAGGAAAAAAAAAAAAAAAAGGATGGTGAGGTAATGCGAACTGTCGGCTCGGTCGACGTCCAGGCGAGTGTCAAAATCGAGCTACCCTTCCCTAGCGTGTCGATATCCGTACATGGCTGTCCTGTCCACCTTGTCTGACTACTCTGTACCTTGCTTGGTGCCATCGGCTTGTCAACATTTGCACAGGTCGCGCCTTCCAATGCCGTTGCGTACAGACAGGGCGGTGACGCGAACCGCCTAACATGCTCACCTTCTTTCTTAGCGCCGGTTTTACGGCGGTGCGGAATTACAGCCAGAAAGCACCTCAACCAGATGCATAGCGATAGTTGCGAATTTGAGGGATTGCCTGCTGTTCGTGCCATGATGAGGGTACCAGCAATCAAAAAGAGGTTTGTATAGTTGCGCTGCAGTTGATGCACAGCCTAGGTGCTGTTCGTGTGAGATCAGTGAGCGCGCAATTGTCAGTAATACGTTACAAAATGAGACGAGCACTTCAGAAACAGGCATGTATTGTCCAAGTCTGCATTAGACTAACGGGCTATGCTACGTTATGCTTCGTTATGCTCACGATGACAGCGACTGGTTGACGTTGACGGGGTTGCATGTGTATGAATGTACCTCACCGTCGCTGCATCGGTCGGGTCGAGGAGAGTCGAGTCGAGTCGTTGTCTCACCGTCTGGTCTGCTGCTCACCGTAATAATATCCCATTTTCCTGCGCATGCCATTCTGCGTTGCCCTCATCAAAGGCTGTTCCAATTCTCCAGGGGAATCCTCACCTGGGCGCATCTTCTTACCTCATCTCTTTCTAATGAGGCAATCAGTTGAAATCTTGTTATCGGTGCTTTTCCGTCAATGTCGGGAAAAGACACGTCCAAACTTTTGAGTCCTGGGCAGGCAACACTGAGGGTGTCTCCTTGTCGCGCTCCTTCCTCAGGTCCCGACAGTCGTCCTCGAGATCAGCGGACGGGCCAATGCTTGCCATTGCCTTGCCTGAGGTTGGATGTTGGCTTCCCTGCCGGGATGCCTCAAGGTAAGCTAGGCACCGTACAGAGTAAGGTACCTTGGTTTGATAAGTGCCTTATGGAAGGCACAATCCTGAATGCCTGCCAATGCCTGCCATTGCGGAAAGAACTCCGCATCGCACACCTTCCTGAAAGTGAAACTGCATTTGAGCCTGGCAGCCTGCCCGGTGCAGCGATGCTTCTGAACACTACCTGCACATGCACCTGCACCATTGTATCGTCAGGTATCGTATTTGCATCGCATCGTGAGGTGACGGGCAGACAGTCTGTGCCTGCCGAGCGGGTGCAGTTGCTTCCTTGTCATTGTCAGTCGCGCCTTCCCAGCTGGTTCCCCCGTCTTTGCACACGTTCTACGCCTTCCACGCCTTCCATGTCTTCCAGAGCCCCCCCCCCTTCCTTCTGTTCCCGTCCCAAATCCTAAATCTCATATCGTGTAGGTCGTTGCGTAGGTTGTTCACGGTTTCCTCGTGCACTTTTATCCCGAGAGCTGGACGACGGGAATCCACCCCCAAATCTAAAAGGAACCTGGAAGAAATTCGGGTCGGCAAGTGAACCCCCAAACTCAAAGACGGGACCCAAGGATCCAAGGCCCCAATGCGCCCCAAGTTCCAATTCCCAGGCCCAAGGCCCCTCGCATCCTTCAACTCCAGCATCCACACAAGCTGTCCCTCATCTCACCTCAGTCTCCAGGTCCATCCCCACGCTACTTGTCTTGACACAGCGCCGTTGCGCACTGCAATTGTACACTACAGCTACCGGATATTGCTGTAGTACAGGCCTTGGTGTCCACTACCCGGTGCCTGTGCAGCGTGCCCTCCCGCCCTGTCCCCTCAATAATCCCGCCCGTCGCTAACCCCCAAAGACCCCTCAATCCCCTCTTCTCATGCTCCTCCTCCTCATCATCAACCCCCAACCCCAACTCCCGTTTCTTCAATACCTACCTTGCCTATGAGGGAGGATACGTGCGTGGGTGGATTGATTCCACCTGCATGCCAGCACGCGCCAGCAGATGTGATGAACCCTTACTCTTGTCTCTTTTCTGGCCAATTACGCATATTATACTACAGCCTACAGAGTACGAATGCCTACGCACTGCGGTAGGTACCAGGCGCCATCGGCATCCCAACCTCGAGGCCTGTCTCTCGGGATCGAGCTAGTCTCCGTCTTTCGGCGGCGGCGTCTTTGGGGGCCGCGCTGCCATTCCGCTCGCCTTAACAAACGGACTACGAATACGCTACCAACACTTGATACAACCACGATACACGATACACGCGGTTGAATCGTTCCAATTCGCCTTCTGGCGGCCTCTCCTGCCTCTCCTACGCTAGAGATACGCCGAGAAAACAACGACGTATGTCAACCCCCTGTTGGCTCTGTTACCAATTGGTCACGCTGACAGCCTGGAGCACCCATGTCAGTCTCTCTCCGACGAACAGACACCTACAGGAGACTCCTCGACGCGCAAACAAGCAGACTCTGCTGAGATCGAGTTTACATCCAAGTACGGATACCTACCACACTCATCTTCACAGTATGGGTTGCCTGTAACGGTCGACTTTCAAGGGTGTCCTCGAATCGGGTAAGGTCGCCCTCGACACTGCTCTGCCAAAAATGATGAGACGATGGCGAACCCTGCAAGCGTCATGACCGCCACACGCAAATCGACGTGGTATTGGACGTTCCAGCAGCTACACCGCACTACTGTACGGCTACGGCACGCACAAAATGTATGGGTACCTTACCTGAACAGCACACAGCTCTTGATGGGAGAGGCTAGGGCCCAGGGCAGGGCAGGGCAACACAACGTAGGGCACCTTGCTGCCCTCCTCCGCCGCCGCCGCCTCAGAGATCCGAGGTACCCGCCAGCTGCATCTTACGAGGATGAACCCCTGCTCTCAGGAAGCATCAAGGATGCAAGGATACAGATGCGCGCTGGGCGTGGGATAATGGGCGGCATTCGTTCCTCTTTTCTGGTTCGGGAACCGTTCTTGGCGCTTGCTGCTGCAGAACAAACACCCGTCAGGGATGTGGCTGCATCCAAGAATGGCAGCACAGTAAAAACCGCGCACAAAATCTGCCCTCCATCCACGCACTCCGACGACACCGGCTGTACGATGCCCAACACGCGGTGTCATGGCCATGGCCGGCTTGCAGCTGCCACCTGCGTGCGTGTGTGCCAAAGAAGAAACATCCTATCCAGCATCGATCCAGCAGTACCCATTACCGCGAGGTATCCATTTCATTCCGGTGACCGGGACGCGGACATGCTCCGAACGGCTTGCTCCACACATGGGGCGACTCAATCTTGACATTGCAATGCTGCCGGCATCACGCCGTTTGCACTGCGCAGAGCCCAGCTCTTCAGGACGGAAAGCGGGTAC